ACCTCAAATTCCTGCTGAGATTCTGGGTGTTCTCCCGGCGGTCTGCGATGTGAGGGATGATCCCTTGAGGCGTGGAATATGCTTTTCTTCGGGACGATCACTTGAAGATTGACTCCAATTTTTCTCTGGTGGGAGAGAGTCTAATGGAGACGTTTCGTTGTGGTCATTGGACGGAGTTGCTCACCGATGGAGATTGATTGATATGAGTCCCGTACGGATATCTTCTATCCGTAATACTGACAAGACCAAAAAAAAAGTTGGCAGTTGGTAATATCAGGGAAAAAAGGAGTTCCGCTCAGTGCTCACGAGGACGGCATATCGGCGGGACCTTTCGACGACAGGACGAGACGAGACGAGACGGCGAGCAGCAGCCAGCAGGCGTGATCCCCGGCGTGCAGAGCTTCCCAAGGAAAACGGCCAGCCAATGGTTTCCGGGTGGTGGGGCGGCAGCCTCACTTTGTTGCGGGAGCGAGCCGTAGCCAATCGAGGTTCGCCCTGCTCAGCTATTCCCCTTTTGGAGATGAATACCAGATCCCATTGGCTGTGCTGAAGTCGGGGAGGGTAAAAGTGGAATTATGGGAAGTTGGGGAAACAAAAAGTGGACTGCCAGCTGGCCGCGACTGGACACCTGCCCAGGTCAGGTAGTGTTCCTCTCATCCTGCGCTGCGGGATGGGTGCTGTGGGGGAAACGACCTCCAGCGAATGAAGAAAACGAGGCAAACTTGGGGTCGATTGGAGGAGTGTGTTGCCAACGGGATGGGGGGAATGAGATGCAGCTGGATGGGCGTTCCGTATCGTATGCACCGCGTCAATCACAGATTCGGGGCCAACCAGGGGGGTGTAGCGGGCCCTCTGAGGAATGGGCCATTTGCTGATGGCATCTCGGTGCAGATGCGTTAGGCGTTCTGGCGTTCTTCTGCGATTCTTGAGGTTCATTTTGTCGAATCAGAGAAGATGCTCAAGTCGTACGGTAAAAGACGCAGGTGGTCAGCCAGCCCATCGCGACATTGCCGTCTTGGGGGATGAGTCTTGGGGCACGGAGGACACATCTTGGTGAAGTGCGCCGCCGCATCGTGGCCATGGGTGTCAGAGACAATGCACACCCACCACGCACATGGCCGAAGGAGAACAGACCATCGTGCCTGAACATCACCTAATGGAAAACGGGATATCTGAGGTATCTCGCCCGCGTGGGATGGGTCGTCACGTCGTGGCCCGGTACCGGTAGGGAATTGTCAATGTCTCGTGTGGTGACAGTGGTGTTGGTGTGTCCGTGGGTAGGTAGGTAAGCCTAAGGAAGCTGTTGCCGTGGGACATGGAAGGCTGCATTGGTGCGATGTGCCCCTTGTGATGGGGATCGGCTGCCCAGATGTCCTGATGTCGACGACAATGACGGATGGCGTTGGAAATTATTGTTTCTTATTCTGAGTCTGGCCGTCTCATCCTGGCAACCTCTGCCGTCATTTTGGCATTTGCTTTTCCTTTTCCCCCTTGACTTTGGGGGTTAGGTTGCCAATACTCTGCGCCGTGTCTCTGTGCATCCAACGTTCTTCTGTGGCGGGCTGTTTTCCGATTTCCCCGTCCCCGGTCCAGGCCCGGAGATCAGTCAGATTAGCTATGTTGGTCAGGTCGCTGAGATATTGAGGTCATGTCCCAGGGCTGTGTCCCAGCATCGTGCGCGGACAGGACCCCTTACGCAGCGTGTTCGGGGTATTTCTGGAATTGGTTTTTTTGGGATATGTTGTGACTCGTTGTACTTTATGCTGCCGTTCTGCAGCTCAGAGGTTGGCGAAAGTGTCTCGTGTGCATTGTTTGCCTGACGGTTCAACGTCTGACACGCTTCGTCGTTTTTTTTTTTTCTTTTGGGGGTCTTGAGCGACTGGCGATGCCGTCACGGCGGAGTAATTGTCGCCCTCATCGTCCTCCCTCATCTGAGCACCCAACCCATCACGCGTGGCCGTGGCCCGATAAGACGTCTTCAGACGGGAAGTGTAAGGACGGCGGGGTTCCCTGCCGCGTGTACGACTGCCGGAAAAGCCAATTCGTAGGCTCTTTGACCTCCTTTCATCGACTGATTTTTCAGAAGTAAAAGAGAACTCGTGGGCGCTAGGACGGAGCTAGGGAAGCTTCGCATGAACTCGAAGCTATGATGTTTTCCGTGGTGATGGTGTCGATGTCGTTAAAACAAGTAATTAAGAACGAGGAGCGTTGCGCGGCCACGAATAGATGGGGTGGGAACGTTGGTTACAGAAGACAGGACGAAATAGAGTTGGGCTACCGGAACCGAGCTGGCGATAACTTCGCATGGCGGTGTGAGCGGCGGACGGGTGTTAGTGGACGGGAGCCAGGAACAGCGTTTGTGTCCCGTCTGGCTTTCGGCTGGTGCTGTCAGTAGCGCGCAACCGCAAACCTAACGGTCGACGGCGTCAGGACGAGTCATGTCGCCAACGGCCCAACCGTACACCCCTCTGCCTCTAGATGTACCCGCACGATGTACGTAGTGGGCGTGGTGGTGATGGTCTGGTCTGGTGTTTTTGGTTCCTTTCCCGGGCTGAGTCTTTATGCGTTGATGCGGTTCTCCAGAGGACACAGACGTTCGGTAAAAAGTGCTGGAAAAACACAGCAGCGGCAGCGGCAACAGCAGTCGGGATCGGTTTGTGCATTGCGCACTATTGCGCGATAAAGACCGTCTTGGGACAAGTCTGTGGACTTGAAGCAAGGCACGCGCAATTTCTTGGCAAGCCGAGCATGAGTGGCAGAGTCATTCAGATGCCTCCAAACAGTGGTCTAGTGCCAAAGATGAGCACAAGAAGTTGGATGTCAGGTCGATGAGTGGATGAAGTTGGAGCTGGAGCCGGGGGGCATCTCATCAATCGCATCGCGATCTCCATTGCCGCCGCAGCGTGCAGTGCCATGTGCCAGGTGCCAGGCGGTGGTTTATTCGGCAGAGAGGTGGAAGACCCGCCGGGCTGGTGGGCCGCGTGTTGAAAGTTCGGGTCGATCACGATGTCGGCCCATTATTCGAACGTCTTCCTTCTGCTGGATCACAATGTCCTCTGGTGATTCGTGAATGTGGGGGACGACGACCTGGTATTGCCGATAGGAGATGATGGGCATTGGCTTCCCGAGCTGTCCGTCCTGTCAGTCATTTTGGGCCCTTGTCGTAGCTGAGATGAGGTCGGGTCGTACCCTTTGCAATAGCGTAACCTGTGACCCAAGAGGGAAATCGTCGTGGGAAGCCTGCCTCTGTTTGGAAAGGCCTCTGGAGCTAAGCAAGCCAAGATATCCGTACCGGCAGGATAGTTAGGGTAATGTTGAGGGTGACAGTGGCAGCGACCTGACAGTGACAGGCCAGCCAAGATGATGTTCGGTGCTGCTGAGACTGAGGGAAGAGAGGAGCTGAGAAGCCGGGCGTCGAGGAGCCTGGGAGTGCCTGGCACGCGCTAGCAGACGTGTTCGGTGCCCACACACCCACCCTCTGGTGAGTCGTGACCTGCTGAGCGGGAGACTGGAGAGTCCCAAACATGGACACCAAAAATACCACGCAGTCGTCACCGAAGCCGAAAGAGAGGCAGAACACTAGGAGGAGATGTGCTCTGAGTGGACCGTTGACAGCTGTGCCAGATAGCAGAAACGCCGTGTGTGTGATGAGGATGAAGTTGCTGGCCTGACGGGGCCATCCCGGTGGCCGACAGGATGTTTACCTTGGGCGGTACGTACCTTACCTCAGGTATCTTAAGAAAATAAAAAATCACGACAAAACGCCGGCTGTTGGTTGGCTGGTTGGAGGTACGTACCTCTACATCCACTTTAACCTTCTTTCCTCGCTTCGATTCGTTCCTTCCCGTCCAAGGACCATCATCGGCCCTGCCTGCTCCTGCTGCATCTGCCCTCTGTGACTTCCCTCTATGAATGAGGTGCCTTCTCTGACCGGTCTCTGGCTCAGGAAAAGCAGGAGCGGACCGGTTGTCTGCAACTGCAAGTCGCAGCTGCATTTTTGGGATATTCGCTGGTCCCACACCCCCCAAATTCCTCTCACCGCCCCTTGTCCTTTGGCAGAAAGAGCAGCCGCAAGAGCAGCTAAACACCCGCTCCACGTCGGCCAGCTCATCACCACCACCACCACCACCCTCCATCTCAATCACACCCTCCCAGCCAGCAAGCAAGCACGGATACCTTCAAACCATCCACACACCCTTCTTCTCTTCCACACACCACTACACCATCATCATCCATCCCACTCTCTCCCAACACCACCAACTTCCTCACCCCTCCCTCCCCTGCTTCTTCCTCTAGCGTCCCTGTCCACCACTGTCTTTGCCTGTTCCACCGACATTACACTACCAGCTCGCTGTGGAGACGCTGCCAAAGCCTCACTTCTGTGACTGGACATTCATTGCGCGGCTCATCCTGTCCTTCTCTTTAAACCACTCGTCTCGCCAGTTCGCCTTCTCATACACTTACGATCGACTATCCATTCGAAGCCACAGATCCCTTGTCTATCGCCTCGAACAAACACGCCCTTGGAACATCTCCGAGAGCACAATCCAACACCACTACCACCCAACCAAAGGAGCATCGACGATATTGTTTCGCTCAACGCCAGACAACGAGACCTCGTTTCTTCGTTTGTCTTCAGCAGCAATATCCCCGCTAGTTTCCACCATCGTCACTCGGGGTTCCTCGCACTTGGACTTGGATGTGCCAGCGCAAGACGAGGCTGCACCCATCGTATCACATCACTTTCACCAGCACTCTATCGACTCTCGACTCGGTCCATCGACCACCCCCGACTCGCTTCACTCCAACGCCCGCCATACCCACACTAGCTCTACCTGCATCATTCTTCGCCGACTCGTAGAAGCAACAACATGAGCCATCATCCCCTCAATTATCAAGAGATTCAACGTCAGGTGCTACAGAAGCAGCAAGAGATAGAAAGCCTCCAAAACCTTCTCCATCTCCAGCATGCTCCCGCCCCAGCCGCCCAGACAAATCCCATGAACCTTCTCCCACCCCAAGGTGACTACTACGTAGACCCCGCCATCGCCCAACACCAACATCAACTTCAGAATGGTGCACCCGCCGCAAGGAGGGCTTCAATGCCCAGGAGCAAGTCCAACATGGGATACTCCGCCGCATCAACGAGAATGATGGTAATTCACCACCGCTCGCAACTACCATATACTTCGTCTCGTCCGTACTAATAAGCTCGCAGGAACGCAGTAGTGACATGGACTCACCGCAACCCGTCAAGCGTCCGAGGGTCATGTCTCAGCAATATCCTCGCGCGGTCCCCATGACGGGCATGGCAAGAAGCACTTCCAACCGCTCGGAAAAGTCAATTCCGTTCGTCGCCAAAGGCTCTATCGCGCCGCTCCAATCCTCAAATACCCCCAACACCATGATGGATCGCTTCACACAATCCAGAGACGACCCTCATGTCCTGTTCCAGGCTCCTCAACCCTCCATCCAGCGCACCCCGTCAAATCGTCGCCCGTCAAGTCTTCCAAGAGTCGAAGAGAACATGCCCCTCCCAGGCGTCGGCATGGACATCGCCGCCTACCTCGCGACTCAAGACGAGAGCCTCGCCTCTCCCGCCATGATCCCGCCTCAGCCCTCCTTCTTGACACCGGATGGCCGCAACTCCCAGGCTAGCTTGGTCGCTTCAGTCTGTCCTTCCATGAGCTCCGGCACTTCCGCCCCGGAGACGACCCCTTTGACCAGGGAGAACAGCTCTTTCGATCACCACCACGAGAGCCAGTCCCTCAACGACGCGCTCGACATGGCCCGCCTCGGCTCCACCGGTTCGCACATGGACTTCTCGCAAGATATGTACTCGAACGCCCACTTCGGTACATCGCCCAACGTCAAGCCCGAGACTTACCTGGCTTACGTCGGCGCCAACCTTTCTCAGCAGCACTACGGTCAGCAGTCACCGATCGACGACCAGTTCCTGTCCCAGGGTTCTTCTTTGATGGAGCGTTCCTTCTCCGCCAACAGCAACGCGTCTACCAAGTCGAATCAGGAGCGGAGGGCGAAGGAGGTTTTCCAGCAGCAGATCCACAATGCCACCCGCACTGCTCTCGCACCCAAGCCTGCCGATGCCCTTAAGCCTTCCCAGTCCAAGAAGGAGGGCAAGGTTCCTGTTACCAAGGGCACCTACACTCGTCCCAAGCACCCCAAGGTCTACTGCGATCAGTGCACTGACCACCCTGACGGCTTCCGCGGTGATCACGAACTTCGCAGACACATCAATGCCAAGCACGAGGGCACCATCAAGAAGTTCATCTGCCGCGACCCAGCTACCGCTGGTCTCAAGTCCGGCGTTGAGGCTATCAACCCGTTGTCCAAGTGCAAGCAGTGCGTCGCCGGAAAGCACTATGGTGCCTACTACAATGCGGCAGCTCATCTCCGTCGCACCCACTTCAAGCCCAAGACCCCGCGCGGCAAGAACAAGCGGGGCGACGACGATGAGAAGCGCGGCGGTAAGGGCGGCGGTGACTGGCCCCCCATGAACGAGCTCAAGCTCTGGATGCAGGAGGTTTTCGTCACCGCTGACGATGCCGCCGACGCCGAGGCTGAGGCCCTCGAGGAGGACGAGGAAGAGGCTGTGCAGTACGATCCCACCATGATGGATCTTTCGCTTGGCCACATGGGCGAGAACATGCATTACGACATGAACTTCCCGGCGTCGTACTCGATGCCTGAGCTGGCCATCGATACCCAGGCCTCTTCCTTCTTGGCCGTTCCCAATATGCCGCCGCTCTCCTCTGCGTCGGAGGCATTTGCGTTCTCGCCATTTACCTCAAACTCGCCCATGAACGGTCTGTCGCACGAGACGGCCTTCTCCATCTCGTCCTCGAACACGGTTACACCTACTACGTACCAGGACCCGCTCGCTGATGGCTTCGACAGCTACGTCTACTGATTGAGATGTCTTGAATCGTCCTAGTTTGATTCATTCAATTCTCATTTTCGTTTCGTGTCACATTCTTTCCCCATTGTGGCTGGGCATTGTGTTGGGTCGCGTTCAGGCATTGATTGGGCTGCTTAGCTCCAATCTGCATGACGCGGGCCTGCCCAATATGGCCCTCCACCACGAAGCCTGCAAGGCCGAGCAAAGGAAAAAAAAAGAAAAAAGTACGAAAAAAAAAAACTTTTCCAGTTATGACCGATGATCGTGCCATGACATCATGATCAGTTGGTGTCGTCCGGAATGCTGGCCCGGTGGAAACATCCATGGCGCATCCGCTCAGCCCATCTATCTCCTACGTCCTGTCTCTCGGTTATCTCGCTTCTTTCGCCAATTTTATCTCATCGTCTTTCGTCAATGTCGCTCGACAGTCGGTGGGGATACGTTTCACATGGCTCAGTGGTATGCGGTGACAGCATTCCACGCCTCCAACGAGCCAGTCGCTCCCGGTGGTGCAACCGGAGCTTCAAAATGCTGTATATATATATGGCCACGTTTCGGACCAAGCGTCCGCGGAAATCAAAAAGGCTCGGGAGCGATGGTGATGATCGCTCCTGTTGCCAAAGGAACAGGCGTTGTACTTCCGCAAGGAGGTTTGTTTCCATGAGTGTGATTTTACTGCAAGGTGTTGGGGATTCTGATTTACTTGGGCAACTGTGGTTTATGGTTTCGGTGCCGAGTCTTGGTATGCCCTGCGGCGCTGGTTTTTGTATATACAGTGGATTCTGGTTGGGTAGACACCAGCGCGGACTTGCGCGGATGGTTGGCAGGACTTGGGTTGTCCTGGGTATATAGCACACGCTAAAAGCCGAATCAGGTGCTCAGCACCTTTGACCTTCCACTCCTCTCGCTCTCTTTTCTCGTTGATGCATGGAACTTGCTCAATTCGTTTTCGTGTATGAAATCCTATGAGCGAGCGCATGTTCTCAGCTTGGGCCATAATGCCGCGATAGTCATATTGCCAGAGTATCCATCCCGTCCGTTCTCAACGGAGTGGCCATGTCTCCGATTCTTCCCTCATCTAGAAACTGCGAAGCGAGCTACCACATCCTGATACGATCGTGGGGACGAGCTGCGTCCTGTTCTTTGCTTGCTGCAGAGTGCCGCATCTCTCCGGAGAGCGCTCGCAGCCGCGGTAGCGTCCCACCGTGCGATCCCGGACTACAGCGGCGGGGGACTACGGCGGGCCATAGCGGGGCCGGCTGCCGCCGCATCCACGGCTCTGATGGGTCCGGACCGGACTTCGGAACGCCGGGGAATGGGCACTTATCCCGGCTTCCATCGAGCTAGAACAAGGTCTTCGGTCTGGCATGTAGTATGCTGTATATCAGATGAGTGATAGGGGACTTTTACTTGTCTGAGTGAAGATGATTGTTACACAAACATTAAACCTAGGCGAATCACGGCTTTGGCGCGATGAGTCGAGATGATTCATCGCCGCTAGGCTGAGTTAGGTCAGCTATGGGCTGAGATTTCATGGCTTTTTGCTTTGAGTACGTCTTGAGATGGCCACTGAAGTCTTTTTTGAGATGCTTAGAATGAGTGTTTGGGAGTCGCGGAGGTAGCGGTGGCGTTATGGGTCATGCCGCATCATCCATCGTAAGGAAGGAAGGAGCGGGTGGAGCCAAGCCTCATCGGCGTCGGCCTTTAAGTATTAAGCTGAAAGTGAGGTCTACTTTCCCAAATTGAATCATCTACAACACACACCTACGGTCTGGGATATGGATACTTAAGAGGACATCAACACCTACCTACTTCAGACTTCCATTGAACCATATCACAACAACTCACATATCAACAGCCACGATGCGATATTTGGAAATCCCAAAAGGCGCCAGCCGCCTCTATGAAGTTCCACGATCCCAACTCGACCTCAGAACCGACCCAGAAATCGTCGCCGAGCTCAGCACCTTCCGCCCCGTCACCTCGGAGAAGAACGTCTGGGCATTCTGGGACAAAGGCCTCGAGTCCATGTACCCGAGCTACAGATGCACCGTCCTGAACTGGGTCCGAAAACTCGGCCCCGCGTGGACGGTCCGTCTCGTCGACCTCGTCGACGGGTCTCCCAGCCACATCTACAACTTCATCGGCAAGCACTGGCTGCCCGACTGTCTCGTCGACGCGACCATGGACGGGGCGCACAAGGCGCAGCACGCGTCGGACATGGTCCGCCTCCCGCTGCTCTTCGAGCACGGCGGCGTCTGGATGGACGTTGGGAATATGCTGCACACCCACCTCGACGAGCTCTTCTGGGACGCGCTGGAAGACCCGGGGTCGCCGTATGAGGTTGGGTTGTGGATCATCACCGGCCAGATCAGGAAGACGTGGGGGAGTTTCGGGAATTTCATGCTCGCCGCGAGAAAGGGCTCCGTGTTTATCAAGAACTGGCACGAGGGTTTCAAGGCGCTGTGGGAGGGCCGCACGAATGAGCACGGGATTCACGAGCACCCGCTGATACGGGAGATCGGTATCGCCGACGGCATGGCGGATTGGAATTTCGAGGACAAGGTTCTCGACATGAGCGACTACGTCGCCCAGATGCTCATCGGCGACCGCACGCGGAACCTCCTGGACGTGGAGACCGGTTGGAACGGGCGGGAGGTCTACGAGCGGAGGGCGTTCATGGTGGAGGGCATCTACAACGGCGTGCTCGGTGCGATCAAGACGGGCTATGACGGGGCGCGACAGGCTGAGCTCTTCACGACGAGGCTGGACGAGGCGGACGAGGAGAGGCGGAAGGCGGCCGAGGACTTTGTGGTCGACATGCTGGAGAATAGCCACATGTACAAGGTTTACCACAATTCGGCTGGAGGATTGTCGGCGCTTGGAGACTTGGTCAAGAAGGAGGGCTTTCGGGATGCGGATCACAGGCCGGGGACGTTTGGGGAGTTGTATAGGTATGGGACGGTGCATTGGCGTTCGAGGAGGAAGGTTGAGCAGTTGAGACCTCCGCCGAGCGAAGATGAGTTGATTAGGGCAACACCGACAACACCTGCGTGTGATTTAAAGACATAGACAAGGATGGCATAGAGTAAACATTCAATATCTCAATCAAGATTGATAAGAACTCTAGTCTTTGAAGTTGTGCCTTATAACGAAGAGATTGAACAAGTTGCAATCAATTCTTATAACTATATCACCAACCTCAATTGCTTTCCTAGGAGGCAAATCTGACATGACTCGCAACACCTGTTTGACGTCATCCAAAGGAATACCATTCGGATTCAGATAAGGCATCGCTGATTGACCGGGGAAATCGGCACAGAAAAAGACCCACAGACCTCCATGTCCGTGTTCTCAGGCGGCCTGAATCGGCTTTCCGGGGAAGAAGATTAGCGTTTCATGAGATAAGGGGGGGTCATGTGTTTTTGTCAATTCCATCTGCCGGAACGCCCGCACCGCACCTCGGAACACCTCTCTCCTCGCCCCCAGCCACGTCCACAACCGTCGAATTCCGAACCCGCTCACCAACAGTTCCGCGGTGTCCCGATTGCTTCGTCCGGGGACCCCGTTTAGTGACCGTCCGGCCGACACACACCATGGGCCCGGACCCTGACGCGACGGCGGAGGCCGCGACGCCGCAGTCGACCCGCGCCGGGTCCGCTTCGGCGCAGAAGCGCGCCGCGCCCGCGACCGGCGACGGACAGCGCTCGAAGAGAGCCAAGTACACGCCCGTCGCATGGTACGGACCCGAGATCTCATCGGTGCTCCTTGATGTAGTGACTAATCTCAGTGTCTCGCAAGCAACGAGTGTAAGAAGCGGAAACTCAAGTGCATCAAGGAAGATCACCAGACCATCTGCCGGCGATGTCTCTCCAACGGCGCCGAGTGCGTCTTCGTGCCCGGACCGCAGCAGACGCCGTTGAAAGACAAGGACAGAGACGGCACGCATGAGAGAGACGATCTCATTCCGTAGTCTTCCCCCACGCTCAACACTGACTTCACAACAACTGACAATCGTCACAGATCTCAGCACAAGAACCTCAGCGACGAGGTAGCCGCCCTCCGTGAACAGGTCGCCACCCTCACATCCTCCCTCCGCGAACTCACCGGCAAGGTCGCGCACATCAACACGCGCTCCCCCGCCGCCCTCGGCGGCCCGCAGCACCCGAGCCCGCTCTACACCAGCGAGTCCAACCGACGGCCCAGCGAGCCGCGGGAGCCGCAGTTCGTCGGCCCGACGCGGTCGGCCTTCAGCCTGCGCATCGCCGAGACCTCGCTCACCCGCATGCGCATCCAGACGGGCGACGAGGAGCCCGCGAGCAGGTCCGCGTCGCCGGCCGCGTCGCCGCAGAGGGCGTCGTCCGTGGCATCCTCCTCGGACGATCACGGCTCGTCCTCGTCGGGGCGGAGGAAGAACTTGGATTGTCTGCTGACGCTGGACTTTGACGAGGTCGTGCGGTTGTTGGATGTGTACGCGGAGGAGGTCGAGTCCGTGTACCCCTTCACGAACATCAAGGACGTGTCGGCGAGTCTGCCGCGGATCCTGTACTTTGCCCGGCACGGGCAGAATCCGCCGCCCGCGGACGGTCCGGGGGTGCCGCCGGAGGAGCGGACGAAGATCGAGGAGAAGGACGTGCAGATTGCGAAGGTGGCGGTCGCGATATCGATCGTCATGGAGGCGCAGGGGCAGAACGCGATCAGTACGAAGCTCATCGACGCCGTGGAGCCGGTCGTGTGTCGGGTCTCGGGGGAGGCGTTTATTGATTTGAAAGAGCTGCAAATCATGACGATGCTGGTGAGTTGTGTTGTTACTGTTGGCGTTGGGTTGTTGGATCTGTGATGTGTTTTACTGATACTTGCGACAGAGTCTCTATTGGTTTCACTGCGGCGAGGAGTTGCTGGCTTGGAGAGCCATTGGTATCTCCGGCCGGGAGTGCCTCGAGATCGGGCTGCATCGCCGCGCCATACTTCTTGATAACTTCAAGGATCCCAAAAGCCGGGACTTGGCGGTCCGTTGCTTCTGGTGCGTCTACGTCTTGGACCGACGGTGGAGTTTCGGGACCAGCCTGTCGTTTGGTCTCATTGACAGGGACATCGATCCCGAGTTGCCTGAACCCGTGAGTATCCCGTCTACTCTTCCGTATTATTACCCCACGAAGCCTTCTTCTGACCTCTCGCGTGCTCTAGGGAGAGAACTACCCGTACCTGAGATGTATGGTATCGTACGGAAGGCTCTGTTCCAAGGTCTGGGAGGCACTACCGCCGTTTGAATCACCATCCCAATTCATCCCCAAAGACACCGTCGCTTTTCTGGACTTCATGACACAGAACTGGTTGAACTCCATCCCCGAAGACCTCCAAATACGCCACCCGCGGCTCGGCCTGGCGCCAAGGACACAACCGAGGAGCATGCACCGCCTCCGGTCGCTCCTCTACCTGCGCGGCAACCACATGCGCACGCTCATCCACCGACACCACGTCCTGAGCACCGCGAGCATTCGCGAAGACATGCAGAGCGCTCGCCTCGTAACCGAGATCGCCCTCGACACGATCCAGGTCCTGGTCCACCTCAACGACACGAGCGACATCTACGCGCGGCAGCAGCACGCCTTCAACTACTTCCTCATGAGCGCCCTGGCGGTGATCCTCCTCGCGGTGTGCCACGCGCCGGGCGTCTTCACCGAGCCGTGCAAGGAGAACTTCCTCAAGGCCGTGCAGCTGATCAAGAGCTTCTCGCGGCACGGGCACGCCAGCCGCAGGCTCTGGAAGACCATCCGCGGCCTGCTCCCGGGCATCAAGTCGCTCGGCCTGCGCAGCGACCCGGAGAAGACGGACGCGCCGCACGCGGGGGCCGACGGTGCGGAGCAGAGCGCGGCCGAGGCGCGGTCGGACGGCGGCGGCGGCGCGCATCAGAATGCGGGCGTCGGCGAGAGGGATGAGAGGAGGGTGGACGCGGCGTGGGAGGCGTATGAGACCACTCCGCAGACGAACAGCTCGATACCGGATATGTTTAACATGGGGAACGATCTGATGAATCTGTTTGACGCGTTCGGGCATGCGAATGCTGGGCAGCCTGCGCCTCCGGACTTTCCGGTTGGGTTCTTTGGGGTGAATGAGCAGGGCATGTCGTTGGGGGATCCGGAAGAGATATCACGGCGCTTTCAGGGATTGATTTAGAGGAAAGCGTTCTGTCAATCGTCTCGACTAAATGGTGCTGAGTCACGGGAGTCAAAGGTAGGCGTCGCACAGGAGTAAGAAAATAAGGTATCGTCCAAAAGTCGCGATTTCAATTTATCCAGTTCTATCAGTTTCATCCTCCATATTTCAGTCTTCTATCTCAAACATCAATGTCCGCGGGCACGGAGATCCCAGTGACGATGTTGCTATCTACTACCGGCACCTCAAACTTCTTCCGCCCGAATGAAACGTAGTAGACGATTCCAAAGCAAAGCCACCCGCTCATCACGACGATGGAATAGTTCATGTTCTGCGGCGTGACGGGCATCGCCGAGGGGAAAGTACTGAAGATGATCACCACAACCATCCAGACCAGACTGATGACGTTCAAGACAGGACCGAGAACAGGGCCGAGCTTGAACGGACCGTAGTCAGACCGCTTAAGGGTCCTCCGACCGTACGCCATCATGTAGCAGATGGGGATGATGTAACTCGAGTACATGCCGATGATGGCCATGGACAGGATGGCGTTGAACGCCGTCGTGTTGCCGAGGTAGATGAACCCGAGCAGCATCTGCAGCACGGTGACGAGGACGACGGAGAAGACGGGGATCTGGTGGCGCCTGTCGACCCTGCTCAGGTACCGGTCGTACGGCGTGGCCCTGTCGCGGGCGAAGGCCCACAGCGTCCTGGACGTCGAGGTGATGCCGGCGACGGTGGCGGCGATGGCGGTGAGGATGATGACGAGGGACATGAAGGTGGCGCCGCCGTGGGACTTTGTGACGTCGAGGAAGATCTGCATGAAGGGGTACCCGGTCGGCGTGGAGAGGAGGGCGTCGAGGGGGCCGGTGGAGAAGAGGAGGACGGTGCCGTAGATGAGGCCCATGATGCCGTTGACGACCACGCTGCCTACCATCGCGATGGGCACGTCGCGGCTCGCGTTGGGGAGTTCTTCGGCTAAGTGGCAGGCTGCGTCGTAGCTTGGGGAGGTTAGTATTTGCGTTCTGAAGTTGGGGTTGGATGGGGGTTCTTACCCGAGATAGGGGTATACGGCGCTGATGAGGCCGACGAGCCAAGACACCCCGTCGCTTTCCCAGCCGCTGGAGTTGGTGAATTCCTTGAAGACGAAAGATGCCGTGTTCTTCGGAGCCATGACCCCGAGGACAATCAATATGGCGATGAAACCAGTTGCGTGAAGAACGCCTGGGGACGTATTGTTAGCCGAAGTTTGACGAAGTTTTTTAATCAGGCTGTTCATGCTTACCAGACACGATGTTGGCTGTGGGCAGAAGCCTGTGTCCCCAGATATTCATAGTCATTCCGTATACTAGTATAGCCCAGTAGAACAACATGCCCTGCCACCTTGCCGGGATGTAAGAGTCATCGTTGAGGATGATCAGAGACTGGACTTGGAGACCAGCCGCGAAAGCAGCGGATGAAGTTAACACAACTTGTCCTCCCACTGAAATCCAGCCAGTTGTGAATGCTGCCGCGGATCGAGTCGAGGGCGGGCACAAAGCTGCAACCCAGTGGTACTGGCCTATGACAAATTCGTCAGTTTCAACTGGACTTAGAGGTGTAGTAGAAGAATCCCTCACCTCCTGCTGTAGGGTAGATTGACGCAATTTCCCCCAGAGAAGAGGCGATACAGACTGTGCAGACAGTTGAGAGCACACTTATCCAGGGGTTAGCCATCTCTGAAACCTCAACTCAAGAGCCATCCTCAACTCACAGGTTATAGAACAGGCAAGGTGCTCCGCCGCTCACAAGAGCCGGCGCAACAACAGTTGACAGCGCCTCCCATGTTGCCATCAGACACACACATAATGCGCCCAGGGCAGGAAGCGAGAACTGTCTCTTCAACTCCTGCGCGTGACCGAGTTGAGCAAGTCGTAAATCGTCGCCGGTAACTGGCTCCGCCCCAGATTGAGAGTCAACTCTCCCCAGGGTCACCGTATCTTTCTTCATGTCGGTTTCCATTATTCAACTCAAAATGATGATGGAATAATTGTTGACCTGCGCACCGAATGTCGTCTTACCGTCGTACGATTTAGCAACTTGATCCCGGGGGTTGTCAGGCGCCATCTTTCGTTATGTACGTTCCACGACTACTCAACTTTCTCTCGATCTTATCACCGCAACGCAACATCGAAACTGCAAAACTAGCAGGCCTTCTTCCAAAATGGAGACGATGTGCCTCGCGGCGGCACCGCTGCATGGTGTACGTACGGCATCTTATCTTCAGCGGAAGACCCAATCAACTGCGTCGTGATAATCAATGGCCAATCACAAGAGCTTCCTGGGATGTCCAAGTCACTCAAGCTTTGATCAACCAACTTTTATAATTGTCTTATCTTGGCCGGGGTTGAAGATAAGAAGAGTACGGGGGGCGCTGGTGCTTGACTCGGAGGCGTTCCGCCTCTTCCGAGCGATTCCGCGTGACGCCCTCGGAACCACTTCCGACCACCAGCCAACCATAACTCTCTGACCATTTAATGGCCCAAACTTGCGGAACATCAGTTGAGCGTCTCAGACATCAGAGCGCAAGTTGGCCAGATTCGTTCCGACGGCAGACCGCATACTTCATAAAGACACAATCTTTGCTCAAGTCTCGAGAACTTACCCTGAAGCAACCACCTCGGACGCCCACATCCTCCCAACCCCCCCTTGTTCCGACTACACCCTCCCCTCCCACAATGGCATCGATTCCGCACCCCCTGTCGGCCCTGTCTCTGGAAGAGACGAACAGGGCCCGAGACATCGTGCTCGCCGCTCACCCTGGCACGGTGCTGGACTTCAGGCAAAACTACCTCTGGGAGCCGCCAAAGGCTGAGGTGCTGAAGTTTCTCGATCTCGAGCACTCCGGTGCGCTCACAGCGTCGTCGCCGAGGCCGGCGAGATGCGCGCAGGTCTTCTACGATGTTATTGGCGGCGCCGCGAAGGCGCAGTACTACGAGTCCATCGTGGACCTGGGTCTCGGTAAGATCGTGGACCAGAAGCTTATCGGCTCCGAGCACCAGGCGAGCTTGACCATGTACGTCTGATGTTGCTTTCCCTCCCCCGCCACGTGGCGAGCGCGACGCTGACACGCTGTCTGTCAAGTTACGATTTCGAGGTTCTGGCCGAGGCCGTCAACCGTTCTCCGTTGTTCAAGGAGAAGATTGCGGAGCTGAAGCTGCCAGAGGGCTTCGAGGTCGTCGTCGAGCCGTGGCCGTACGGCGCTCCTGATGCCGCGGATGGCAACAACCGTTATTTCCAGGCCCTGATCTTCGCTCGCGATACGCGGAGCGGGAACCCTGACTCTAACTTCTATGCCTACCCCCTGCCTCTAATTCCCGTTATGGATGCGCACAAGAAGGAGATTGTGCGTATTGATGAGCTTGCTACGGGCGGAGGAAAAGATCCTCTGACGGGCAAGACGCATGCTCCCACCATCATTGACCACTGCAAGGAGAGCGAGTACGTCCCTGAGCTGTTGCCGAACGGTACTCGTAAGGACCTGAAGCCCTTGACTGTACAGCAGCCCGAGGGACCCAGTTTCTCCATCACGGATGGCAACTTGATTGAGTGGCAGAAGTGGCGTATGCGTGTTACCTTCAACCCCCGTGAGGGTGCTGTTGTTCACGATATCCGGTACGATGGACGTCCAGTCATGTACCGTCTTAGCATGAGTGATATGGTAAGCCTTCTTGACTCTGACTTGAGGTGCATTCCGCTAACATGTTGGTTGTTAGACCGTACCTTATGCTGACCCTCGCCCGCCTTTCCACCGCAAGCAAGCCTTCGACTTCGGTGACGGTGGCTTGGGCAACGCTGTCAACAACCTGACTCTCGGCTGTGACTGCTTGGGTGTCATCAAGGTTAGTCTCAGATCAAACATGACTGCCAGTTCTATACTGACCAACATCGATCAACAGTACTTCGATGGTGTCCTCATCGACGGCAAGGGTGCGGCCGTCGACTCCAAAAACGTCATCTGCCTCCACGAACAAGACAACGGCATCAACTGGAAGCACACCAACTGGCGCACCGGCCGCGCCGTCGTCACGCGCCGCCGCGAGCTCGTCATCCAGTTCATCATCACCCTCGCCAACTACGAGTACATCTTCAACTACAAGTTCGACCAGGCCGCCGGCATCGTCGTCGAGGCCCGCGCCACCGGCATCGTCTCCGTCGTCAACATCGACCCCGGCAAGACCAGCCCGTGGGGCAACGTCGTCAGCCCCGGCGCCCTGGCGCAGAACCACCAGCACGTCTTCTGCGTCCGCATCGACCCCTCCATCGACGGAAACGAGAACACCGTCGTGCAGGAGGAGAGCCTGCCGCTGCGGATGGACCAGCGCACGAACCCCAACGGCAACCTCTACGAGGTCAGGCAGACGCAGGTCACGACCTCGGCGGGCTTCGACGCGGCGCCGATGAACAACCGCGTGTTCAAGATCCAGAACCTCGCGAAGCCCAACCCGATTACCGGCAAGCCCGTCGGTTACAAGATCACGCCGCCTGCGACGCAACTGCTGCTTGCGGACCCCAACAGCGTGCAGTCCAAGCGCGCGCTGTTTGCTCGTCACCACCTCTGGGTCACCAAGTACAAGGACCACGAGCTCTTCGCCGGTGGGCGCTACACCCTTCAGAGCAAGCTCGAAGTTGGTGGTGTCAAGGATGCCGCGGACAGGAACGACGACGTGCTTAACCAGGATGTCGTCCTCTGGAGTGTATTTGGCCTGACGCACAACCCTCGTATCGAGGACTGGCCCGTCATGTGAGTGATGAGATCTGCCGATGAAACCGAACTGTGATGCTAATTGTGACTAGGCCTGTCGAGATGCTGCAGCTGCACATCACGCCGTCCGACTTCTTCACCGGCAACCCGGCGCTGGATGTGCCCTCAGATAAGGACATTGGATCCAAGCTGACGTCTGGGTGCTGTGCTAAGGAGGAGCTGCCCATCCGAAGCAACTTGTAGAAACATTGGGACTTGGCGTTTTGGAATTCTTGCATTTGTATGAACAGCGATGTGTTATGTAGAATGGCGGGCATGGGCTTAAGGAAGACAGCAAAGACTGTCTGGCGGCCATCTTGAAGCAATTATAGATTTCAGTCTATGCATCAGACTTTATTTAAATGAAAATCTTGATCATTAAATCAGTTGGAATAACTACAACATGTGAAATGTTTCGGTACGACCTCAATGAGCAGTTAATGAAGCATGGCGCGTGACAATATTTCTTGGCATTTCATGACGTTGCAAAAACATCACACAACTACGCAAGCAAACCTCCTAAAAAGTCAAACTTTGATCATACACCGCTATATTGTGTTCATCGGAACTTCATATCTTGACAAGTTGTTGAATCTGTCGTAATATGAAGATCTTCATGAATTTCAATCTCCGCTGTCAGTATCAGATGAGAATATTTTAACGAGCTGTAGAGAGAGCCAAAAGAAGCGCTGGAACTCTCAGTACTTGCAGCGTCCAACCACATAGAACGACTCCGGCGCGTCATGGCCCATCTTCATCATCATGAATGCATTCATAGACGTATGTCCATGACTCGTCGCTAATCTTTGATGATACCGTGATCAATATCTCTGAGCATAAATGAATAGTTTGAACACTCAATAGTACATGTAACTAGCTTCAAAACCCAGTCAGCCTTCATCTTGATACCGATAAGAAGAGATAGTGGCCCTGATGTGGTAGCCGGAACTGCATCGGAATGGGAAACACGTCAACGAACCCCCACACAGATAAGAGTAGACGCTCGGAATGAGATCGGAAACCATGACTTACGATGAAGTTATTGATAGACCTCATTGATGTGGGATTGAGACACATCATAGATGGAGAACCGGTGGCCTAAAGGCCCGAACCCGATCACATCCGGATTATAAATCATGGTTTTGACAGATAAGCTTGTGAGTTGCACAAGTCATAGAATTGTCTGAGATTCTTGATAAAGGTAAGAACTGAAGCTTGTGTCATGAGTTCGGGGCATTTTTGTGTGTCATTCAGATTGCCTAGTCACCCATGATAAACCCGGGCCAGCACCGGCGCGGCGATCAATCTTGGGACGGAACCGGGCCGCTTCGCGGATGGCAAGGATGGACAGTTGGGTCTGAACACGAAAATAAGATAAAAGTCGCTTGCATCTCCTTCAACCTGCGTCACTACCAAGTACTTAAATGGTCAGTCAGATCTCATTGCCTTACTTGCCTTCACCAAGGACTCAAGACCCCTGGTCAGCACTCGGTCGCCGCTGACAGTGCTCATCAGGCCTTAGCATCGTGCAAAAGCTGGCCTGTGGATGAATGTATCGAAGAACTCACTCACTGGATGTATGCGGCATGTCAAGATGAGTTCGATAGTACTGTCACGAAGTCATGCGACGTAACATGTCAGAAGTACTCGAAAGACTGGGGTCTGGAGCACTTTGGAAAGGACACACAAGGCACGGTAAAAGTCTTATTTGCAGCACTGGTCTCAAAGGAGCCGAGTTGAATATTTACATTTCAAATGGCCGCAAGGCCCGCCTTCCGTCTCAAAGTCAATGTTCTCAGTTGTCCCGTGAGATCTGCTTTGCAATCCACCACCCCCTTCTCCGACATCATGCACAATGCGCTTAAGCAGCGGTCTCGACCTTGATGTTGGCCGAACCGGCGCTCTGGTAAGCCTCGGTGGCGACGATCTGGTAGTCGAAGGTGGTGCCGAGGGTCATGCCAGCGTTCTTCCAGGCGTTGAAGAAGTTCTGGACGGTGACGGTACCGCCGGTGCGCTTGTTGTCACGGATGGCCCAGAACTGCTTGAAGGTCTTGGTGCCCTCGATGGAGGGGGCGTTGGTACGGGTGCTCTCGTACAGCTTGTAGGTGCTGCCGTCGGAGGTGACGGTGCCCTTGAGGGTTCCAGCAGAACCGGGGTTGTACTCGCCGAAGTTCTCGACGATGTAGTACTCGATGAGCTGCGGAAGGATTCATGTCAGCGATTGATGCGAAGTGCTTGAATATGAGGACGACTTACGGGGCTCTTAGTCCATCCGTAGATGGTCAGGTAGCTGTTGCCGTTGTTGACGGGGGACCAGGTGCCGGAGTACTTGATGCTTCGGCCGGTACCGGTCTTCCATCCCTTTCCGCCGACCAAGTTGCCGCCAGACTTCCAGGTGACGGAGTACGCGCCGGCAGCGCCGTTGGTGTAGGTGACGTCGGAGGCACCATCGGTCCAGAAGGAGTAGAAGTAGCCGTTGCTGGTGCCCTGAGAGCTGGGGGTGGCTCTCTTGATGAGATCGGTGCCGGGGGCGGTAGCGGGAGCGGCGAGAGCGCCGACGGCGGCGAGGGTGGCCGTGAAGAGAGAAGCGAAGGAACGCATGTTGATCAACAAGCTGACGTATGTACAAAAAGTGTTAAGGAACGAATGTAGTGGTCGGAATAGTAGGTATGGAGTCCGGTGAAGGAGTGAGAAGAGCAAGAGGAGGCCATCGCGACGGCTGGTGGTCGGGGCCGTCCTTTTTCAATCTCATTCTTGCGATCGGGATTTCTGGGTCAACGAGGCACTCTGCCAGGGGTGGCGATGGGATGACAGGGGGAAACGGAGATTCAAGTGCCGTTTACCATGGGTATTTCCATCAATATCAACATGGGGGTTTGCGTGATGGAACCGCCTTGCCTAGAATAAACTACTGCCGACCCACGTGGGTAGCATTCTTGGGACGGTGGGAGTTCGCCTGAGGGAGCAGCTGGCAGCGTCCCCTTGCCCAGTCCGATCTTTACGAACATTTCGGACGGGGAAGAGGTGAGCGGGTTGCCCAAAGGGCTCGAGGATGACGGTCGAGATGGACCGATGAGGAGCTTTGCGGTTCCGCCAATCGACGCGTCGGGCTTAGGCCAGGAGTCGGATTGAGTGCCGCGTCGTCGGGAGTAAATGAAGCAGGCCGGGGCCGATGTTGCATGATCCTTGTCGACGCTCCTCTCCGCAATTTGCGCAGGGGGGAAACAGAGGAACAGTCCGGCTCTGCGGCCGAGCTGCAAGCTTGGACTGGTAAGCATGTCCGACACCCCTATTTAACCGGCCATGCCGCTCGCCGGGCTGTGTTTATCCAGCACATTGCCATTCGAGGTGATCCCGGAGGAGATGGCCCGTCCGGCGGGATCTTGCACATCATCGTGTTTAGCACAAGCTTTTAAGGCTCGGGATGTTCGTGCTGGCTGCGGGCTGGCCGCCAGGACTCACTCATGAGTCATCGGACGGACGTCAAGTTGATGGTCAACCAAAAGTGGTTGCACTGGGAGCACTTTTGCCGGCGGCTGAAATGAAGTGGTGGTAACCGGACTGGAGGGATCGGGAGTTCTGCTTTCTGCCGGAGTTCACGATGAGGAAATATTCTGATGGCCAATAAGTTGCCGCGGTGGTGTCGATTGAGGCTACTGATATTTGGTAACTGTTCTTATGCCGTCCCGTATGAGTTGCATGCTCTTTGCATTGCATGGGCAATCTTGAATCTCCACAAATGCCGGCGCCGAATGTTTCTAGAAGCTCGACATTCTTCAGGGACAAGCTCCTTTCCAATTTCCAGTCGAAGCTGACATCAGGAGAGCTTTCATCCGCTTGGCTATGTGTTGTCAACTCCGTGAAGAGCAGACGATGCGAATCTGTCGTAAAGCCTCGTAATTCTTTCTGATCATGATGCAATGAGGTGATATGGGCTCATGAACTTGGCAATCGTTTAATTCGTCACAATTAGCGCTGAGCCATGTTTCAACCCCGACCCCAACCAAACTTGTGTGCTCTCATGCCGCCATCCTGCGGAATATTAAACAAACAGCAACTGAGCCATGATGACGGTAGAGACTGCCCGTTTAGCTCAGCTAATTCCGACGATCCACGATCTGCAACACATCCCGGTGCGTGGTCGTCCATCGGCCATCCAGACCTCTGCCACCAGACGCCATTAGTCCAGCGCTTCGGACGGTCAAATGATGCCGTCAAGCCACACTCAGCCAATCCAAGATATGAACAGCCGTTCTGCTAAGCTGCTAACCTAATCATAGTCCCAAGTTGCATTAGTCTTCACAAGCGAGAGACCCTGACTTGCACAAGCGGTGCCCAGCATGCACCACCCCCGCATTTGGGCTCGTCCAGAACGTGCTCCCTTCCCCGGATTGGCAAAACCCAAACGAGACACCAGACGACGCCAGTCCAGCCGGTGGCACCACCATTCGCCCATCCGTCAGTCGCCTGCCCCCTTTGTTGTATGTCTCTTTTGGGGGCATAGTGTAGTGTGAGCTGCTGTCATGCCTCCTCATCAGATCAGCCTCACCCTTCGACGAAATGCGGGGTGCTGCTTCGACCGCACACTGCCGTTGCTGCGGTTGAGTCCATGGCAGAGAAGCCCGACTGTGCGCAGTTGCTGTCGTCGGTCTTTTACGATATGCCAGGGTTCTCATTCATCAGCGGGTCTATTATTGAATCATCAGAGACGAAGGTTACACAGCACCGGCCGCTCTGGCAACCCCGCCGATGAGATGACGTTATCCAACGGCCTTCCCCGGTCCAAGGCCTGCAGGGCGCAGGCGACGGCTCATTTGAAGGAGGTCATCACGCCCGAGCTTCTCGAGAAGCTGCGTCGGTTTTGGTTTAAGCATTTACATACCGAGGAGGCATTCATCTTGCCGCAGAAGAATCAGCTAGGGCGATGGTTCTTCGCGGACGCGGACTTCGATGCAGCATGCATGTCTGTATCCACTCATCGACCTCTTGCACGAGTTATTGATACTGACTCAAACACCAGCCGAAAATTTCGCCCGGCTCTTGAAGCCATGAAGTCCTCGAGAGCCACCACGAAGGACATCATCGCCATAGTGAGGCCCATCACGCCACTCCAGTGGTTGAGCCTCGTCATCCTGCTCGACCAAGTCCCGCGCAACTGCTATCGCGGCACAGAATCCTCCACCGTGTTCAAGTTCTTCGATCCACTCGCCAGAGACATCGCGAATCATGCCATTCTGGCTGGCGCGACAACGCACAATAGGACCAAGTACCGCGTGGCCTATCGCATGTGGTTCTATCTTCCACTCATGCACTCGGAGGATCTCAAGCTACATGACGCGGCGCTCAAGCACTACAAGCAGATGAAGGATGAGTTTGAAGAGCTCATGGCCGAAGACGGCTCCGTTGGTGACGATGATAGAAGGAAGTGCTGGGGTGTACTGGCCATGCAGAAGGAGACGGCGAGAGATTTGGTTGAGACCAATTACGACTTTGAGATGAAGCATCGGGATATCATTGCACAGTTCGGGAGGTATCCCCACCGGAACTACGCGATGCATCGTCAATCAACTCCAGAGGAGAAGGAATACTTGAAGAGTGGCGGAGAGACGTTCAACAGTAGTGGAGAGAACGAAGGTAAATGAGAGTAGTGCGTGTGGTGAGTGCCGCTTCAACCATACCTGAATTTTGGGTTGGACACATGGGTGTATTGGCATTATGAAAGGGCACACCGGGATGCTTGGAAGGAGTTCTTTGTTTGCTTACTTTGATGATTAATGTTATGTACCAATATCAGTACTTTGCAATTGGCTTTCGTATGTCATACCTTGAAGATTAGTAGAAGAGCCCGAGACCGAAAGAGCAATGATGATCGGGTCGAGTCAGGTCGAAGTCAATTTGATATTGAATCGAGTCGACCGCAAGACCGATCTGGCAAAGTCGACGACCCCAATGCCCAGATCCAGTAACCAGAGACCAACCTACCCATGCACGACGACGACTTCTTCAATGTCTTGCATCACTTGTAGTATACTCAAAGCCAACCTACGCAGAAGCTAGCTCAACCGGCCGAAGATGATACCCAATCACTTCGTTCCAGAAGAACAGAGACAAGAACTCTGTGTCGTGCCGCGCGCCGAGGAAAACCATTGTTGGATACTGTACAACATGTGAAGCATACACGCCTGAAATCAACGTTTACTGCCCAATTTCTGCGAGATAAGACGCGCTTTCGCTGCTGTCGCGTTTTGTCTTGTCGAAAACAATGCCGAGCTGTGATCATGCAATGGCTCAAACAGAGGTCTGGGCCTGCCGAAAAGCGGCAGGCAAACAAACTTTATACGACAGAAACTTTACCCTCCAGCTCTCAGACTTCGATCCACCAGTTTGGCACATGCACATGAAGCTGTTCGGCATACTTGCCGATTTTCCTGCAAAGAGGAAAGCTCGCAAAACTGGATGCGACTAAGTTTTCATACTTTTCACGGGATAGTCAGAGAGAGATGTCCGACTTTGGATCTCTCGATAATATCTCAAGCCCAACTCAAGACAGGTCGATATATCGTACTACGAGATTCGCCATGTGCCGCTGCCGTGGCGAACTTCTACATGGTCATATGTGACAGCTTTGCGTGAGAGTAAACATTATTTATAGAATCTAACTACGCAGAGACATCATTTGGCTGAACGTTGACGGTATCGTGGCATGGTTTTCTCTGTGAATCCACTGCGCTGGCCGTATCTCTCGGCGTCATGCCAGCATCTGTGACTGCATGTGGAGCCATATATATAGCTCACCATGAATTCTTATCGTTATTCCCAAGCGGGATCGTACCCTGGATATCAGACTAAGTTGTCGTAAATGGCAGCATGTATCCCTTTCATAAGAGTCGTGGATGCTTCGTGGCTGTGGGAGTGGAATGGTCGATGCTCTCGATCAGTAGTTGAGACTGTAGACATCGCATTAGCATTCAACAAAGCATAGCCACGGCCTCGGTCTGCTATTCACCTTCTTGCAACATACCAGGTAGAACACGGTAGCTCCTTGGAATGCTTCAGTCTGTCGTTCTCATAACTCCGGCGCCCAAGTAAATCTTAAGGCGTCTCATCCGTTGCTACTTGTTGCCGTCACCTTCTCTTTTAATGGCTCCTCATCATGAGCGACCTCCGTTTCTCTGATACTCAGTCGACTCTTTTTCGACCCTCGGCGCACAGGAACTCCATCAGGTGGTTCTCCGTCGTAAATGCGATCTCTGAACGTCGTCTGTAGTGGCGAAAGAGATCCGCCGGTCTGTTCGATATCGGGAAGCGCCACAAGAACAGCACCCTGTCCAACCTTGGTCCTGTTGTTGCTGTCGGGTAGTGTGACCGACTTCATGCTTTCCGGTCCTCGGCAGTTACACGTACTCATTCGAGTAAACGAGAGCAGCTTGTTTAAGACGACGAATTCGACCTTCAGCTTGACGCTGTACACGAAAGGCTTACACATCGTCTGCACCTCAAACTTGTCGTTGTACTCGAGGATGATCAAGCCGGTATCGAGAAGAAATACTACAGCGAAGAGACCGCCGAGATGTCGGACCATATTCGCAACGGCCTTTGGTTTGATCGCGCTGAGCGGCTTGAGGCTGAAGTAGCCCTCGTATAGAAAAAGCCCGGCAATGATGGTTTCTTGTATGGTAAAGACAACTAGCTCGACCTTTTCATATATCTTGAAAGGTAAAACCCACTCTCCGGGGTGATTCGAGTTCGCCAGGAAGAAGATGACCGTTTCGGGAATGTGCATTGTGACTGCGTTGAATATGATCATCGCCAATATCATGCGAATCTTTCGTTGACTGTGGACGACGAGGTGTAGTCGAGACCAAAGAACGATCGCCTGCCCCTGTTCATTATCTAAGCCACTGAACTCATTTCATATGTTGCTTTCTGACCTACCGTCACCATCGAGTACCACGCTATCGGAATGATGATGCTCGATGCGAAGATTGCCTGGTGGTAGTATCCGAAGTATCGCAACAAGAACGCGATGACGTTGATGTTGATTCCAGTGTTGGACACAATCATGCTCCAAAAGTATCGTCCCCGCCGCCTCTTGAACGTGGTGAATATGGAGAAGAACGTCTCGATTGTGTTGTAGTACGCGGTCGCGGCGAAAGCGATCATCACCATCGCCTGCGCCTGAGAGACCGAGATGGTCCCCGTCTCCCCCGCCATTCTCTCAGCACGATAACTGAACTCGGATGGTCGCCGGCGCCGGTGGTTCGGACCTCTTGGAAGGCATCATGGAGTAGAAGAGCGCGACGAACAGGTTTGGCGGAAGACGGGATGGAGATGCGATGGCGCGGACTATGTGCCAGCCTGCAGGAATACTTCCAGCACCGCATACTTAAGACGACTGGTGCTCGAACATCTCGAAGGGTCCGAGAACCACGCCGAATAAGGTTCGGGAACCACCTCACGGGAAAAGTATAAATCTGTTCAAGAAGGGCTGCGATTTGAGCCGACTGGCGTGAAACCAGGGGAATCGCAAACCCGGGACTGACTCGTCTGCCGGACTAGACCCTTGAGAGAAGACGGCTACGTGTCGAACGAATCACAGCCGGACGCACATACGACTTGACTGCGACACTGCATAAACTCAAAACCTTTGGGGAAGGTCGATCACCAACTTGATTCTTGTTGGCTCAAGCCTCAGCCAAGGAGCGTGCCGCTCGGCAATTCTTCAGGGACACACTGTTGTCCGTGTGGCCGTTTGGCCAGGGCGGTTGAAGGGTGAGACCAGGTTGCCAGGGTCGATGAGAGTTGGCCGAACCGGTCAAGTTCAGACGGCACACCCATTTTCAATATTCTAGAAAGCCGAATGCTGAAATCTGTCTTCTAAGACGGCGCTTTTGTTTGTTCTTCACATAAAAGCTGGCTCCCTGACGTCGGCGTGGGTTGCAGATGGCCTCACAATGATGTCAGTGACCTTTGACCTAAGAACTTCTCCGGATCGAAACGATCAACTACAAGAACTGGTTTCACGAAGACATTTGGGCTTGACAGTCTCGGCGCAATTTTCCGCCGGCTTTGAAAATATAAGCCGTATACTAGAAGAATCCAGGTGTAGTATATGTTTTCTACTTCACTGTCTCCGTACAACTTGTCATTGGATGGAGTTCATGTTTTCTTCCGCCTGATTTCTTTGCTGTCAGTGATGTAAAATGACCTGCGAGATTTGCAACGTGACAGCGATATATTAACTGAATTGAAGTTTGAAAATCCGCGGAGGTCGGTGGGGTAATTGATGTGTTGTATCAGAGATCATTGTGATCACTTGAACAGAGTAGTTGAGGCGGACTTCACCTTGCTCAGGCGGAGATACCCGTAAACAGTAGAGAAGAAGCTCGTTTGTGTCTTGAGTAGATATAGAATTGAATAGCTCAAGTAGTTTCAGAAAGACGTCATATTCGCCTGCTGTTATCCTGCAAATGACACATGCAGTGAGACCAATGACCAACATCATTCACTAATAATACTGTGGCTGATACTAAGTTATTCAAGGAGGTTGGGAAAAGAAGCATGGACCCCGGCTGGGGGCGAGCCAGCTAATCCCAGATCACCGAGGATTCTGAGAGTGCCGGCCGAAAATGAAGCAATTGAAGTGAGGCTCTGGCGATCCGTCAAACTTTATACGGTCAGTTGCCGACCAATTCCGACGGAAAAATGTTTAGGCAGTGAGAGTTTCGTCCGGTCGTTCTATCACGTTGAAGTACTTGCTCAAAGTCCACATCATCGTAAGACTGAACGCCAGAGTCCATGATGATCAACTTCAATATGTCTGTTGGGTCACGATTCATCTTCCAAATTGGTTTCAAATACTTAACGCATGGCTTCAATCTCTATATATACGTCGCCTATAAAGCTTTTGCCGGCTCCATGAGTGTTATGAGCTCTGATGACACGGAAAAGCGCAGTATTGCATTGAGACGGAAAAGAAGCAAGCAAGAACAAACTTTGTGGCGGTTGTGCCGCCAACCATCATGGCCAGGCGAAAGCGTCATGCAGAAACGCGCATGAATCGAGATGCGCGTCAGTTGGCGACTAAATCCCCTGCTATTCAAAAGCATCGACTTGACTCGTGACTGTACAGCATTAAAATGCTGAACCAACAGTTGTCTCTCTAGTATAATCTTGACTGCACAACAACTCACTGAATATTACATGTACATGTATGAGAGACAGGGCTCTGATTGAGGAAGGAGAACTCGATTTGAAATTTCGAGTGAGACTGTTGTAAAATCGACAGGTTTACTCAACATCAGAGAAACTTGACATCACGGAAAGGCGTCTCAACCTGTCTGTTAGCCCTGAGCTTGTATCCATGAGAGCCTTCCAATATGGCCGAACCTTCATCATAACAATGATAACAATCATTGCAAGAAAGCTTCGCTCGCACTGCTAACTTTAAATCGGATTTTGATTGAGTTCACAGTCTTGACAGCTCACACAGCAAGGAAGCCACAGCCATGGCTTGAGCCATTACTTATTAGTCTACCAACATGGAGACAAGACATTGAAATGCCACAAACATGTGGGTTTCCAAAGAAAGTGAAGTTCTGAGTGATTGAGTCTGACCTCGATGTAGCTGCGTTCAATTACGCCGAACTCATATTACGAGTAGTCTCAGTGTTCAGGCTTGCATCTGGGACTAAGTAAGATCTTTGATTGTTCCATAGTATCCGTCGTGATAACGATTATTGATAAATTAAGCGGAAGGATTTCAAGGAAATTAAGAGAATCATTTAATATGTTGCTAAGTCTGCGAGCTACCACATATCGTGACGAGTCTGGAAGCCACATGCCACATGTTATTCTCAATAGAGCAGTTCAAATATCCATGACTAAACAACCAAGTCACAATGAATATCATGTACTTATACTAGGACCTCACAATTCCGATTCACCGTACAGTAGGTTGCAGTAGCCCTTTTATTCAGCTCTTTTGAATGCAACTTAATTTGCACCTTTACTTCTATCTTACTTGCTCATGTATGTCAAGAGCCTTCCTCAAATCAGCGCGAAATCTAGCCCAAGCCCTGAAAACTGATCCACTAGCCGTTTTATCTCGCGACTTTATAATGAAACTAGCGTTATAACCAATGATTGTGATTGGATCTTTTCTCATTATATCAAGATTGAAATGAAACCTTTGTTCTCACAGGAGAAGAACGACTAGAGTTGTGCTACAACTTCACATGTTTATTCACGTTTCTGAATTGATGAACCAACAGTGAGGCCTTTTTGGCAATAACTAATCCAATTTGATTCAACGAGGAGTTTATCAGTTTCTCTCTGCTTCAACCGCCTTGATCAAGTCCTTAAGCTCAGCATCCGACAAGGCCTTGACGCCAAGCAACTCATTGTCACTCTGCTTCCATGGCGATGAGAAGTCAGGCTTTGAGTTGGCATATCTGATCATGTCCGCCAAAACACCCAGGTCAAACTGTCCAGATTGAAGCTTCGCCAGAGCTGCAGCAAATCTCTCCTCCATGTTTGACTCGGACTCCTGCCATCCGTCGGAACCCAACGCCTCTTTGCAAAGGTCGGCCATCTCCCTCTGGCTCTTGTTGACTGAGTGAACATAAACGGCGCGGTTTTCAGTCTCGGCAGGGTGAGATAGAGTTCCAGAGACAGCCTTTCCGACAGTCTCGAGGGTAGTCCAAGGGATGACGTTGTTTCCGTCGTTCATGTAGTCGATCGTCTTCTTGTAAATGTCGATGTTGAGGAACCCGGTGCGTAGGCAGAAATCCAGGAATGCACCGTTGCAGATGATACTCCATGTCATGCCGGTGTCTTGGCACTTCTTCAGGAGATACTTGTCATTGGCGTCTTTCTTGAACCAAATCGGTAGGGTGTGTGGCTTGGGGTTATTGGAGTCCAGACTGAAGTCGGACGGGATGTATCGGTAGATCCCAGCTGCGGCGGCTGCGTCCATCATTCGCGTCGGGGTGTCGTCTTGAACAAGAGTGCAGTCGACGAACGCCTCGTTCCCCTGCAGAGCCTCCTTGATGGCGTCAGATGAAGTATAGTCGACCACCTTGACGGTAACTCCTGCTGGGAAATTCCCCTCCTTTCGAGTGAGGACAGTGACTTGGAACCCATCCTGGATCAGAGCCTTCAATACATGGCTGCCAACGTGACCAGTCGCCTACTTTAATTTTAGTATGGGCCAAAACGGTGTGAGAATATTTGACCTACGCCGGCGACCGCAACTTTCTGAATCTTAGGTGCCATGTTGTAGTTATTCGATGACGATTTGGTGTCTTCTGAGATGCTGTATTCACAGAATTGTATGATAGCAAAAGAAAAGCTCTTTTTATAACACTCTCATCCGTTCTTACACGTGTAGTTTATCACTAGGCTTACAAATACTTTGGCCTTGCTCCCGGAGTTGAATCTGATGTGACCCGGCAGAGGCCGGCATCCGCCGCATCAGCCATTATGGTTTCATGAAACATAGAAAAGCTCCGAATAACTACGCAATTCCGTTGCAATATCTCATCTTCGGCCTGATTTTAGACGTTGTTTCTGTGTAAGCCATTGGGTCGGACTCCCGGCCTGGGGAACGCAGGCCTCCGCCCCGAGTCCGAGCGGGACCTTGTGAGTCGAAGCCGCAATTTGATCCAAGCTTGCGGTCCGTTGGGGTTGTTTGGTGTTTTCGTATCGTGAAGCACACCATAAACGCGTTGCTGTCTCAGGCCGTCCGATCTTTCCGGCTGTGTCGGCGGTTCAAAGTTCATGTCAAGACCTTGCTGGCGCGGGACGGGAAGACGTGCTTGGCAGATCACCTTAGTTTGATGTGGGGTGCAGGAAGGAAGATGGTCGCACTCTTAGATTGGTGTTTATGATGCCATATAGTTAGCCACTTTACCATTTGATGCGATCATCACATCCTTTGACTTCGATATTTAGCGCGAACAGCACTGCACGTGGTATCCAAAGTGAATTCTATTCCAAGACATCAGACTACCGCTATTGACCTGCAACCCGTCTAATGATCCCTAGAACCTTCCCATGGCGCATTTCTTAGTGGGTGTTGGTGACAGAGAAACCCTTGATTGGGTAGTGGAAGTTGACATGATGAGACTCGACCTTGCCCGAAGAAGGGATGTAAGCAGACTTGTCCGCAGCTCTGCTCTTCTCGACACTATCCCATCCCAAGGCCGCAACGAAGACCTTACCCCCATCAACGTCCTCAACAGACAGACCACTGGCAAGATCGTTGAGTCCCGGAACGCTGCGAGACTTGTCGATCTGGGCCCTCATGTCATCCTCCGAGGCTGATGAGCCGCTGATGGTGATGACCTCTGCGATGGGAGAGTCGATAGCACCCCGCGGCGCGTAAGGCACGAACTTGATGAAGTATGACTTGATATCGCCGTTCGTAGCCGTTTTGAAGTTATCCAGAGCGGCCTTGCCCTCGGCAGAAGCGAAGAACTCATCGCGGGCTTCCCTTGTCTTCCATCCTGTCGTTATGTGTTAGGTTTGCTGAACGCGGCCTCTGTCGTCTCTGCAGAGAATAGGCTTACCGGAAATGACGTCGAGCATCTGCTCATTCTCAGTCCAAGGTCCCCAGCGGGTGCGGAGGTAGTCGTCATGGGTCTTCAGCGCAAGAAGGTAGGCCTTCAGAGGCTCCTTCCAGTCATCTACAGTGCCCTTGACAGGAACGATCATGCGCTCGGTGACTCCAGACATTTTGGGTTTGTGATGGTGTGTATGTGGGTTTAGTGAGAAAGGATGATAAAGCTTGAACTATGGGAATTTGGCGCGCGGCTCTTGAGTTTGCTTTCTTGGTTGTGTGTGATGAGATTGACTTGTAAGACCCTCCTTCTTTGACGAAATTGACGGCACTCGCTTACCTTTATACTAGGCGATAGACCCGCTGTCTGTCGAGGATCGAGATGAATTACTCGAGTTGCATATTTACTCAAGGAATGTTGACTTGGTGAAGCATAACACCAGGGCGCATGTCCGGAGGTGATGACACAGGGCCACGCAGAGAGTACGGCCCGACGGCTTTTCGATGTCACCGTTCCATGTCCGTCCCGCGCGGACTCCCGCGACTGCACGTCAGGCCACCCACGTCTATGCCGCGATGTCAACAGTCATGCTAGTTGAGCCTTCGTTGTCCGTATACGCGTAAGTAAGTCAGTGGGGCTACTGAATATGGCGATGTTCTGGACGTACGGAAGCAAGCCGTGATTCCGACCCGTCGTGGCGGAGGCAAGAACTCAGGGCCCCAGCTTCTCCGCGATGTTTCCAGCCCATGAATCCGTTGTTAACCTGCCATATAGGAAGAAAAACACCGAATAAGAGGTTTCAACAGAATTTCCGAAGTTCAGACGAACAAGCAAGGTCTGGGAGTTGCCCTATGGGGTTATGTCTGGCGTTTTGGCAGAAGACATGAGCTTCGCCTCTCACTCATGCATGGCCGACCACGGACAATGCAGCTGACGGACAATGACGTCTGTGGATCTGACATACGGCAGACAGGGAAGAGCAAGTTGCCGTTTGCAGGTGTCCGATGCTTCAAAACTCTGTGACGGACATGACTGGGGTCACAGGGTGGATTGGCAGGACGTCCGCAGCAAATGTTTCAAAAGGTCCCGATGGAAGGGAACAGACATCTCGGGAGCTTGGAGGACATCTTGGTTTGATCTTTCAATGAATCGCTCGTAGTCTAATTCAACTCGGACTTCGCGACTTGAACGCGTCTTGACATTCTAAAACTGTCGCTTTCGCACTTCCCACCCGGCATATCACTTCTGATCGCGAGGCCGGTTGCGCAGCCGGCACACGCGGCTACTCGGTACTCACAGAGCTTGAAGACAGGTGTCATAAACATTAGATGGGCATCTCCAGCTGTGATGACAGCCTCTTACTCGTGTCTCAGCTCTGTCGGCGCAGCTCCGGTTCACTCGGGAGGTGATCGGGGCATATTCCCGATTTGTAGACTCGCTACCGCCGGTGGTGACGATCCCATGCCTGCGAGAACGAGTTATACGAAGAGCATGAAGTTCTCTGAAATTGATGCCAACATCATGACTCCGACTAGTATTGCAGACCAGCTCCGATGCGTCGATGACCGATCGACACTTTGAGTGTGGCGCAGTATGAAGAGATCCGCGTTGACGATCCGCTCATAATGCGCCGGGCTTCATTACTAAGAAGTAAAATATGGACGATGGGGAGAGAAGACTCTACGTATTAAGCAGAGATAAAGTAAAAATTCACGTGGCGACTATCAAGCGCCTCAAAGACCGACGTTCTTGCAGGCGATGACTATGTCTTCAGCTGCATATGGCCACGGATATCGGTGTACTTAAACATATTGAATTGAACTCCTGAATCTATATAGCTATTCCATAACAAAACACACTGAAGCAACAGTTCGTTTCCTCTCAATCAATGCTGTCATTCAAGTTCCCCCATTTCGACCGATTCTCGGAAAGTCTAGCTATCTTGGACCTTTGGAGAGAAGTACGATGACATGTACAGGCCCTTCGGTCCATAGTTGTAGGAAACGTAGGACAGTCCACCAGGTTTTGAGTAGTCTCTACCCGGTCTAGATTGGTCAGTCAGAAATGGATTCAAGGTTTTAAATAAGATTCGCACTTACAGCTTGGCTATTTCTAGAGCGCCCCTAGAGAACTTCTCTGCAGATTCGTCCCATCCAACGTTCTGCAGGGCCTGCGTGAAGTTGTGGATGGTCTGAGCATCGCTCCTCGCGGTCTGTCCCCACGGCAAATGAGCCTTGATGTCGATGCGCTCGTCGCCTTGCTTGAGTTCGAACGCGAAGCAGATGCCCTTGTGGAGGTTTTGCATGTCTCTTGCATCCTTCCTCTGGGTCGCGGCCATGCCCTCGGGCTCGTCAAGCAACAAGTGCCAGACCTTCTCTGCGTATTCGACACCCTTCATCGTCGCCTCGTCGGTTTGGGTTCCTCCCAAAGTGAGAACGTCGGCGAGCACCGCCTTGGAGTTCGAAGTCGTTCGCGCGTAGACCTTGACGCGCGCCTTCGAAGGGTCAACGCAGTCGATCGCCATCATCTCCACCGGGCATGGCTCCTTGCATGTCGCCAGATATCTTTGAAGCTTCTCCGACACCTTGTAGAGCTCTTCTCCGCAGGGCTGTAGTTCGCGAATCATGTCGAAGACGAGTTTCTCTGTCGTGACGTCGAGCGCGAAGTGCTTGAGAACGGGGAAGAAATAGGCTTTGAGGGTGCGCTGCGAGCGCTTCATGTCGTAAGCGAGGAAGAGTTGCGGGATGCGCTTAACGAATGACGGAATCTTTGATCGCGCGACGGCAGCCTCTTCGGGTGTGACGAACCACTTCTTCAGAATCTGCTCGTACCAACGCATGTCGACACCAGATGACACCTGAGAGAGGATGGGGATCATGGAAGCGCCAATCTCGCCGGCGAAGGGATCCTCATCCGAACCGGCGGAATCGCCAAGAGGCTCGAAGGTGTAGCGGATCACGCCGTCGTCACCCTTTGTGAAGTTCCACGAAGGTTCAAAGGTAGAACCATCGTAAGTGAGAAGGGGACGAACTTTAGCCTTGGGGGTTGGGAGGCCAAAGGAGGGAACCACCACGTCACGGAAGACGCGTAGGTGGTCTGCCTTCTCCTCAGGTGTGTACCCCTCAGCGCTGGTGAGCAGACTGTTCAGGAGCGGCGCACATCTGTCCCACCACCACCGGTGATTGGGGTTAAGAGGGGGGTCGATAGGGATTGCTCCGTCATTTACATCTGACGCGAAGGCATTGTACCTATTTGGAGACTTCAGAGGTGCCTCAAGGTTGTCGCTGATGGTGTTGCGAATGGCAGTTGGTGCCATGATGAAAGATCAAGAAAAGTTAAACTGACGTTAGAAAATGCGAGTGGTAGTTGGCATAGGGCTTGGCCGTTTTCAGATGTAATGTCGTGCAGCTTAAGGCTTCTTTATAAACAATCATGTAAAAGAAGCCATCTTTCGAGTCAAGCTTATATCCCAGCGGAATACTCCCTGAACGTCACCCCCCACTCTTCCGGGCTTGCGATGAGTTGACAGACAAGGAAATTCGGTTTCTGATTCTCAAAGTTCACCTAGTTCGTCAACATAGTCCGTGATGACTTTTTCGCCCGCTCGGAATAGCATGAGCTCGCCGGTTATGTCCGGTGCCAGATTGCGAAAACGTCGCTTCAATGCCGTACTATCTTAGAGGTAACAGGAATTTTACATGGGTATGCCTCCGAGTATCTCCTCAATGGGCTAGACTCTATCATTTGGACCATGGAAATGCGGTTTTCTGGCTGTCAAGCTGAGATGGCCCGTACTGTCTATGATGTTGGACTCTGATTCACGATGCGGAGACCTTGAAACAAACCAGGACGGCCTTGGTACGCCGGCTTCCATCTCGGGTTCAGGCGAAACAAGACTCACAATGAAGTAAAGTTCTTTTAAAGCACAACATACACACGTGTCCTTCGTGCAAGACGGTTTGTTGCGCTCAGATTCGCGCATCAAGATGGTCTGCATCAATCATCTGTTCATTCGTTCGGAATAGGGATCCAGAAGGCAACTCTAATGGCTTCCCGACATCAGACGGGCGGACATAGCACGTATTCGCAGTTATTTCCCAACAGCTTCTCGCGCCCTATCGCGCCATACGCCGCTACCCGAGACTCCGTTTCCAACACCCGGGATGTTGCGCGATTCGCTTTTGACACCAGTCAAAGACGCAGCGACTCAGCTCCGGACGTTCCCAACGGACTCGGCGGTGTTCGATCCGCATTCTACGGTCCCATTTAGGAAATTGCCGGAGAACCGATACTCCAGGGATCGGACCTCCTCTACTTCGCGGACCGTTTGACTTCAGTCACCCCGTGTTCGATGAACTTTTACAGCCGCATCGGGAACGACATCGGCGGCAATCTGAGGAGGCCGAGGGTCCGCGGTCGTACGGTATCCGTACAGAGCTCATCCTAAGCTCCAGAGCTTTGGTAGTAGCTTGTGGCCACAAAGAAACTACTATTTCTACTAAAACAGCTACTTCCCTTCTGGTTTACATATGGTCGTCCCAGCTCTATCTATCTAACAAGTTTTCGTACACCAGAACCAAAAACGCATTCGTATTCTCATCTTTCAGACAATTTCATTCACAAAATCACAATTATTCGTCAAGATGGCACCTGGTGTCACTAGCACAGTCAAGGACACCACGAACGGCTCCGGCGGGGCTGCTCCCGCTCCTCGTTTCCTCCCTCCCGGTGTCTCTGTCGAGAAGTTCCAAGAGTTCGCAGCACAGCTTCAGAAGACGGTCGGGAAAGAAAACCTTCAGATCATCACCAAAGACACGCCGTTGGACGATGGCGACTATCTCACGATCGACTGCCTCACGCACGACATGCACCACCTCTACGAGCGAGAGGAATTCGTCGGGAGCGCGCTCATTCACCCCAAAAACGTCACTGATATTCAGGCCGTCGTCAAGCTTTGCAACGACTTCATCGTGCCCGTATGGACGTTCAGCAAGGGTCACAATGTTGGCTATGGCGGCGCCGCTCCGAGGGTATCTGGCAGCTTGGTCATGAACCTCGGAACCCACCTGAACCGCATCATTGAGGTCAACGCAGACGATTGCTACTGCCTCGTCGAGCCCGGTGTTACGTACCTGCAAATGCAAAAGTACCTCAACGACAATGGCCTCTCTGATAAGGTATGGCTCGACTCTCCTGAGCTGGGCTTTGGTTCCATGATCGGAAACGCCTTGGACCATGGTGTTGGCTTCACCCCTTATGGTGACCACTGGATGATGCACTGCGGTATGGAAATTGTTCTGGCCAACGGCGAGGTCGTTCGGACGGGCATGGGTGCCATGCAAAGCCCCGAAGGTCGGGCTCAGGCGGCTAAGGGTGTGCCACCTCAAGACCAGCACCAGAATGAATGCTGGCAGCTGTTCCCCTACGGATTCGGTCCCATCAATGACGGAATCTTTTCTCAAAGCAACAACGGCATCATCACCAAGATGGGCATGTGGGTAAGTTTGGACTGATGCTCAGTTCATGTTGTGAGTCAAGTTGTTAACCTGGAGAAACAGCTCATGCCCGCTGCCCCAGGCTTCACCCCGTTCATGGTAACGTACGAGAAGGATGAGGATCTTGCTGCGGTCGTCGACATCATCCGCCCACTGCGTGTTGTAAGTTCAAGTCCAGTTTCCGTCCCATCGTTTAATGGCTCACAATCGTAGAATATGGTTCTTCAAAATGCTGCCAGTCTTCGCCACATCGCACTCGATGCGGCTCATTACCACCCTCGTTCGGAATATACCGATGCCGGTCTCGACGTCCCTCTCACCGAAGAGCAGCTCGATGCTGCAGCCAAGAAGGTCAACCTGGGACGATGGGTGTATATTGGCGCCGCTTACGGCCCCGATCCTATCCGCAAGGCTCATCTTGAGATCACCAAGCGGGAGATGACGAAGGTGCCCGGAAGCCGCTGGTTCTTGCTCGAGGATCGCAAAGAAGAGTTCAGCACTCTGCATTGCCGCGCCGATACTATGAAGGGCATTCCGACCTGGGACGAGCTGAGGTGGCTTAACCAGTAAGTATCCCAAAAAGGCCTATGTCGACGACATCACTGACGGCGTTGCCAGCTGGATTCCCAACTGCACATTCCTGTCCTTCTCACCTATCTCCAAGGTCGACGGAAAGTCGGCTCAACTGCAGTACGACATGGCTAAGAAGCGCTTCGCCGAGGCCAAGATGGACTACTTTGGAATTCTGAGCATCGGAATGCGTGAGATGCGTAAGTCACGCCTTTGACCTGCATGAAGAATGATCTACTCACACGTGGCCGCACAGACAACATCGTATGCATCGTGTACAACCGGGAGGATCCCGATATGCGTCGCCGTGCGCAGTGGCTCGTCCGGACCATGATCCAGGACTGTGCGGACAATGGCTGGGGAGAGTTCCGAACCCACGTCGCGCTGATGGACCAGATCGCAGACACGTACGACTTTAACAACCATGCGCTGGGCCGGTTGAACCAGACCATCAAGGATGCGTTGGATCCCAACGGCATTCTTGCTCCTGGCAAGAGTGGTGTTTGGCCGAAGAGCTATGATAAGTCGAAGTGGGCACTGAACAAGGATTACATCAAATAGACCAGGGCATATCAGTGGTCGGAAGGGCATTTTGGCACAGCATCTATGTAGAACTGAACATGAAATAATCAACACTCTTTTCTTAAACTCTAGTATCCTTGTCCAGTTTGAAACACAGAGTCTCCTCACAATGTCGAGAGCTTCAAAAACTGTTTGCCTATCACCACTTCGAGCCACGATGCTGCACTTAGAGTGACCCGGCCCACCGACGATACTCCGCCGTCTGCCGACCTCATGAGAGCTTCCCGTCAGGGCCCACCTCAACAACTTGCGATATCTCGCTTAACGCGCCCTGATGGTCTAGCGGTATGATTCTCCCTTAGGGTTGTTATTTGACAATTCGTCTTGGGAGAGGTCCCAGGTTCAATCCCTGGTTAGGGCCTAGTCAACGAGCAATCCTGTGATGATTGCTCGAGATCCATTTTTTGGTGATTTATCTCTCCAATTGCCGACGAAATGAGAGTTCAGACGAACTCCGCCTCTACGCGTCAGACTTCGCACTCTTTCAGTATGTCCTTCCACGCTATTTTGATGGTCCTGGTGTACTGTTTTTGTATTGTTTTTGGAAACATAGGGCGCGATGTTCGATGTTGGAATTAAGCTTTGGGGCTTAAGAACTCCGGCCGGATGCGGACTCCCAACGCTCATTCACAGCATGAACTCATTATCCGGTGTTCATCATGGGAAGTCAGGAATCGGCAATAATGTGATATTAATAAACGTTGTTTGTCGCGGATTTGAGGCATGAACGCACGTGGCTACGGTTTCAACGGTTTGCCAGTTTCCCGCACCTCCGACTTCTGCACACGGACTTGAGTGGGATGGGATGAAAAGAAGAACGTTCCCGATAAAGATCATGTTGATACATGCAAGCTTCAGTATTGGTTGAAACAGCATTACAGCCTTGTAACCGGGATCCTAGGCCATTCATACTTCACGTTCCCTGGGACAAGCTTCACGCGTAGCCTGACCGCGAATTCGGGTCCGCGAGAAGCTCATCATCAATTGGACCACGACAGCGGAAGCCTAAAGATAAAGTTGGTATGGTGGATCTCATACGGGCACTTCGCGATCCGAGAAACCCGCCAGATGACCTCGTCTGATGTATCTGGATTACGTGAACACTCTTGGTAGTATTACCAGTCTTTCTTATAAGAATACGGGGCATCTTTGATTAGAATTCCTATCGTTTTGCACACAGCTCCGAAGCTGAGACATCGCCTCGAAACTACGTATTGCCGGATACAGAAATCTTCCACCCTCATTCAGGATGGCCAACGCATCTTCAGAAACAACGATCGCACTCGTTACAGGCGCAAATCAGGGTATTGGCTACGAAATCGCAAAGCGTTTGGCTTCGGAGCATCCGGATTACCATGTCTACATGACCGGTCGACGGAAGGACGCCATTGAGAAAGCCGCCGCCGAACTTCGGTCTGCCGGCCTAGATGTTGAGCCAATGGTCCTAGATGTCACTTCCGACGACGACATAGCAGCCGCAGTGGAACAGGTCAGATCGAAGTACGGTCGCATCGACGTCATCATCAACAACGCCGGAATCTGCATTCCCGACCCGAAAGACCCCGTTCGACAGCGGCTCAAGCACATCTTTGACACGAACATCTTCGGTGCTGTTGCGCTCACGGAGGCCTTCATGCCCCTCCTGGAAAAGTCGACCAAAACACGCCGAGTGGTAATGGTCAGCTCTGGACTCGGAAGTCTACAGGTTCGGACAGATCCCAACATCGGTCCTAACCGCGACTTTCTGGAGTACGGAGCCAGCAAAGCAGCGCTTAATCATGCCTGCTTGACGTTCGCCTCGCGACATTATGGTGATAACTCCTGGAAGTTCAATACTTGCTGCCCTGGCTACTGCGCTACAAATATGAATAGCTACACTGGGCCCGATGATGCGTCTCTTGGATCAATCCGGCCAGTTCAGCTGGCGACTTTGGGGCCGGATGGTGTCACAGCGACGTTTTCGAATAGACAAGGGCGGATACCATGGTGAGAAGATAGACGTTGAAGGCTGTCTTCTTTGTACAACGACAGGGTTGGGCGCAGCCTAGAGCTTGGAGGTTTTGTGAGTTCGGCCGCTTTTGGCAGCAGAAGAGACTCAAATGATTGTACAGTTCAATGCTACTTTTGTCATTAGAACCCGAAGTTGGGCCAAGTTACGCACGCTGAGATCTCGTGTAGTCGAACCTGATTGCGTTGAATCACCGTGTACTGCTAGGGCTTACGGAATCAGCAGGCAGTGATTGGACTGACGAACTGAAAAGTCACGTCGCACAAGGGCGCACCATAACTTCCCCGCTTCTGAGATACTTCCCGGTGTCCAACTTTACTACGAAGGCAACAACACCGTCAACGATAACCTGGCCAGTTTAGATATCGGAGGAACTCCAAGTCGTCGCCGCGTTCGCAACCACGCTATCATGTCAGAAGCTACACCTAGTCGACGGCCTTTTAAAGGCTCTTGCCACTGCGGCGAGACCCAGTTCATCGTCTTCCTCATGTTCCCTCATGCTATTCCTCCACCTCGCCCGCCGAAGGAAAAGGCGCCGCGATCGCATCAGGAGTTCTACAGATGCAACTGCACCACTTGTCATAAAGCGGGCTTCTTCCACATGCGTCTCGAGTCCTCTCCGGACGACTTTCTGCTCTTGAAGCCCCTCGACCCGTACAAGGAGCTCGGCGACTATCAGGTCTACCAGAAAGACCTGCACTTCCTCTTCTGCAAGACCTGCGGCATGCGATGCTTGATCTTCATGGGGAAAGGGGAGGTTGTGGAGGTTGATTTGGAGACGCTGGGGTTCAAAAGCGAGAGCGGAAACGGAGACAACAGAGCGGATAGCGACGCAAAGCTGACAAAGATCTGGAGACCCCTGAAGGATGGTTGGCTGGAAGGGAAAAAGTTCGGCAGTTACTTGAGTGTGAATGGGTATGCGGTTGATGCCGGACAGGAGGGATTCGACTTACGTGAGATTACGGAGAAGAAATGGGTTGGGTACCTGGACTGGCTTGAGTTGCATGAAGACTCCCAAGGCGTCCGACACGATCGCCCTTGGGCGGGAGGTGCGTATTGAACCGAGTGGCTAGCCGAGTCTTCGGTGTTTCTATGCAGGTGACAGGGTCGTGTGGAGTCGATTTCAGAGCCCGAACAACCCTACCTACCTGGTAGTCTAGATATCAGTCAGACAATGAGAAAAGTAGATAAGGCCATCATTCCCCGACCCCATTGAAGGAAGTGAAGCAATGATAAGACCCTGAACTTTACTGTTCCTTCCTCGTACAATCATTCCATCAGCCCCAGCTGAAAACCATGATAAGAGTAGAGTGATAATGTGCCTCCTATCTGCCAACTCAACATGCGGTGGTAGAAACTCCGCCCGGTTTGCGGGGCCGGCGACGTAATATCATTGCGGAGGTCTGCGGCCCGCATCCGGTTGATGGACGCGGGGTTATCTTCTCCACGATCATTCTGTGGAGACGCTTAGTTGCAGATAACATCCGTGGACTCTCGGCATAATGCAGTCAAGTGTCCATCTCCGACGATGGGATTGTAGCTGCCTGGCCATCCCTCTATCTTGAGCAGGCAGACCTATCGAATCAATAGCCGGTAATTAATGACAAGTATCATTGACACGTCTAGCCTGAGAAGATCCATGTCATGCAGACAACGCGAAGTGATCAAGGGTCGTAGCCAGGTGATATAAAGTAAGGCCATCGTCCGTTCTTGGAGCTGAACAGAGTTCTACACCCTGCCCAAATCGAATTGCCCCAGATTTCCCCCCGTGCCTTCCCCTGACTCTCCTTTCATTCCCCAATTATCTTTCTACATACATCATCATGACAGTTCGTACCGTGAAGGTTGCCTGCACCCAGGCTGAACCTGCTTGGGTTGACCTCCCCGCTGCCGTTGAGAAGACGTGCAAGCTCATCACCGAAGCCGCCTCCAATGGCGCTCAACTCATCGCATTCCCTGAATGCTGGATCCCCGGCTACCCATGCTGGATCTGGGCCCGTCTCATCGACTTCGACCTCAATGTCCGCTATATCAAGAACTCGCTCTCCGTCAACTCCCCAGAGATGGCCACCATCCAGACCTGCGCCAAAGACAACAACATCGCCGTCTCCCTCGGCTTCTCCGAAAACGACAACAACTCCCTTTTCATCGCCCAGGCTTTGATCGGCCAGGACGGCGAGATCAAGGTCCACCGCCGCAAGATGAAGCCGACGCACATGGAGCGGACCATCTTTGGTGATGCGTCGGGCCACTGCCTCAAGAGCGTCGGCGACCTTGGTTTCGCTCGCGTCGGCTCTCTCGCGTGCTGGGAACATATCCAGCCCCTCTTGAAGTTCAACACCATTGCCCAGAAGGAGGAGATTCACGTCGCCGCATGGCCGAGCGTTACCCCACACGGAGGCGGTCCCGACATGTGGTCCATGAGCGCTGAAGGTTTGTGATGATCCCGGCAAGATCGGCTGAACTGGCGGTTTCAGAGTACCAGGCACTAACAGACTACCGGAGTAGGATGCCAAACGCTCTCCCGCACATATGCCATCGAGTCAAATGCCTTTGTGCTTCATAGCACTGCTCTCATTACCGAGAAGGGCGTCGAGGCACATCAGAGTTCTGGCGGCGCCATCATGTCATCTCCCGGTGGCGGAACTTCTGCCATCTTCGGCCCCGACGGTCGACGTCTCACAGAGCCTGTCGACGACACTACCGAGACGATCCTCTACGCCGACTTGGATATGGACATGATCCACAGAACCAAGATGTTTGCAGACTGCACAGGGCACTACAGCCGGCCTGATCTTCTGAGACTTTCTACGGATAAGGAGATTAAGCTGGTGGTTAGGTTGCAGGGAGACCTCGACAAGGAGCCAAAGCAGGAAGAGCCGGTCTTGGTCCTATAATTGCTTGATCCGGGGAGTCAAGCCCGCGTCTAGTGTGTGGAATTTGTACGTTTGAAATGATACCAAGTACATAATCTTGAGACATCAATTCTCGATCTTCAAGACCATGATAATCAAATAAGTCTTTTCGCTACCTTTCCACGCTGTTCAGAGTAACCATTCTATCTATCGGCCTTGCCTTCACATGGTATTGCCCGAAAGCCAACTGAAATCGTCGCAATTCGCTAGACCCTGGAACGCTTGGAGGAAATCGACGGGTCCCACAGGGTTTGTGTGATCGCCGCCGAGACCAGACGCGTCAAGCGTCCCCAGAGAAGCAAACGAATTCATGTCCAGAGCGTTAAAGTCGACTTGTTCTTCAGCCGCGGCCGCGTAGGACTCCCACTCATACTCTAGGTTCAACTGATTACCAGCAGCAATACTGGCATCGTTAACCTGCTTCTGCTGCGCACTGCTAGCCATAAAATCCCTCTCGGCTCCCGGTGCGGTCGGTTCGATCTGGTAACTGAATTCGATGGGGAGCGCTCGCATGACGCCCCAGCGCTGGGCCAGAACTCGGATAACCGTGATGCTTTTTACGGCGCGGACAGGCCAGGCTACTTGCAGCTCCCGCAGGAGCTCCAGGCACTGACGGAGCCAGTATGTGCTCTGGTGGCGAAGGGCGGGTGTCCAGCTCGTTGCGTTCATGAGGTGGACGATGGCTGCGCTGAGGAGATGGTGGATGATGACCGGGTTGGCGGGGGTTTCGAATCCATGTGCCCGGCGGTAGGTCCTGACCAGGCGCGAGGTAGCTGTTGCGGCGGCGGTGAGAGAGCGGAGCACGAGAAGCATGAACTCCGAGTTCTGCCCTGTAGTGTTTGCGGATGAAGTGGTTGAGGCTTGTGAGATTGTGGCAAATATGCGGAGGAATGGCGGCATCGTAATGAGAATCGTCATTTGATACGCTAGGTGGAAGAGGATGACCGGTTTCGGTGTTGAGTCTCCGGTCAGATGTAGTCGATTGTCGCGAGATCGGAAAAATGCGTTGAGGGCGTCTTGACTTGCGACTAAGACACGGACTTGCTGCGGTATGGGGAGGGATTCGAATGTCGTGGAGAAGCTGAAGTATTGTTTAGACAGGTTTACCTGAGGGATAAAGCGCCGACTTACACTTGATCCATGTACTGGTCGTGGAGATACCACAGCTTGCACTGCCATGCGAAAGATATTTGAGCAAGGTCTGCTGTCGAGCTCTCAAATGTCGTGTCAAAACTAGGGACGTTGACTCTCCTCCAAGGTAGAGCACAGTTGCGGCCGAGAATAGAGATGGCCGTGCGATCAATAATGTAGAACATCCAGAACGTCCGGATGTCTTCTTCACTTGCTTCGAGTTGCCTTGCCTCACACTCGTCTAGGGCCATGACGTGAAGTCTCAAGTGAACACACATACCCGCGGCCATGGAGATGAATATCCATCCGAAGTGGTCCCGGCCGAGTGCCAAAGATCGCCAAGACATCATCGAGAGGCCCTGGATGACTTTGACCGTGGGGTTTTGTCGACAGCAAGTGAAGGCCAGGCTCTCTGCGAACTGGCCGAAGGTATCTCCAATCTTCATCGCGTCGGGCCTAAGGGAGAAAGTCGTGCCTGTCGCGATGATGCAGCTGTGCAGGAAGGCCTCGTCCGGATCCTGATACGGATATCTCTGAAGGAAATCTGTGGTTGTGTATGGAGTGAACTGATGCTCTCTGTTGATGTTTTGCAGAAATGTTTCGGCCATCTCGTAGATGAGACCTCCTTGCCGGCAATAAGCAAGAACATTATCAGGCGGGGTGAAATGAGCCGATGGAGCAAGCTGTTGGGCAGCTTCGAGGTCGTATCGAGATCCGGTGGTGGGGTCGTTAATGATGGTGACGCCGTCGCCGACATTTGTCCTCCAGAGCATCACGCATAACTCCTCCATGGCTCGTTGAGACCTCTCTTGGCTTTGCGCATCTTTACCCGTTGGTGTTGCGTTGTCCAGGTCTCCTCTAAAGTGAACAGTTGAGCCCTCATTGGCGACGGCATCAGCAAGCTCAGCTGCTTCGGCCTCGTCAAGGCCATCAGGGAGAGCCTCGGGGGGTTGTGGTACGTGGTCACTGAGCGACAGTGGCGGCGACGGTTCCTTGTCGGAGCCTTCCTGTTGCTTTTCCAGAGCTAAGAGAAGTGACTGTACTTGAGCTTCAAGTGCTCTGACATAATCCTCATCCCAGTACTTTCGTCTTGAGACATGAAGTTAGTTGTGAATATTCATGTAACGTCCTGTGTGATCTGTTCATGAATGGTGACGTACTTCCTTGGCTTCTGCTCTGTGTAGATGCATTCCCTGTTCTGTCGGCTACATAATGAGCATGCAGGGCGGGCTGCATCGCACTGCCGAAGGGGTACGGTCAGCGACACCTCATCAGACTAGCAGGGACATTCGACCCCGTGGGGGGAGTATGGGGAAGAGGAGAACTTCTTTTACCCGAATGAAGAAATGCTAGTACCTACTTTTCGCTTCCCCGCCCTGCACCGGTCGCAAGCGAAGCTTGTCGGCTTCTGGGACATGGCTGTTGCGGAGGAATTCTTCAACAACACGCGGGTGCTGTGCCGTAGCTAAGCTTCACCGGAAGGCCCGCGTCTCGTCTGAGGGAAGGCCGGGTGAGATGGCAGCGGCAGCTCACTCTTTTCGGCCGGCGGTCGCCTTCTTCATTTGCTGATCGGTCCCGTTCGGTATGCAAGGCGGTAAGACTCAGGGGCGAGCAGGGCGAACGGGATTCCGTCCAACGATATGTCGCCGTCTCGTCGCCGTCTAAGTCGCGGAGGACGTCTCTCGTTGCCTTGTGTTATCGGTGGTTGCGGGGTGGAGACCTCCGCAGGATAAGCACTTTATTAAGTATGTGGAGGTGAAGTGACATGTCCAGGGCGCAGCGGAAGATGAGGGGGAAAAGTAAGACACTCCCCGGTCGCGGGGGCTGATTGTCTTCGGTGTGGTTGGCCAATGCGGATCAAACCACGGAGTGGACGAGACTACTGCCTTTCATCTTTTTGCCCAGTAACTTATCGAGTCTTCACTGCCACTCCGATGAGGCTGACGAGGCAAATCGTTCTGAAGGTCTCGGGGCAGCTGAGAGGCCTTTGACAATGAGAGTCAGGGTGAAAGAGTCATGACTGTGGAGACCAGCCCCTTTTTTGGCCATGCTTCTTTGATATGACGGATACAACAAAGGAATGAGAGAACCAATTAGAAAGGATAATTAAGATATGATTGCGGAATTATTAACTGCTCATTGGCTGGTCACCTTGATTATCGCGGTCTGTTTTCATCCTTCCGTGGCCGAGGTATGAGAGGAGAGAGCTCAAGAGAGCTAGAAATCCACTCAATGGTATCTGGAATCTGAAATCTGGACATCTATCTTCTATGGATCTATGAGGCCATTTACACCTAGTCAATCGGTGTCCATCCAAAAGCTTCTTCGATTTATGCTCCAGACGCATTCTTGGAAGCGGTGGGTTTGAAAAGGTGCGGGTAGGTGTTCCGTAGTTCCCGCAAATGACGAAGCTGGTACTTCGACGCCTTGGTCTCCGGCAACGGCAAGTCCTCCTCGACCAAGTGTGCTGCTTTCCACCCAAGCTCCTCAGCGCTCTTGCAGTTGGCATGAGAGTCATCTTCAACATTTGTCAGAATCAGCAAGCAAGAAGTGAAGATACAGCACGTTTCAATGATAGGGAATGATCACATACCTACGAAATAACAATCTTCGGGCTTCTCAACCCCCGCTTCCTTCATAGCCTTCCTGAACATATCCTTCGAAGGCTTGCAGAGGAAGGGCAGCTGGGCATAGTCGCAGTACGTCAGTCCCTCGAATAGGTCGTCGATGCCCAAGAGTCGCACGACCCGTTTGCCGTGGTTGACGTATGCGTTCGTGAAAAGCCAGAGTTTGACCTTGGATCTATCGATATCTTCGAGGAGTTGGCGTAGTTCCACATCCGGCTTGAGAATCTCGTCCAGAGGCAAGGCGTCATCGACCTTATCGTTGAAGTCGAGCGGGTCGATCTGGTGGTGTCGGACTAAGCCTTCTATCGCGAGCCCGTACAGCGTGTAGTACTCGTGGGTCAGCCTGGTGGCCTCCTCGGCCGGTAGCGATAGGTGTGTGATGAAGTATTGATCGATGAGTCTTGCCATCAGGGTGTGAATCTTGTGGCCTGGGTATAGCTGCGTCAGTCACAACAGATTCTACGATCTTGAGGTTTGCGTCACTCACTACGAGAGTAGAGGCAGTTGTCGATGTCACTGGAAGTCATGTAAGCCTCTATCCCTCATCGCGGCTCAGCGCGGCAGTTGATCTCACAAGAAGAACACCGGCCTGGTGTCTTTGACGCCATTTGTGGCTGCTTCTGCCATTTTTACTGTTCCCGGGAGCTTTGGTTATAAGCTGAAGCCCTTATTGACGCGTTTATCTTGAATCGATGAGACGAGGTGAATGAGGTATCGTGGCGAACATGAGTTCCGAACTGCGGTGCGGTTTCTGGTGGACGCGTTGAGTTTTAGCGTGTCCTGCCCCCATTAAAAAACTGCAACCCACCAATCGGGCCCAGCACTGGTGACCCTGTCATCACAGGGCGTACATGTGAGTGACTCACTGGTACGTGAAATGCAACAGAAGTTGGGTGATGAGACATTTGGCACCGTTTGACAGCTATTATTATCAATGCAATCACATAGGCTGATGAGATCGTTATGAAAAGAGCTCATGGTCTGGAAATCTCAAGCTCTGAAAGATGTACCACTACTGCTGTACCATATATTTCTCTCACTCTCACTGTAAACTCACTCACAGCAAACTCACTTAGTACTCACTTCTACCCAGACAAGGGGCGGATTCCTGAAGTGCCTTTTACTTCAATTCATGTAAACTGAAATGGAAAATGATATGCTTACATGGGTAGCACCTGAGATTACTACATGGTTTGCATTATTGAGTGAGTAATGAGTATATATAACAGATAGCTTCAGCTTCCTAATGTGACATCCCAATTCAAGATTGTGTGCTATGCCAAAGTGATATATGCCACCATCGAACATATCATGAGTAGTTAGGATTATGTGCAATTTCAGTGAGAGCATTAGCAGCTATGTACCTTTGGGAATGAGACAGCACTTGCGGTGTTGCACGTATGCCTCTCCCACAAACTAAAGGGTATTGTTCAAAATCGACTTTAGAAATAAAACAACGGGCTTTTATGAGCTTTTGCCATCATCAAAATGAGCGTTTACGAGATGGTCGGCGCCAACGTAAGCACGACCCAGTGGACCGCCGACTTCTCATCCTTCAACGGCGTCCAGTGCGTCATGAACCTCTCGTCTCCACGGAAGAGCGCACTTCGGCGTGTCTGAAGGCGGACCTCCAGAGAAATCGGCGACCCGGCGCGAATGGCGTTTCGCACTCTGGTCTTGTAGTCGGACTGGTGGTTGACCATGTTCTGCTTGAAGAAGCGGAAGATCTCCTGGCCGGTGACCAGGCCAATGGTGTTGTTGGCTGGGTGGAGCATTTCCATCACGCCCTCGGAGTAGAATCTGATGATGAAGGAGTCGTAACTGAGAACCAGATACTGTTTGCTAGTCAGTATTGTATCGCTCATAATGCACCAAGGGTTTGAGGATACTCACCTTTGAGTACGCAGTGTAGAATTCCTTCATCTGCGCGTTCAGGCCTTGACCTTCCATTCGTTGGAGAAGCTTGTTCTCCATGCCCGCGTCGGCGGCCACTCCGTTCGGTCCGTGATCATCGACCCTGACGCCCAGAGCCTTGAGGAATGCTTTACGTGCTGAGGGCACTGATCCCTCGCGGCGCAGTGGTGGCGTCTTAGACTTAGTCTCGTCCTGGGTGTCATCTTGGGTAGACGTCGACAGGACTCGCATGACATCGACGTTGCTGTGAATAGTCGTCGAGCAGTTGATCTGACCGCCGATGAAGAAAGCCAACTTGCCAGCCTCGTTGTAAAGTGGAGCTATAGTATCATTGTCAGTTTGGTTCAATACGGGGCCACTGGCAGAACCTCGAGTTAAGATGACCTACCAACGTAAAGCAAGTTCCAAAACGGATCGCCATTCTTTTTGTAGTTCAGTATCAACTCAACGGACTCCTTTCTCTCTTCAATGGCATTCTTAAGCCGGCGAATAGGATGGCGATCGGTGTGTGCTCCCTGCAAGAATCTACAGTTCCGTGGGATAATTTCGGGGCGGCTGTATCCCGTGACCTTGACGAAGCCATCCGACGCGTACACAATCGGGTTGTCTGCGACACTATTGGAAACATTGTTAGCTCAGGCGGAAAACCCGCTGCGGTCACACGACTGAACTCACGCCGGGTTAGTCAAACAGAAGCAGTCTCCGAGACCCTGGTAGCTATGGCGATTTGTTGCCAAAGCTCTGGTCGCGCTCAGTGCCATTTGATAACGAACAAATCGGGGGTAAATGTCCAGGAAAACATCCTGCTCGACGCTCTCCTGCAAATCTGTGAAGAGTGCCTCCATAGCTGGCAAGGTTTTGGTGACGGTCGACTTCATCTCAGTGTGAACCGACTTCCTCAACTCGCCATTGACGTTGATCTGTTTCGCCGAGGACTCGGAGAGGTAGTCCTTGTGAATCGATGTCATGATACCGGCGAGGTCGTTCAGGGTTGTTTGATATTGCTCGACCTGGATTCCAAGGGCATTAGCAACTAGTCTTTAGCTAGGTAGTAGTGCGATCGCGCAACTCACCTTTTTCAGAAACTCGACGCTTTCGCTACAGAAGCGAGCTTCGGCGAACTTCAGCAGCTGGTGCGAAGTCGTTGGGTTGTGAAGCACGACTTGAAAGATCCCAGGCCCGAAGAAGTCGACCGTGCGGTTTGCGGACCCGTTGCTCGCTATGCTGTGCTTCGAGGTCGACTGCCTCGAGATGGAAATCGAATCATCTGACATGGCTCTCCTGTCCGCGGTTGCCGGCCGAATATCAAGCCTCGTCTCAGACCCATTCTTCACGCTGAAGTCGTGGAAGTGTTCCTCCTCCATGTCGGCGAACTTCTTATATGTCGCCCGGCGAGAGCGTGGATTGTCGGGGCGTCGTTGGCTGATCGGCGGAGGCTCCGCATCGTCGTACAAGCGGGCGTGGTCGAGAACAGGCGTCCGGAGCTCCCGCTTGTGCGCTGCCAATGACGCGGCAGCACGCGAGGTCGGTGGTGGCTGGGACGACTGTCGAGATGATACTCTCGATGGCCGACTGCTGCGACTCTGGCGGTTGTTCGAAGTTGGCGGGCGACCCGTGTCTTCTATCGGATTGTGGATGGCGGTGACTGGTGTGTTGGATACTAGGCCTCCATCGGCGCGGACCTCATTCCGAAGGTCTTCGTGGTAGTCGTAGGTGCCGTTGTGATTGTCTTGGTGGCTGTCTACATCATCCTCCTCGTCGGACTCGTAAATGATTGTCCGGTGAGGACGCCCTATCGGCGGGGGTGTTGCTGAGCGAGCCCCTCGCGGTGAGCGCGGTGCGGAATGAGTCTCCCTGTGCGTAGACGAGTAGTATTGTTCGCTCTCGATTACTTGAGCTAGAATTCTCTTGGCGGCCTCAACCTCTTCCGCACGCGGGGGACGTTGCGGAATGTTATAGTCGCGACGTGATGAGATCCGACCGTTGCTGTCAATGCTAGCACGATCGGGGCGAGACGAGCCTCGAGTTGGAACGGGTATAGTGTCCTTATCGGGTCTGGTGTTGGAGTAATCTTGGGGAACCAAGTCTCCCCTAGACAGAGGGCGGGCAGAACGATTAAAGTCGATGCTTTCCCGTCCAGGGCGGGAAGCTTCCCCTCCACCACCATCCACTGACACGTCCGTATCCCTCTCGGGGTGGCTTCCGACAGGCCCCATCATTATGCTAGACTCCGAAAGAGATCGACCTCGTTGCTGAGGCCGCCGAATGCCCGCGTCGCTGTCGTCATCTGATTCATGACCAAAGGCGTTGCGCGCCTCTTCGATGGCCCCCATGTCTACGCGGGGCAGGACTCGTGTGAACAGCTCGTCGTCGATGGTACCCGTGGGAATAGCCTTCGAGGCGTTGCCGTTCGCGGCGCGAGGGAGGTGCGCGGCGTCGTCATCAATATCATACACGGGCGCCATGGCTGGAAGAAGAAAAGGCTCGCTTGGAACAAAACAGCAATTCGCGTAAAAGACAGGTGCAGGCGTCTGCTCATCGAAGAAAGCGAAACCTTGCTGGGGGGGTGAGTTTGGCGCGCGACTGTCTCACCCTGCGGCCATGTGTGTGGACGAGTTCAGGAGGGAAAAAAGAAAAGAAAGGAGGGCCCCGAGAACGAAAAGACGAAGAAGCAAGAAGCGGCGCGCCCGTCAACTACTATTCAAAGATCGGAACAGGCCGCGGCGGCACGGCCAAGGGTTTGATATCTCCATCTGACATGCACGCTCGAGCGTTCCCTCGTCTGTTAGTTCTGTTCGGCACAGAGCTCGAAGCAGGGGAATGCTCGCCACGCAGGAGGGGTCGGGCCCGTCGAAACCTGTTTTCTCCTGGGTGGACTGAAGATGCTGGCGATGGTCTTCTATTGCAAATGGTGGGAATGGGTGGCTGAAGATGGGACGACATGGCAGAGGTCTTCAGTCCAAGCCGACCCAGGACGGCTTCTTAGCTTGTGCTCGGACCGCGACTGTGCAGGTGTCCAGCCGGGAGGAGCTTGCAAAGTAAGGTGACATTTGTTTCCGGAACTTGGATCCGTCTGTGATTTCGAGCCTGGCATCTAGATGTCTTGCATAAAGAATTTGCTGGTAGCCATGGAACCCCCACCGTCCGGACAGGTCGCGAATAGCAACCTATTTGCGCTAATTTGTCACAACGTCTCGTTTGACTCGCTGCTGTCGTTTATTTTGTCGTCCTGGAGTTGGGACCCTTGGATGTTGGAGCTGTCAGAGAGGTGGAGATGTCGGAAATGGGCTCCAACGACCATCGCGTCGACAGGGATGAATCCAAGGATCATCGATAACCGAGGCGCGTGCCACCTTTCCTCCTTTTCTTCTTCGCTCAAAGTCAGTGAGCACGTATTTCTGTCAACCGGTAGTCAAAGCCACAGCAGCATCGCATATTAAATTCCCTTTGATGCCGTGGCATTTGAGACGCCTTGCAGCCACATGATATGCGATTAGGAGGAAGTTTTGCGGTTGCAGTTCTTACTTTCGGCACCCGTCGAAGTCTGTCTGATCCGACCGTGGGATCGCCGATTCCCGCTCAGCAACCCTTCAATACCACGCCTGCTGATATACCCAGCCAAGCACAAATAACAAGTCGGGGATCTCGCAACTCGTAGCCCTCACTCCACCTCGTGGCACGCCTCGGTTGCCCAGAAACAAGGGCAAAACGTCTGGATATCCCCCGTTCGTAGCAATATTCACAGCCAAGTATAGCCACATTTTTGCCCTCCTCGGTCAAAGTCGCGACTTTTTGCGGTCCCGGCCGGAGTTGAAGTCCGAGCGTTGTTTTTCGGCCTGCTGTCGAGGAGATGAATGGATGACGCGGAGTCTTCAATGTAACCCCGCGCCACATGGATGATGGATGCGGCCAGGCCACTCGGTGCGACATGACGACACGATGATAGGCTCGAGGGCCTCTGTCTGTTGTCGTGTGAAGAAACCGAGTCCACGAGGGACAGTCTCTGGTCAAACGGTTTTACTCAAACTTCAGAATAACACAGAGCTTTGCTTTGCTACCCCACTGCCATCAACTTTGAACACACCCATCCCGGTTGAATCAGGCTGATCACAAACTACCTAATGGATATGCGTTCGTCTCAAGATGAAGCTTACCGCAGCGCGTGGGCAGGCTTTGACCAAAGCTTTGGAAATGTGAGTGGGCCGATGCTCCATTTTTGACCCTGTCAAAATTCCGAGAATACGGACCATTCCGAGCTCAACTGCCGTCCGCCACACCGTTGGGCAGATTAGCATGCTGGCTTCGCAGATCTGAAATCTGAAAACTGACTGCTGTCAGCAATGTGCATTATTGTGTTACAACGTTCTAGCTTTTGTTCACTCATATTGTAGGGCTAAAATATTGATTGCTACAAAAACCTAGAAACCATTAGGCTCATAGATGCTGCAGCACAAAATGCTTCTATCAAGTCACAGGAACACTGACATTCATTCTTCCAGTCGACAAATTATGATTGAGCACGCTGTGCGGAGCTTTGACATACTGAATTATGTGCGTTGGTCCCAGTCTATGACCCATCGATCTGCAGGCGGCCATGCTTATGCTTATCGTGATCGAGCAAGTCAGCAACCGTGCTCAACGGCTACAAGCCCATCTCTCACGAGCACGCAGATCATTCAGAGTCTGGCAGAAAGTGGGTACTGAATGGGGAAGAATATCGAATGCGGCATAGATTCATCACGCAGGCAGACACGTGGCCAACTCGAGAGTCAGGGCTGAGTGTTTGCGAGTGTGGGGGCAAGCGCCCGCCGGTGGGATGTTGTGGTTGCAGATCACGGCTGATGGAAGCTCCTTATTGTTCGTTAGAAAGATTTTGAGGGCCATAGTTGAGTCGAACGTGAGGAGACCTAGTGCGGGAACCTCGTGTCATAGGAAGTGAGAAACGAGGAGTGGGAGGGCTTGTGTGCTTCATCTTGAGCAAGTGTGCCCACATGCTGAGAAATCTATGTCATCACATCATATTCTCACGCTTGAATGAAAAATTCTTGATAGATCGCCCATGTCAATCGCGTTTTACTGAGATAACTGGCTGAGACTAGCGATGGTACTCACAGAAGCCCGGAAGGCTGGCGCCGTGAGGCAAGCCAGGATTCAGTCTGTATCACTCTTGAGGTTTATTTAGAGTCGAGAAATGTGTTCGCGAGACACTATGGAAGCGACGAAAGCAGTCCCGACTCGACTTTCAGTCTGATTATCTGAGGAAGCATAGTCCAGTGGATAAAATTCGCTCGTTGTTGGACTCATGATCTCCTTGCCTTCTTCAACTTCAGCCGTTTGTCATCTCACCACACCTCCTCATAAGCTTGACTCCTTGAGAAATACAGCACTCAAATGATAGGTGATGAAATATGTCTTGAGAAATGAGTTATGTGGTGAAATCTATGTCCGCCGTTGTCCCAGAGTGAGGTGCTAGGCATCTTGGCCTGTGTGGCTCCTCATAATACCCATTCACCAGATGAGAGCTCTCATGATAACGTGACTAGTATCATCGAATTCAACGGCAATATGCTCATCCAAGTTCGATAGTCAGCGTGAGTGCGATCCAAATATGAGAATTCACTGAAATTGGAGCCCGCCTGGCTGATCGTGGGACTGATGACTCGACAGCGACATCCACTCAAATGTATACACTTCAAAATAGTTCCCGTCAAGTATTGTCTGCCACATGTACTCAACAAGCTTAACAGCTTGAGAACATTTGAAGTGATTCTTGAACTTCAACCCATCCTCTCTTTCTAAGTCACGACACTCATACCAGAAATCGAGTGGATAAGTGAGTAAGTAGTGAACCTATATGAATGATTCTTTATTTGAAAGTCTTAAGAAATAATAGCTGCAACTATTTTGATATCAAGTCTAGCGATCGTAGGCCTTGCTAGTCTTGGGCGCCCGTGATGTGGCGGCATGGCCAAAACTACAGGTGAATGAATAAGTGTTAGGGACACATCGACAAAAGCACGATTTCACGGGGGAAACAGAAATTAATCAAATCAGTAACTTGATTGAAATAAAGACACTATGAATTATGATATGTCTATCTTGTTCCATCAATCTTTCAAGGAGTGTCGTGATGAGGTGTACCATCGTGAGAATACAAGCTCTATGCAAGTGAATTGTAACCAACGCCCTTTAAATGCCGCATGAAATTCGTAGAAAAATCGTGAACCCGTCCAGGCTTACTGGCTGCCGACGTAGTTGGTGCTCGTGGCGTCGCCAACCGTGACAGTCACGTTGTAGTTGGAGAGGGTCGGGCCGGAAGAGGCGCCGTACAGGCTGTAGAGGCCAGCAGCGATGACGTACTTGCCGGGCTCAAGGCCGGCAGGGATGGTGACAGTCTCGGTAATGTTGTCAAGAACATTGGACTTCTCTGTAGGCGCTGTGTTAGTACAGGCTTTGCAGCTTCCGAGACGTCCGCGACTACTTACCAGGTCCGAGGTAGAAGGAGCCGATGACGGTGTTGAGAGTGCCGGGGTAGGCGGCAGCCTCGGTCGCAATGCCGAAGGCGATGGCAACGTCCTGGACGGACTGGATGTAGTTCTCGGTCTCGATGATCGCGTCGACCTGGTCGCCGGCCTTGACGGTCTCGGGAAGGGCGATGCCGTAGATGCGGGCGTTGGCCAGGGCGAAGAGGGAGGCGGCGGCGGCGAGAGAAGCGCGGAACTGCATTTTGGCTGATGTTGGGTTGGTTGGTGATTAAGTTGGATGGGTTGTTGTGATGTGATTGCGGATATTTAATGTGATTGGATGAGTTTGAAGGCTGATTGTGGTGATGGTGTGGATGAGAAGAGATCAGATGAGGTGGGTTTGTCTGATCTTTAAGTATCCATCGCGACATTCAACAGAACATGACAAACGACCCTAGTCGCTTCGATATTCCCATGGTTATTTTGGCATCACCGCGCATGACCCGACGTCAGGTACCCAGCGAATATCTCCGTGGGCGCACATCATCTGGGCATGACATCGTATCCCCCGTCTTCCCCGTGCTAGCCGAGCGCGCGGCTCCGATGTTGGCGGGGGGTGGCGCTGAGGCTCATCCTCGCCGTCGGGAAGACAAGCGTTGGAAAATGCGAGAGCTGAACCCTTAGGACTTGCCTAATTGGCCTATTCTTAGCAGTCCTCGCCATTCTAGCGGGCTCCTCGGGACCAACGTCACTGGGAAAGGGGCGAGAGGAGGGATTCAATCGGGGGAAACGTGCCGCTGACAAGACGGGAGAGGCGACCGCGGGGACGACGGGCTGGGCACTAATCAAACTTTGGCCTACTTTCTCTGTGCCGATCCGGCCGATCTTTATAAATAAAAACGACTTGTTTTTGACAAGCGCTCGTATTGAGGATCTCGGTTCGTGGCTTTGCTTTTTTGTCCTGATTCGAGTAAATGGCGTCGGACCGGGCTCTCCTTACCGCTCCTCAACGGTAACGTTTCAGCGAGCCAACCAACAAACCACGTCAGAGTCACACCAACACATAAGCATACGAGGTGATGAGCTCAAGTGTCTCGTCAACTTGTTCGTGCAATGTGGATAAGAAGAACATGGCGCCATCGTTGGCACGGAAAGGGGTTGGTGAAGGCTGGGAAACGCGGGTTGGAGGCACCATTTTTTTAGGGGTCCAGCCAACCAACTACCGAGGGCCAGCAATATGCATTCAAAGTGTCCGCTGCACGTCTCCGAGAGCGGGACTCATGCTTGTTGATCTTCTCGTATTCACGTGGATCCCTGCCAGCAGGTTCTCTGGCGCTATCTGCAGCTCCACATGAGTTGGCTTACCGCAGTCCATTTCAACAACTAATTAGTCACCTTGCCAGAGTGGTTAATGGGCTGGCCTGCTATTATCATCTATCAAGCCAGTGGCTTCGGTCGCGCAGGTTCGAATCCTGTGGGTGACGATTTCTTTTGCAGATTTCAGCTTTTTGCCTCGCTTTTCCACTTTGCTCGGCTGTTTGCGATTGCACTCGAACGAGATTTTTTCTTAGAAAGAACTGAAATGATTGATGATCTGTAATGTCTTTTTGATCTTAGCGACTTTTCCATCTTCGTTGAATCCAATGTCACGTTACCTACCTACCCATCATTGTCTCAGCCGCGGGTAGTGAGCCGTCACGTTGATGACAAACAGCATCAGCGTCAGTCAGTCAGCCCTTCTCGGCGACTTCATCTAGCCTGCTTCCTTGCTTCCATCTTGTGCGCAAGCTTCGTGGCTTGGCACACTAGATCGGCCCGCGCATGTAAGCAGATGTCAACACCATGCCGCTGACCAACGGACGGCGGATTTAGTGCGTTCAGTCATTGGAAGGGAGTCTTGGTCTTCAACGTACCTTACTTGCTTACTTACTTACTTACCCCCTTCTATGGCCCCATCGGGACCGAATTGCCTGCCATACGAGAATCATTTGACAAATCATCATTGTAAAAGACTGGACGTCAACGAATGAGTTGCAACTTTTCACCGTCAACCTGTCTGAAAAGATCGTTGTTGCTAGACGTCCTGTCGCTGACGTTTGCGGTCCCGGGGCATCTCATACCGAAGATCTTATTGTAGCATGAAGACGGGAAGTTAAGGGAGTGACGTAGTCCGGATGCTTGCATACTCATCGAGCCGTGGGATACGAGCGAACTAGACCCAGCAGGGCTTATTCGTAGACGATCACGGACTCTATCTACATCGGATCCGAACCAAGACACCTACTTCGCTAAAGTAATCGGAGAAGAGAAGCAGTCCAGGGTGACGGCAACGTTAGTGAAGAAAACAGTCGTTCAGTCGATTCAGCTACTACTTCCGTCGAGCCAAGTTCTATTTCTGGTTTTCGGCATTTTGCTGTTCACCATCCAAAATGTGACGTCTCTCACCCAGGTTCTAATGTCGTTCTGACGACCGATACCAAAGTTGCCTCTAATGATCTAGCAATCAGCATCGATAATCATGTTTATAGGCCTCGTATGCATTTGGCACCGTAGCTCCGACTCAAGATCGCTCACTCTCGACACCAATGATGTGGTCTCGTAACGTTTCCAAACCGGGACAGACCCGCATGCGTCTTCGCCGCCGCCAATCACCTGCCAATGTCCCAGTTGTTCCCCGTTCAGGTAGAAGATGTCGTGTTCTTCTTTTTCATCTGTCAAATGCAATGCAATTCAGTGTAGATCAGACATTATAGTCCACCAGCTAATCGAGTTCAGCGAGAGCTGACCTCACAACCTGTACTTTTACGACATATTGGCTGGCTTTCATTAAGCTCTGTTATTCAACATGATAAATTGCACTGAAGGTATTTGAAAAGCTGTGAATCTGAAATTGCGTGGGAACTTATCAACTGCATAGCCAACCATGATTCCCATCAATAATACTTATATTTCGCAATTGATATCGCGAATTTCCCAACACTCGATCCAATCATTCTGACTCTCTTGAAAAGCGCACTTAAATCTTCATATCATGCCACTCATTTGGACCACATCACCCACAACTCCGTTGAGCTTGCACAGAAAGTAGCTTCAATCGCTTGAAGGACAGATTTAGACTGAATTTGCGAGGAAGCATCTGATGGTAGTTAGTCCTATCATCGAACAATCTAAGCCCTGTGCAATCCCCTTTCATGATACGCCTAGTAAGCTCTACCTATCGTTTTGAAGAAAAGGCAACAGGAAGACAACAACTGCGAAGATACAAGACCTTCACTGCAGAGGTGAGCGGAGTTCAATGGCAGTACTGAGAAGCAGTTCGCGCCATCTATCTGAAGCAAGGTACAAATCGCCCAGCCATATTCAGGCTCAGCTATGCAAGATCATGCTACAATGGTAGTTATTGATGGTACACAGTCATTATAATACTCATGTATTTCCTTAATTCTTGTGTGTCCGTGAAGCTTAGTTGGATCCATCATAATCAACAGATTACTGTAAACACAATGACCTTGGCAAATATCACCTTATCCCGTGGCTGTGCATCACGGCTATTCTTTGTTTCAGAGGCTTGGTGGGGTGATGTGCAGCGACCTGCCTCAGAGCGGCCGATCAGCAACGCCGGCAGGCATCTCCGCTCCAGCCCGGACATGCTGGGCCCCTCCTCGGCGCCGGCCGATCGAGACCCACAAATCCCGGGAGCACACCCGAGCGGGAGCAGCCGCTCCGAGGACGAAACTCTCGCACGTGGCTGCCGAGACCGAGCACCGGCGGAAAGAATGCTCCGGCCCGCGTCGGTGCACCTGCATTTTGCCTATGCATTTACTGCGGGCAAGTACCTCCAATCAGCCAGTTTGAGGCGCAAATCCATCCGATGCCGCAGTGATGATGAAATTCTCGTCGAATAATGCGCGCATACCTCATGACGTCACGAAGAAATCTCCGACAATTGAAACGAAACCTCGACGATGAACTCAAAGTCTGCAAGTATTGAAGCCAGCCACAGACTAGCCTTCAACGCCAAGTTTGGTTCTAGTACCTGGAGATTCTGCTTACCGATATTGCAATCTCGCTCGCAAACAAAATGGCCACTAACCCGGAAACGAACCCCGCTGCTGGCGAGCCGATTACCACCAAGAACCAGGTCCTGCAGGCCGGCGCGTCGGCCGTTCAGGTACGATTTTGTCGTCAAATGCGACTCGAGTGCCATTCTAACGGGGTTAACAGGACTTTGCGCCGTTGAAAAGTGTCTGCGCGCATCTCAACGCTTTCCATGCCTACGCATCGGACCCTTCCCGAGCTGTCGAGGCGAACCACTACTGCGGTCACCTGAACGACGAGGTCCGACAGTGCATCCTCTACGATAGCCCCGAGCCCCATGCGCGTATCATTGGCATCGAGTATATGATCTCGCCCAGACTATACGAGACTCTGGACCCCGAAGAGCGGAAGTTATGGCATAGTCATGTGTACGAGGTCAAATCCGGCATGCTCATCATGCCCCAGATGTCTTTGCCCGATTCGATATGGGAGGCGGCGGAGAACAAGGAGATGGAGGAGGTCGTCCAGCTTTACGGAAAGGCCTATCACCTTTGGCAAGTCGACCAGGGCCATCAACTGCCCCTCGGCGAACCGCAGCTGATGACGAGCTTCACCGCACCTGGTCAGCTTGATTTCGAGAAGCACGTCAGTGACAGAGACCGGAGGTTCAAGTCAGACTATAAACAAAAGGCAGAGCACCGGAAGTATATTGCCTCGCCGTCGGTTCATCCCGACGCTGACCAAGCTTGGAGCGTCAAGGAGCACCAGGAGTAGGAAGGGGCTGAGGTGCAGAGCGTCAAACGCTGATGAGGTTAGTAGGAAAGGATGCGGCAGATATCTTGGGGTTGCAGTGAGCAGAAATAGGCAATTTGCGAGATTGATGCACCATCCCGCCGGGGGACTACCCGTCCTAAATCCTCCTAAATCCCCGACCATTGGCCAGGGCGCATAAGGTTGCAAGCGGGTCGAACAGGAGTTGAAGCCCATGAGGAGACAGAAGAAGCATAACAATTTTTGGTAGGAAATTCAGAACCTAAGGTTTTACAGTTGCGGAGGGCAGCGTTAGACGAGATCAATGGTGAGAACACGGAGAACGGGGGGGCCGGCCGCGCGAGGCCAAGCCGCGGTGGATATCAAAATGGCCACGAACTGGCGAGTGACGACACAGGAAGCGCAGAGCAAAGAATGCCGAGCTATCCCCTTTTAACACTCGAATGGCTCGATGTCGATGCTTCAGATTCGTCTCGAAACGTTCAAATCCACTCACAACCGATGCAGCCCACCCATTTGAGGCTGCTGGTGATCGAATGACACCTGCTCTGACTGTGGGCCGAGGTGAAACGTGAAGGGTAGATCCTGGTATTGAGATCCTTGCTCGACCGGGGGGAGGACGACTCCTTGCAGCAAATCGTGTGGATCTCGCGCTTCTCCTTTCCGTCACGGAGATTTTTTTGATTTTTTTCTTGGGGGTTTCCGGTGGCGCCAGCGGCGTTGGGAGGTTGGAGGAGGACGGGAAATACGGCGGAAATCACCCAAGCAGAGAGCCAGTCTGCCAAGTGGCCAAGCAGTGCATCATCCGCGTGACGGATTCCATGCAAGGTACACTCTTAGCCGTCAGGTACCCGTATGCTATATTGCACTCTATTGTACCTTATGTTGAATACGGGGATGCGAGTGGGCAAAGATAGATTGGCTCCCCGGACGCAATCAAGAAAATCGCCTTCACTATCGGTAGGGCTTCGTCGATGATTGTCGCTGACTCTCCACGCGGGCGTCGATTGAAGGCTCTTGGCTTTCAGACCGCGACCGTGACAGAATACATGATCCCCGAGTCGGTCATCGGTAAGTGGTTCCGATCGTCATAAACGTTGGCAATTGAGAAATGAGGCTCTGTCTTTTCTGCTGGGTCAAGGGAAGCCTCGCATGTTCTTGCCCTTCGGTCGGTCTTTCAAACAAACAAGCCACGATCTAAGATGGATCTTAGACGGCATCTTCATCCGTCGTTACTGTGGCTTCTTTTGGGCTAAAGAGGCGACCCCTTCGGCCGGTCTCCGAGCGCTGGTCTCACGTCCGGGGGGGAGGGAAGAGAGGAAATTGAATACCAGACGAGCGCATCTTCTACCCGCTGCCGCAGCCGTAGCCGCAGCCGGGAGGCCATGCTGCTGCATGGCCTGACTGCTGTCAACGTCAAGATCTCAGGAATGGGATGAAAAAGAACTGAAGAGAAATAATCAGTCCGGCCAGCCTGCCCTGCGTTTCTCGCGCACTCGCGTTGCTGTTCTCGGCCGCCGTCGCATGGCGCTTTGGGCGATTCCTCTTGGCACGTGTATCACACCTCGATTCTGTGACCCCCTTTAGGCCGAGGAGAGACGGGACCACCCTTGGATGATGGACGACTTCGCAACGGTGCACCCGGGAAAAGCATGGTCGCAGGAGCAAAGGAAGGGACAGAAGGTTCCTCTTTCGCAGGCAATATGACGGCGTGGTAAGCCTCGCCTGCGTCTCTTTCTGGCTGCTGCTGCTGCTGGCTGACATTGACATGCCCCTGGCCCGTTGTCAGAATTGCTTACCAGGACATCTGGTAATGCTCTGTGAAACACGCTCGCCTCTTCAGAACCAACCCCTCAGCGCCTAATCGTCCGACCTCTCATCTGTCTCGGCCCTGCCAAACACGGCTAGAGGCCGTTTGTGAAAACTCGCCGTTGACTCGCGGGCTCCCGAGTTCGCCGTCCGGGACAAGGGTGGACAGGGGCCCTTCGCCAAACTCCAAGATAGGTCCACCAACACCACCACTCTCTCGAGCATCCGCATCCACATTGAAGCACCTCCAGAGCCTCCTCCATGTCCTCCATGTTCCTCAAAGTGCCCTCTATTGGACTCGCTACCGGCCGTTGACAAGGCCTCGACCAACGCGGCGAACTGCACCATGACAGGCCCCCTGTCTCGCTTCAACCTCCCTCCTCCCCCTTCGTCGCGCCCCCTGCCCTACCTTCTGGTTCCCTTTCCAGGCTACCCTCCATCTTGCCAAGATGGTTACTGGCTCAGGGTCAGGTCGCGACTCCGCCCAGCACCACAGCCTTGCGACAGGAGGTGTTGCAGATGATCTGAGCAGATCAGCGTACATCACAGGTGGTGGGCGTTTGACTACGTTTGTGTCGTTTCGGCTGTCGACCGCCAGACTATGTATAAGATGACCTTCGCGGCATCGTCTCGTCTTTTAAGTTTCCCTCTCTACCCACACATCATATCATTCACTTGTGCCTTCGCCAAACCAGCGGGCTTCCGTCTTTTTCTTCTTTTTCTCTTCTTCCTTCACTTCGTTCCTTAATCGTGCTGGGCACATTGAACTTAGTCTCTGCGAGACAAGATGCTTTCTTTCAAGAACATTGTTGTTGGCTCCGCCATGGTGGCGCTGGTGAGCGGCCACGCTGCCATTCTTAATGTCCAGAGTGACCAGGCTGGTCCCGCTGGTGTTGGTTTCAAGGGTAAGTGAACGAAAAAGCGAACGGGAGAGGAGAGTTCGCGATGGCTTCATCGCGATCTCACTCATTGAGGAATCATCTCACTAACACGGACGCTCAGTTGACCCCAACCTGGCCCGCAACTGCACGACTATCAACCCCTGCCAGCAGGACGCCACTCTGATCCGCGACGCCGAGATCAAGGCCAACACCGTCAACGAATGCGGACGCACTGAGATTTCCGGCAACATCGATATCGGCGAGAACACCGAGAACCAACTGGCCGCCAAGCAGGTCGCTCAGGTCCAGGCCGGCTCCCAGCTCACCGTCACCATCCACCAGGTCAACGCCGACGGTGCCGGCCCCTTCGCCTGCGATCTGGACCCTACCTCCAACTCCCTGGCCGCCACCGGCCAGATCCCTCTCGAGGTCACCAACAACGTCCCCGGCGTCAACGGTTTCTCCCAGGCCAAGGCTCAGCAGTTCAACATCACCGTCAAGATGCCCGCCGACCTCAAGTGCACCGGTGCCTCCACCGGAAACGTCTGCACCGTCCGCTGCCGTAACAACGCCGTCGCCGGTCCCTTCGGCGGCTGCTTCCCCGTCCAGCAGACCGACGTCACCGCCACGCAGAACACCCCCCAGAACATCAAGACCGCCCAGGACCTCGAGGGTGTCCTCAAGAAGCAGCAGCAGAACGCCGGCGACCTCCCCGCCGCCATCGCGGCCAACCAGGTCGACGGCACCGCTCAGGGCAAGGCCAACACCGAGGCCGCCAACAAGCTTCTCGGCGTCCCTGATGTTGTCACCAAGGAGTTCCCGGCCTCCAACACCGGCCCCAGTGTCGACGGCACTGCCGGCGGCGCTGCTGGAGGTGCTGCTGGCGGTAACACTGGCAACGGCAACGCAAACGCCGGCAACGGCAACGCGAACGCCGGCAACGGTAACGCCAACACCGGTAACAACAACGCGAACACCGGCAACAACGGCCGTCAAAGGGGCAAGGCCAACCGCAACGGCCGCCAGGGAGGCAAGCGCGCCGCCAAGCAGAAGCGTGAGGAGAGCAGCGGACTTAGATGGGCCAAGCGCTACGTCGTGCCCGGAGCCGACTTCCAGCCCGAGGTCGCCCCGTGAAGAGGCCTCGCATCAACCTGAAGTTTCAGCTTCTAGAGCGTGCCTTTCCTCCTCCTCCTCCTCCTCCTCTCCCGTGCTGGCAGTGCGGTTCCTCCCTAATCAACTATACACCCCTTTTGCACACACGCGCAATAACAACAACAAACTCACCCGGAACTCAAATTTGTCGATGGAAAGCACTCTTGCTTGTGGGAGCGGTTGGCACTACAAACTCTTTTTCTACTTACTGTGTGTAAAATTATAAAAAAATTTCATAGCAATGATTTGATGTCAAGTCTGTGTTGTGCCTTTGTCTGGAATTTCGTCTCAGTGAGTGTGACTACAGAGAGAAATCTCACCAACGACTCTCTCACTCTCACTGAGCACTCAGTGAGAATGAGCAGCAAAGTGAGTTGAGTCGTCAAGGAGGGTGTTTGAGTTGTCTCAATGCGGCAACCCGGAGGTAACGGGGATGCCGGCCGAGGCTCTGTCTTGGTCAGAAATCCGAGCACCCCCAACCCCAACACCCCCCCCAAAAAAGACTGTGAAACCTGGTGGTGGAGTCGTTGGTTTTTTCCCTCTTGTCCTGGGAGGCCGTTATCTCCCTTGGTCCGTTGGAGGAGTCCCCGTGCTGAAACGCACGGATTCTGTGGATAACAGGCGAGGTCGGACGGAATAAGGAGGCCATGGTCGTACGATTTGAGCCGCGCAAGAAGGAGACGGCTCGGTCTCACAAGGACACGCGGATGGCGTGGTGGGCTCAGAGGTAGTAGGCCCGGCGCGTTCTTCCGCTTCCATGTCAAACCAGCAAGTGTGATGAAAAACTTGAACGGTCGCACTTGTACCGTTATCTCTGTGTTTTGCGAGTTGACTGCGGAGTTTCATGAAGATGGGGGGAGAGTTTTCGCTCTCGCTGACGTACAGTTTGGCCATTCTTAGCAGCATACCAGATAATGCCCACACTGACTGATACACCATACCAGTAACTACGCTCCAGAAGCTTGAGTATGTCCACAGTCTGGTGGGAGCAGCAGCCAGCAAGCCTCCTCCAGCAGCGTTTCTCCAAGGTTTGAAAAATGCCCCGGTGCTAAGCCTTACACATGTGCGTCAAGCTCACTCGGATCTCTTGGCTTCAACTGCGAGTCTGAGGTGAAGATCCACGCCTCCGCCAGCTGATTGGGCCCTCCATGGACAATCCCGTACATGTTTAACTCGGCCGTTAAAGACCGTCAGGCCTATCACCGGCCGGAAGTGCCTACCTACCTCACTCCTACTCATGGGCAGATGCCATAGCTGAAAAGTATCCCGGCCTTTTGGCTTTTCATCAGTTGCTGTACTTAGCAAAGGGGCGAAAAGTGAAAAAGTGGGATGGCACACCCGCCCGCGGGATTCTGTTGTTAGCGTTCACTCGTACCTTGCAGATGAGAGAAAAGTCAATGACGTCCACCCACCCCCCAACTCGAACGGGCAACCACTACGGACATTCTTTTTCTTCACTTCAATATGCCCACAGCTCACAACCTTCGACGAAGATCAATCATGATCGCCTTTTCGTGCTCCCAACGCATTGCGAAGCGCGGTCTCAGCAGGCAAAACGCTCCGGCTATGCGGTCTCTCGAATATTCGGTTTACGATCGGGCATCGCTCGGCGTCTGAGGTTTTCTTTTTCTTTCTTCAAGTCAATGTTTCAAGTGTTTCGACGACAGACGTGGGGGACCCGGCGAAGGGATGAAAAAGGAAGCCTTGCCTTTCGGTGGCGTGGGAAATCGAGATGGGATGTACGGCGCATCCCGGTGATCATGTGTGAGTCAGTAGATGTGTGATGTCCCTTAACCTTACATCAGCAGCATGTTTAACGCTGTTTGATCGCTCTACTCTGCTGCTGTTTTGTTCTTTTGACTTTTAAGGTGTTGCTTCTGCGCCTGGCGTTTAAACGGGTCCAGGCACGAAACATATGACATTGGTTTTGACTTTGGGGGCGCAGTATGACAAGAAACTGACAAAGGGAACATGTGTCTGACAAGCTTAGCATCGTAGCTTATTGCTGCTCTCACATGTTTCTGCATCTCGAAATAATGTGTCACAGATGCATATAATACTCGTGGCTGGCTCGTGGGGAGGCAATGTGTTATCTAACTTGCTTTGAGAGCAAGAGAAGGTTTAGTCTTGAAGCACGAGCGCGTTGTTTGCTCCGGCGAACTTTGATATCGTACCAGCTGGCCATTTTAGTTCTCTGGCCAACTTGGGGAAGGTATCTCCGTCTTCGATTTACATGTTCATGTCGGTTCGGCTGCTTCCGTGTCCTATCCAGCAGAGCCCCAATCTTTCCATCTCCTCTATGGTCGACGGAGTTGCGGCAACTTCATTGCGGATCACTTACCCAGTCATTGACAAACATGCTCAACAAGACACCCCGCAAAATGGGTCCTGATTAATTAATGATGCGTGCAATGAGCGTGAGAATCTTTCCAAGGCCAGCGGGACCATAACTCGAATAATACGGCTGGTCCAGATCTTTTCGTTTTGCTGCTTCCGGCGGCATTCCCGTCGTCCGGTTCACAACTTCATCTCCGGGGGGTTGCATTGCAGGCATTCAACGAATGATGGTGTGCAACTCGCAGGCCAAGCACCGCCAAGGGGAGCCGCAAAGCTTGAAATTCCATATCGAAGAAGAAAGTGACAGGCGCGTACTTGGCGATCGTTGACGTTCACAGACAGCGGCGTGCTATCCTCCGTGATGTCGGGGCGCCTACAGGGGTTTTATTGCCTCAAAAATCCTTCCGCACCAAGTAGATTACTTGCGTATGGAGAATTTGAGGTAGCATTGACTACGTAACTACGGACTTTCTGCTAAGCCTCAGCCGGACAGACCCGAGATCGGGGCATTTCACGACCGCTCGGCTCAATGACCCCGATAGGTGGACTGTTTTTCGCGGTCCGTCATTCCGTGCGATGGCTCCGTAGGCCCACGGCCCCACATCCGGCACTCCAAGCCGGAGGGCGGGGCAGGCATGGCCCGAGTTTGGAAAAGGGGTCCAAAAGTAAAATAAACTAAGGGGTCCAAAAGTAAAATAAACTAAGGGGCCAAATGGGAAGAATTGGATAAACAGAAAGCTTGAGTCTGTTTATATTATTCTCAGGGCGCCCAGGGTTAAAAGAGAACAGTTTTAGAGGAGATAGTCAGTAGCTATGCGCTAGCAAATATCCAAGTCGGCGGCTTCTCACACCATACAGCGCCACAGCGGGCTGAGTCCCGCGTGACGAAGAATGAGGCATACAGAAACCACAACACTGACCCAGCATGGCGGTGATTTAATTTCGTGAACGGCATGCCATCCAGGAACCAGGCAGATGCACCCGGGGCTGGAGAAGTCTCTTTCCTCCTAACAGACGACACTGCCAGTGAACGAACTAGTGCCGCAAGTAAGGTGGTGATGTTGGTCATATGAGGCCGTCACATCCGCCTCTGCAGCTTCGGTATTGCTCTTCTAATGCCGTGTGCTCCGGACTCTGCAAGGGACAAATAGATTACCCAGCCAATCGCGAGGGGATTCGGCCATGCGAGCGGAGGGCGGTGGCAGTTCTTCCGTCCAGGTGCCCCTTGCAGGTTTCCCAACTTGGCTTTGCGGAGAAGACACGCGATGTCACCTCACCCCGGGATGCGGCAACATGATTCTCTCAACTCGCTCATACCACCTCCAATCCCCGCGTCACCAGAGCGCCGGTCCTAGAGTGATTAATCAACCTGTTGCGGCCGGCCTGCCATCAGACATATTGACAGAGCCAAGGCTGCGCCTTACGAATCAAGCCTTCGCCCAGAAATGCTTCTCCCGACGAATTAGTCTCAGACCATGTTCGTCCAATCTAGCTCGCTGGGTGGAAGTGCGGGAAGACATCCGATCTTTTTGGCCCTCAGGTCCCACCAGACTATCTTCCTTCGACTGGACGAGAGCCCCGGATGAATGTTCCCAATTGAAAGCATCGCGATTCACTTCCGGGAACCTGACCAGCCCCTGGCCGGAAATTAGAGAGTTTGGGAAAGAGAGAAGGAAAGTGAGGGGCTCAACAGCATCATCTCATGATAGTTTAACCTTGAATGCGACTTCGAAACAGTTTTCGAGAGTCTATATAAGTTGGCCGAGGCCATCCCCTCAGTTGAAGCTTTCTTTCCCCCTCATCCCAAGCCACCCGGACATTCTTTTCTGGCCATTGCCTTTCGCTCTTTTCTTCAGACCATCTGAATCTTCACACTCTTTCCATTCTCTCTCTCGTCCCGTCTTTATCGACTGAACTAGTCTTATCCACCAAAATCCACCATGTTGACCAAGGTTTCCACCATTCTGGCCCTAGCGGCCGCCGTCCGCGCGCAGCAGGTCTGCACTCTCAACGCAGAGACCAAGCCGGCCATCACCTGGTCTACCTGCGCCGCCGGTGGTGCTTGCACCAAGAACAACGGCGCCATCACCGTCGATGCCAACTGGCGCTGGACTCATCAGACCAGCGGCAGCACAAACTGCTACACCGGCAACAAGTGGGACACTTCCATCTGCAGCACCGGCGAGGACTGTGCGTCCAAGTGCTGTCTCGATGGTGCCGACTACTCCGGCACGTACGGTGCTACCGCCACCGGTGATTCCCTCAACCTCAAGTTCGTCCAGCAGGGACCCTACAGCAAGAACATCGGCTCTCGCATGTACCTCATGGACAGTGCTGGCGAGAAGTACGAGATGTTCAAGCTTCTTGGCCAGGAGTTCACCTTTGATGTCGATATCTCCAACCTTGGTGTAAGTTATGAGAACTTACCACCTCCTAGAACAGCTGGCTAACACGAACATAAAGTGCGGCTTGAACGGTGCTCTCTACTTCGTCTCCATGGATGCCGACGGTGGTGTTGCCAAGTTCCCCACCAACAAGGCCGGCGCCAAGTACGGCACCGGATACTGCGACAGCCAGTGCCCTCGTGATCTGAAGTTCATCGACGGCAAGGCCAACGTCGAGGGCTGGACTCCGTCCTCCAACGACGCCAACGCCGGCGTCGGTAACATGGGATCTTGCTGCTCGGAGATGGACATCTGGGAGGCCAACTCCGTCTCTACCGCCTACACCCCGCACCCCTGCGAGACCATCGGCCAGAAGAGCTGCAGTGGTGACGCCTGCGGCGGCACCTACAGCAAGACCCGCTACGCCGGCCAGTGCGACCCCGACGGCTGCGACTTCAACAGCTACCGCATGGGCAACACGACCTTCTACGGCAAGGGCTCTCAGTTCGCCATCGACACCTCCAAGAAGATCACCGTCGTCACCCAGTTCGTCGAGTCCGGCGGTGCCCTGTCCGACATCAAGCGCTTCTACGTCCAGGACGGCAAGGTCTTCGCCAACTCCAAGTCTGACGTTGCTTCCGTCGACGGTAACTCCATCACCAAGGACTTCTGCAGCGCCCAGAAGAAGGCTTTCGGCGATGACGATGTCTTCACCCAGAAGGGAGGCCTTCCTCAGATGGGCAAGGCTCTTGCTGACGGCATGGTCCTGGTCATGTCCGTCTGGGATGACGTGAGTTGAACCCTGTACCTGTGAACAGTCTGTGAAAGACCCCTAGCTAACAGAACTACTTCACAGCACAACTCCAACATGCTCTGGCTGGATTCTTCTTACCCCACCGACAAGACCGGCGCTGGCGTTGCCCGTGGAACTTGCGGAAAGGACTCCGGTGTCCCTGCCGACGTTGAGTCCCAGGCTCCCAACTCCAACGTCATCTTCTCCAACATCAAGGTTGGCCCCATTGGCTCGACCTTCAACTCCGCTGGCACTGCTGTAAGTACAAAAGTCTCATGGAAGCTACATCTTGCACGAAAATTGCTAATACTCTGTCTGCAGTAATGAGCCACAAGCCGATGTCCGTGGCACTGTCACTTCGCAGTTTGCGGATTTCGACAACGGCGAGAAGCCTCTAACTTCAAACGCAAACTTCTTGAAAATTCTGCTGTATATGATTTCATACTTGATGTATATAGAAAAAATGACTCTCGCGACTTTGGAACGTGGAAAAGTCGTTGAATAAAAGTTTCCTGCCTGTCATTCGACTGGCTCGTTCTCACAGCCTTCCTCTCAGAAGATGTTTTGGTTTATGGGCTGCTCAAAGTGAAAATAATCTAAATCGATACTGCAATAAAAATGAGTGAACCCATGGGAAAAGACTTGTCTTGGACTGTGGCAGCTTGGGTTTGTCTGAATTCGGACATTGAGATGGCTCGAGGTATTTTCCATTCTGTGAGAGCTAACATGAGCCAGCATTTTCGTATTCACCCAGCAAACGAGTATCGCTATTTTCACCAGGTGAGATTACCCTACAGAAATAACATGCATGAAATCCAGAGGTTGGACGCGTACTCGTGTTGTCCTACCTCAGCCCCATCGGTTGCCTTGATTGGTGTCACGGATCCGAGGCTACGGATCGGCTCTCCGGAGGCCCCCCGCCCTCCGTCCCCCGTCCCCCGGCGCCCCACGTATGTACCGTCCATGCAGAAAACCTCGTCCCTTCCGGAGTAGACGCTTTATCGGCTCATTCAAAGCTCATCAGACTTGATGTTTTCATGTCACTAGCTTGCGTCGTGGACCTTGATGTGTCACCACCTTACTTGGTTGGCGACCTCAGAAAGAAAGAAGATATAGCTTAATTAACGGCACCGTGTGAGTATAGAAGTAATCAGAGGGCTTCCCCGATCATGCTCGAGGACGTTCGCCGTTCGCTCCTGGCCAGCTTGAGCTTTTCACCACGTTGTACAGTCCTCCGATCCAAGCGACTCGCTTCAATCGACTCCTTGAAGAAGTCCACAGGAAGCGAGATGAAATCACTACCATAGGTGAGCATACCTTTGGTTCTTCTTAGTGAACCGGAAAGGAAAGTCATTGATTTTACTTGGCGCATCCTGAATGATTTGAGAGAGCGTGAAAATCTGCACGACTAGTTCACGAAATGAGAAAGTATTCAACGAGTAAACGACCGGGGCCTGGCTACTTACCATAGTGGACAGGTAATCGAATGCTTCATAAGCCATGGCTCAATGCACTCTGTGCAGAAAATATGTCCGCATGGGAGTTGTGCCACAAGCGTCCCAGCCGCGAAGTCTTCCAGGCAGACAGAACATGTTGCTGCTGTAGCCACGCGGGCAGCTGAGTGGAGCTTGCTATGAGCCAGTTTCACCAATGGGGGCTTGGTGAGATGATTTGATCCGTAAAAGCGGCTGAGAGGTTGTGATGTTCGAATGCCATACTGGCTCTGGTATTCATCTTGTTCTGTGGGAGTTGGGCGAATGGGTCGACGTGGTATCTTGACCTTCTTCCACGCAAACATGTATAAGCCAAGGCCGATCAACAGAGCAAAGGCAACGCATAGAGCTGCTGCAACCGCGCCTGGCTGCTTAGAAGGCTCCCAGGACTGAGGTACGACGCTCGGAGTTGCATCGGGAGTGCTTGTCGGGCTCATAAGGATAGAAGAGAGGAGTGAGGTACAGACATAAGCATAGGAGGCGAACGTGGGATGGTGCAGGTGGCTTGGGACTTTCGAGCTGGAATGGATGACTTTCGGCCCTGATTTATTCTCCAGGATTTGGTCAACCGCAGTGCGTGATGCTACGTATCTCCAACCATCCTCACCGACTCAATTCCATGTGATGTTTCGGCTGAGGGATTAACAATCATTGTGTCCGGCTTCCCGCATCTGGCTCGATGACCAGGCATCACCAATTCTTGGCGACCGATTGGTACGGTGTTTATGTTGTCTGGGGTTGCCAGCGCCCGTTTCCCACGGGGAAATTACAGTTTGTAGGTAATTTTAACGTAATGGATGTCCATCAACACCGAAAGGGAGCGCGAACGCATCCCCCTTTTGTATGAGGCATTTTCTCTTGGCATTCCCGCGGATCTGCCTGGCCAGGCCTCGTGTAAGTGGCATCCCGGAGGCCGCCTGCCAACAATGACGACGGAAGACAATTCAGGACTGGAAAGAAAAGAAAAATGTTATAAACAATGAGCAAAAAATGAAGTTGCATTGCAGTTGGCCTCGCATCACTTGTCCTACACCGCAACCTGTTTCTCTTCGCTGTCGAGCGAGCCCTCGTTGAGCACATACCGCAATCAGCCGTGACGATCTGAAGAAAATGACGGAAAAAACACGTCCAGACCCAGCTCAGTCTGCTCATATCTCTTTTCAGAGAGAAGAAGCAGCTGGCCGTCACAATCGCGGTCGAGAGGTGAACACCAAGTCCGCCAATCGACCGCGATCAGCCCATTCGGCCTCCAGTTCTGTCTCCAGACGCCGACGCCAGAATGGCTCCGACAACTTGGGAATCCAGATTGGCTACCGAACTCTGTCAATTCACGTCTCGGAATCTCAGCATGCGGCTGCGAACGCCGAGACTGATCTCAAGGCGGTCAAGGACGGCGACGACGAGTATTTCGCTGAACTCAACTTTCACACCTCGCCTGGATCCCAAGTCTGCCAACAGTTCGACGTTTCAGAGGACCAAGGTCTTTCTGAAGCTGAAGCGGCTTCTCGTCTTCAGAAGAATGGACGCAACACCCTCCCCGAGCCGAAGACGAATTACCTCAAGAAGCTGTTCTTCTACGTCTTCGGCGGCTTCTGCTCCGTGCTCTGGGTCGGAGCCATCATATTCTTCATCTGCTGGCGGCCCCTGAGCGATCCTCCTTCGGCGCAAAATCTCGCCATGGCTGTCCTGATCTTGATCGTCATCTTTCTCCAAGCCGGGTTTTCTGCTTTCCAGGACTGGTCCACCCAGAAGACGATGAAGTCCATCACCAACCTCCTTCCATCAGAGACTCTCGTGCTACGTGCAGGCTCCGTCAAACGACTCTCCGCATCCGAGCTCGTCGACGGCGACATCGTTCATCTGCGCACTGGAAGCAAGGTCCCGGCAGATCTCCGACTCCTCTCCCACTCCGGCGACATCCGCTTCGACCGCGGCGTCCTCACCGGCGAATCCGATGAAGTCGAAGGCGCCCTCGACTCGACCGATCCCAACTTCCTCGAGAGCCGGAATATTGCCTTGATGGGTACAACAGTGGTCAACGGTCATGGTGTTGGCATCGTCGTACTGACGGGTGCTCGATCTGTCATGGGCAGAGTTGCACGCGCTACTACCGACGTTGGCGAGAAGGTCACACTAATCCAGAGAGAAATCTGGCGATTCGTTCGCATCATCGTCGTCCTCACAGTCTTCTTGGCGCTTCTGATCTTCGTTGCGTGGATTGCGTGGCTCAAGAGAGATCATCCATCTTACATGAACGTGGTGCAGATGCTGAACAATGTCATGGGATGCGTGGTTGCCTTCATCCCGGAGGGCATGCCGGTGGCGGTTGCTCTGACGCTGATGATGGTTGCTCGACGCATGAAGGCAGTTAACATTCTTCCAAAGGGTCTGTCCACAGTCGAGACTCTTGGCTGTGTCAACGTTATCTGCTCTGACAAGACGGGTACGTTGACGCAGAACCAGATGACAGTGCACTCTATTGCGTTCGTCGACAAGTTGCTCGACTCGCCAGAGAGCGCGTATCAGGCTCTTGAAGCTGAGAAGCCCGACACAATCTTCACCATGCTACAGAAGGCTGCGATTCTTTGCAACGACGCTTCTTTTGAGACAAGCTCCATGCACCTTCCTCCCCACGAAAGAACAGCCGAGGGCAATGCTACTGATGTGGCCATTCTCAAGTTTGCTGCTGCAGGCCGAGGAGGTGACGATCTTGTAGCGGCATCTCCAAGAGTTTTCTCCATCCCATTCAACTCCAAGAACAAGTGGATGCTTTCCATGTGTCGCGAAGATGGGTCACCTGAGAAAGGGAACAGGTTCCAAATGTTCATCAAGGGGGCTCCCGATATCCTCCTGCCCGCTTGCACCAGCTATTGGTCGGAGAAAACCAAGTCAGTCCAGCCTCTGGACCCTGCCGGACAGCAGTCATTCAAGGAAATCCAAGACAAGCTGTCTAGGAATGCCGAACGCGTCGTCGTCATTTGCGAGAAACTCATGGAAACCACGGAGTCTCTCGGAACCAACGCCTTCAGCGATGAAGTAGCCACGAAAACTTTGGAAGACCTGACCGTCGTCGGAATCCTCGGCATTATCGATCCTCCCCGACCAGAAGCGGCTTCGACCGTGGCTGACTGCCGTCGCGCCGGCGCCAGGTTCTTCATGGTGACCGGCGACTACGGGGTCACAGCCGCCGCCATAGCCCACAACATTGGTATCTTCACGACTTCGGAACCCGACACCTTCGACACCATCCGCCGGGGCATGACACCGTCCGCTCAGGAGCTTCGCAGTGAGCGGATCTGTGGCAACGGTCGCAGCCTTCTTCTTGAAGGCACTTCTGTCGCTCGACTCATGGCTCAAGACTGGGACATTGTGTGCGAGTATGATGAGATTGTCTTTTCACGCACGACTCCGGAGCAGAAGCTTCGTATCGTCAACGAGTTTCAAAGCCGCGACAATGTTGTCGCTGTTACTGGCGATGGCGTGAACGATGCGCCGGCCCTTCGTGCTGCCGACGTGGGTGTAGCCGTCGTCACTGGCAGTGACGTCGCCATCGAGGCAGCCGACCTGGTCTTGTTGGACCAGTTCGACTCGATTGTGGAGGCCATTCGTCTTGGGCGTCTTGTTTTTCAGAACCTCCAAAAGGTCATTGCTTACCTTCTACCCGCCGGTAGTTGGTCCGAGATCTGGCCTGTCATCGTCAATGTCTTCTTCGGCGTACCTCTGCCTCTGAGCGTCTTTCTCATGATCATCATTTGCGTCTTCACCGATCTCTTTCTTTCGCTATCTCTGATCATGGAAAAGCAAGAGTTCGATCTCCTGTCACTTCCCCCACGCAACGCAAAACGTGATCACCTCATCAACCTGAAGATCTACGCCCAAGCCTACCTTTTCACGGGCTTCATGGAGACCATCTGCGCCCATTCCATGTTCTTCCTGTACATGTGGAAGTATGCTGGCTTCCCGATTCAAGAGCTGTTCTTTCTTTTCGAGGGTTACGGTGAGGGATACCACGGCTATACGCTCGACGAGCTCACAAAGTTCAACGCTACGGGCCAATGCGTCTACTTCGTGACTTTGCTGTTCCTCCAATGGGGAAATATTCTTGCCGTCCGCAACCGAAGGCTAAGCATCGTCCAGGCTGATCCGATCACCAAGAAGAGACGGAACCCGTGGTTAATTGCGAGCGCGATCATCAGTCTCGCAATTGCCATTTTCGTCACCGAGGTTTCTGGGATTCAAAATCTGTTTGGGACTGCCTCGGTTCCCATTGAGTTCTGGCTGATTCCCGTTCCATTGGCATTGGGTATCTTATTCATGGACGAGATCAGGAAGTTACTCGTCAGATTATTCCCCCAAGGTCTGATTGCAAGGGTGGCATGGTGAAAATGCTCCGGTTGAGCTCTTGCGGTGGAAGTGCGAGTATGATGGATGTCAATGGAGAGACGATTGCAAATACTTGGACTCGAGCTGTCTTCGAGTCCTCCGTCCAGTTCAGAAAATAAACCACCGCCATCCTCTGCTTGTGTCTATCTCTTGTTTGCATATCTAGTAACAACCGAAATACCCGGCAGGTTGCTGAAAAGCCGGAGTAGTCCAACGAATAAAAGGCTGAAGAAATCAGAGGAAGCAAGGCAGCTTTTAGGTTTACTCTACTCGGATTACGGAAATGGTTTGGTCTAGATTTAAGTCCCCCAGATGCCCAACTCGTCTAACTTCAGACACCTGAATAAGGTTTAAAAGACTGCTTGAAGATCCGCAATTCGGGCTGAGCATGGAATATTCAATTAGATCCAAATCCGGAGGCTGCCGGTGGGCGGTGGCATGTCAAAATGTGCCGAGAGAACGGGAAGCCTCCGATATATCGTTCATCCGCAATTGTCAGAAATGCAAGCCGGGATCATATGACAGCCTCAGACTTTATTTAGCTGCAGGACCACCAGGCATTGGCCAAAGGTGAGGAGCGAGTTTCGTATTAGCAGGGTATGTCCTGTTTGAAACTGGCAGCGCCGCTTCTAGAAGTCTTGGTCTTTGGATGACACCGAGTCAGTGAGACGGTGTCCGGACTACAGCGGACATCACCTGCGCTTGCTGATGACGACGTCTGCAAGACATGCCGTGCTATACTTGTCACGGTGGAACTCAGTATACGGAAATATGTGAACCTCATACTCATACTCTGAAATGATAAATACTCTGATTTCTCTTAACCTTTTGCTTTCATGCTGAGGTATCAATCCTACTAACTCTTCACTGCCACCGACTCAGTTGCTCAGCTTCCAACTCGCCCACAGTCAATATCTCAGTATCCCACAGATATTCTGGTCACATATCCTTAGAGTATTTCACATCGAGCCAAAATGAAGGCCGCATTTTTCACATTAGCAGTTGCATTCTTTAGGTATGTTTAAATTTCTCATCTATTTAAATGACAGTGACTAATGTAACCCAGCGCCGCCGCTGCCCAACAAAAGTTCAGATGTCGCTGCGCAGACGCGGGTGGCAACAACATTGCCGGCGTCGGCAGCCTCTGCACATCAAAGGGCGGAAAGCTCGAGCCGAGTCGCGACGATCTTTGCATTCAAGTTCCCTCAAGATTCACCAACGAGGAATGTGCAAAGGTGCAACAGGGAGCCACCGGTGACTGCATCGTCGACGATGTCGGAGGGGGAAGCACCGTTGTTACGACTGTTGCTGCGGCATCAGCTACTCCCAAGCCCAAGCTCGTTCGGGGGGCACCATGGGAGGCCTAGGCATCATATCCCAGAAATCATGGAGTGAGTCCAGGTCTTGTGGACATTTGGCTTGAAGATGTGGTCGACTAGGACACCAGCAAAGGGATTGATTTATCATTGTGCTTAGCATGCATGGATACCATACACGACATGAATTGAAGCGACTTAAATCTTGGAATTGACAGAAAACTACTCTAAAGTACGCGAAGAGCATGCTTGCAAGTATGATTTCTCATGGGTACGTCTTAAGAATTCTCGGTTGGAACCTGCAGCTCATGTGCGCAATGTCAGAAACTCAAGTATGAGTTAACACTTGGCGTGCTTATGAATAAGGGTTGAAATCACCCAGCGGAGACTTGCAAATGCGCCTCATAGACAGTGGTTCGCATTTACTTGCTGCTGCTTCCCATTGATAGTTACATTTACAATGCAGGCAAATGCGGGGCGATCGCCTGGTTGACGTGGCCTGCGATGAAAGGTGTAACACAAATGCAGAGAGTCACCACCTCAAAAACACATATTTCACGGAAGTCGCGCTCGGCTTCATTGGAATTTTCCCGGCCTGGTTCTTCTAGATCGCGAATCTCGTAGAGATGTGTTATTAAATCACAGAGCTGTACACCGCTTGTCATTGTCTCTACTATCAGCACGCAATTGACAAATGTGCTAGCTATGGACTACCAGGGCACGATGTTCAGAAAAGGTTAATACTCGTCGGATACGCCTGCCATACCCATTCCTCATCCTCTAGCGGTGGTGGTTACGACAGCACTGGCTCATATAACCACACAACAGGAGTGGTGCCATCTCCAAAGCAAGAAGCACCTCGTCATTGGTCAGACTGGCGATCGGATGTCCTCAAAACGACAGAGCTCGATAGAAAGAAGCGCCAAACAAAAGATATCGAGCTAGGAAAAGAAGAGAGCGAGAGTGTCCCGAAAGTAGTCGCAGCGAAACAAGAAACTACCAAAGAACTACCTGGCGATTCTTTCATCCCACCTGGAAGTGTTTCGCCTGATTCCTTCGACAGTCGCTACAAGTCCCATTACAACAAGCAGCGGACTCCTAAGAAGAAGGAAACCCAGCCCCGTGAGTGCGAAATCTATGTTTCGAAAATTGCTCACCCAGCACGGCTTTCTTTCCCCTTTGCCAAAGCATATATATACATATATATACTAACTCCAAGGCATTCTAGATCAGCGATTACTCGATTTGGCAACATCATGCCTTCTGGAACAGCCCACATTACGGCGTTGTTGGAGCGTTGCCCTGGCCAACCCCAAATATTGTCATGATGCGACTCTTGAGATTTCCCGGCAAATTTCTGCGTATCTGGAGCTTCTCAAAGACTGCGCCAACGACCCATACCAATTCAGAGACGCTTTAGACCTTATATCCGTCAAATCCGAACTTGTAACCAGCATCATTCAATCGCATCAACCGCTACATGGATATCATCAAGATGTCAGGGAGAAATTCGACACTTCAGCAACTGATGGGGCCAACAGATTCGACCAGGTCTATTACGGCTCGCTCGGATCCAATCTTGAGGACAAGAGGTTATTTCTTCTCAGAGGCACTCCTATTGAACATCTCAAAGATGATGTGAGAAACTGGACAACAAGATATACCCGATCAATCTCCCCAAGGCCGCTACGCTCTTACATGACGTACCTACGCAACGTGTCAGATATCTTACTGGAGTGGACTTTCAGTGCAAGGAGGAAAAAGGAGCGAGATAAGATCTGTGTGAAACCGCTGAGCTGGACCTGTGTGAGTAAATACTCTATCTTGGGGACCGCAGATTCAAGCGAACTAACTACTTTTTCCGAGCCTACAGCCGCATTGCGGTCGCCGGGTATCTGACTTCTACTCTGAGAATCGTCAAGGGGCTCTGGATGAACTCAAAACGCTTCTTGCGGACTACTCTGAATTGCAATGGCGGGGCGATCTTTTCTCGGCCACGAGGGACAAGAACGAGAGGGAAGAAGACGCTGATATATTCTCCTCAACAACGACAAATGGCAGGTTCCGGGGCTTCTTCCAGATCTGGTCTGGACCAGCGATTCAAAACGGTCAAACCCCTCTTCCCAACCACGAAGAAAAGCAGGATACCAAGAATGATCCCGAGAAATGCACAGTCAGCAGGAGACGCTCAACTGAAACTACCAGGCCGAACCATAACTTCGTGCTTCTCTGTATTCCGTTTATGAAGTGGGGTACAAAGGCACATCAGCCAGATGTATGCGCCGTTGAATCCGACCAGTCTTTCTTCAATCTGCTGAAGACATCATACGACACATACCGCGCCAGAACGCGTTGGAGCAGGTTCAAGAAGGTGAAGGGCATTCATTTCGTTAAGGTAAGTCATTATAAGCTATTTTGAACATCCATCAAGGAACTAATGCTAGGTCACTGACTTCTCAGTTCGAGTTATTTCGTAATCAGCTTGCCAACGTTTGCAATTCTGCCTTCTCGCCGATCGGAGTGGACTACGAGTACGAGCAAGCCGATACCGAGCCCCCGATTGGTGCCAACCTCATGATGCATCTTTTTGAGAACCCTGATCATGCGGACATCTTTCCAGTCCTCTTCAAGAGAATACCGAAAAAGACAAGAGAGCGGCTCCAGCCGTGCCCGGTCAAGGGCAGCTCTCTTGGCTGGGGAGTCCAGTTCGAAGAAGCAATCAACAGCTTGTACGTTTTTGGTTTTGGATTCGTGGGGTTCCTAATTTCCCTGATTATATCTGTCGCATACACCATTGCTACGGGGGACATTCAAGGGGGGTTCGGGGTCGGGGCATTTGTGCTGGCGTTCACACTTTTCTGTGGCGGGACACTTCACTCGTACGTGGGATAGATACCACGAAGACTGTGGAGACCAGGTGAGGGACAACAAAAGCATGTATCAGATAAGGATACTTCAAGCTATACAATTACTAATATGCACACGAAATTTATGTTCAGGTCTACTTAATGAAGAGCAAGGGGGTGCCGCGGAAGAGAAAGCCGAAGAAGAGAGATCCGCGGAAGGAAGCCGCGGAACAGAAAATCTCTACCAGTGACGGCGGTATGTAAGTTTTGTATAGGTTGTGGAGTTGATCCATCGCTCAAAGCTGCCAGCCGTTCAAGACCTTGGTGTCATTGAAAGCAGTCAAATCCAGGTAGTGAGCCTCTCTCTCACCGCCCCGTCCAAAGTTCTCGGACGTGATGCCGAGCAGAGTGGCCGAGGTAGTAGAAGAAGTCAGGTTCGTCAACCCAGGGAAAGCAGCCTCGAGCATGTTGGAAATCTCCTCGGGGGTATAGAAGTCGGCGCCCTTGGCCTCGATGTTCTGCTGGAAAAAGGAGACGTAGTCGCGGGTGTGATCGATATCATTGGTGGCGGTGAAAGAGTCCGTGGACAGCGCGTGGCCTGGGATGACCATTTGGGGACGGAGACCGGAGATGAAGTCGAGCGTCGCGAGCCAGGACTGGGTGAGGGCCGGGGTGAGAAGATCGGCGAGCCAGGCGTGCATCTGGTGGCCGTAGACGACGTCGCCGGCGATCAGGGTCTTGGAGGAAGGGATCCAGAACATGGCCTCGTCGACCGTGTCGCCGCCGGCGGGCTTGAGAATCTCGATCGGGCAAGCTTCGTCGCCGGGGAGGGCGAAGAAGGAGAAGTTGTAGGGTGTCGGGATCGCGGGTTCGGAGGCGATGACTCCTTCGCCGTAGATGGCGGTCCAGTCCGCGGTCTGTTATGCGTCACGTCAGCGATGAGCTCTAGTTTTCTCCGGATTGTATGTTTTAGTAATTTACCTTATTGGCAGCCTCGTTGTTGATCCAGTAAGTAGCCTCGGGGATTGCGTAGTGCTTCGCCCCCGGGAAATGCTCCAGGAAGGCCTTCCCACTGAGATAGTGATCAGGGTGGTTGTGGGTGGTAAACGCAGCAACAAGGGGCTTGTCAGTGATGTTCTTCACCCATTCCGCCAGAGCAGTTGCCTGGGTCACCGCCATTGGCAAATCGATGATCGCAGCTGCTTGAGAACCGATGATGAGAGAGGACACCATATCCAGAGACAGGCCGTCGTTGATGTGGCTCTCGACCTCAAGACTGCAGCCGCAAGCCGCAGAAACTTGCTGGCAAAGTGCCCAAAGGGCGGCAAAAGTTGCGCTTTTCTTGAATATCATGGTATCAATTTCTTGTTTTTGAGCAGTGAAGACAAAGAGATGAATGCAGTTGAGGTGCTGATGTGCTGTGCTGTCCTGTACAACTCCTGTTCATTCGGGAGCATCAGGAGTATTTATTTGGCTGGATGTCCAAGTCGTTTTCTGGAACATACATCATCGCCGCGATCATCTTCGATAATATGCTTCCGAAAGACAAATTTACCACACCAGCCCGGGGTTCGTAGAGTTGTAGAGTCTGTACAGGCTTACTCTGAAGAAACGGAACCTTTTTGTTTCCGTAAAGCCAACTTGCCTCCGTGACAACAATGGGCAAATATGTCCGATGTGGAACCCCCCCGACTCAGAGTTTAAGCTTGTTAATGCGGTTCTTACTAACGAAGCCACTTGTATCGAGTGCCAAGTCCTCCACGAAATCTTGATAGTCGCCGGGAAAACATTTCTCTAATCCACATACGCAGATTTGGGCTTCCTTCGGTCATGCCTGTTCGGAGTCTTCGGCTGATCCCCACTAAGTTCTTTACAGCCTGTTATTTCCTGGGTAGGCAATCGTTCGCCGGAAGCATAATTTTCGTTCTCATGATGGAAGGGACGCCTCAGTACCCATTCTCATCATAATCGACTACTCCTGCTCTTTCTCCGAAAGGTAGCCTCACTCTTCCACAGGCGCGTAGAAGGCTCTTTCCACCAATAACAACGGCGTGGTGGCAGAGTGGTTATTGCGCAAGACTTGAAATCTTGTTCCCTCGGGAGCGTCTGTTCGAATCAGGCCCACGTCGATTTCTTTTTGTTTGTTCTTGTGTGCGGTTCTAGAAAGCATGGTAATGCCACCATGGGTAACGTAGCCGTAGGGCGGAAGCCATAGGGCGGATGAACTGGTCAACTGGAACTATGACGTTGCTCGCCGCGCGGGTCTCCTTTTCGGAAAGGAGAAGGCAGGTAGTTTTAGACAGGGATCCCAGGGTGTTCGCATTCGGGATCCTTATCTCAACGATGGGATTCTTTCCGCGGTTCGATCGTCCCATGACGTGCCAAGTCGGCATGACAAGGCGAGACATGAGTAATGACATTTGACTGAGCCGGGCCGGGCTGAGCTCACTGCGGCTGAAATTGCTCAGCTAGAAGCTGTGAGAAGCATGACCAGTCCCATCCGACTCCATCAGATAGACTCGGGGACCACTCGTCTCCTGGCATTGGCAAGCCTCCCATTGGATCGTATCCAAAATCTCCGCCGGAGACGATGTAATTGTGGTTAAACAGCGGCGCCGCCGCCATGTCAGGGGTGGGACCGGCGTCCTTAATCTGGCCCTCGCTCTGTCCGGTCCAGCTATCTGGTGTATTATGATTTACCTCGTTCCCTTGAGATGACCAAGAGTTTCTCTGAGACTCTGCTGCAGGAGGGATGGTTTCCGAAATGGGTTGAGCGGCTAGTCGACTGGGAGCCGGTGAGGATTGTTGAAGAATCCCGTCGATCTTCTGTAATAGGCTATTGAATAATCCATCCCCACGCAGCCGCGAATACACCTCCTTCATCGTCTCGGAAGCTGTTTGAACGAGCTGCCCAGCACATCTGTCAGTCTAGGCTACATAAGATAGTCGGGGAGGCCGGCTTACGTGAAAGTCCATCGCCGAGATTCGAGAATCCGGGTGGGTAACGATGTGCACTGACAAGGTAGCTAGGGCATGGAGCGCGACAAGAAGACTTGGGTACACTGAATTTGATTTCGAGTCGAGTGTCTCGACGAGTAGGCGCAGCATCTTCCTGGCGGCGTTGGCTGCAATCGACTGGCCGTTGCGTACAATGTAGTCCCAGGGTTTGCCTTTGGCAATGATATTGGCGCCGCTTGATATTGCCTCTTCGCTGATAAGAAGACTGTTTCTTGAGAGAATGACAAGTCTGCCATTGTGTTAGTGTGGGTGGTTAGAGTTTCTGTTTTGGGAATACAGCTTTAGGGGTAAACCTTACGCATTGTTGTAGTGCATCGAGATAAATGAGGCAAACGGACATATCCTAGACCCGATAAGAATATCCGAGGTTGGTCTTCAGAACGAGGTTAGTTCCTCAAGTTTCGTTTTCTTTGGGGAGTTGTGCTAGGACTCACCTGAGCTCATCAGGAACTGATTCGCCCCATCTCGTGAGCAGCAGCTGTGCCTCGCCGGTCGTCTGGACCTTCTCGGTGATGACAGCTTGCAGCGCCGGTCCTGCAACACCGTCTTCCTTTCTACTGACGATAACAGACTTCCTTCCAATCTCGCTGAGAATCCTCGCAAGGTCTACCGTGACGGCAAAAGCCTTGCCCCTCGACGACGTACCCGCTTCCGTGTACGTGTCGAGGTCCTGCACGTGAGGCGGGTAACAATCCTCATCGTCAATCGACGACAAGCGACCCATCTCGAACGCCAGGAACTTCTCGAACGCATATATACCCAGCCAGAAAATCCGGCGCTCCTCGTCGTCGAGCGCGCCCGGCTTTCTGTTCTGGCATTTACGACGACACGTGCGAGGCTTGTGCAGGCCCATACCCGTGGCCATGTTCACGCCGACAGTCAACGCGTTCCACGACCCGGCGGTGTCGTCGTAACAGTGCATACACAAAGCCAGGAGAACAATCGCTCGAACATTGTCGACGCTGTTGGTAATCACGAGGTGACCAAGTAACGTCTTGCAGTAATCCAGATACTCCTGAGGATCTACTACCGGGTCGAGGAGAGGTTCCGCGGCAAAGCCGATCGACCAGACGAGGTACAGCTGAGCGAGAAGGGCGATGCCTCGCCTCTCGGCAAACTCGACGGGATTCGACCCCAACGCCAGGTCGATGTCCTTTTGAAAACTATCGCGATGGAGCAAGGGGTAAAGCACATTCACGCCGTCAAAGAACCTGGCGGCTAACAAGCGCGCAGATCCCGCGGGCGGGAAACGACACGGCTCAGACGAGAGGAGGGTCCGTATACGGTGGGATGACGGGTTGCATGGCGGCAGACCCCTCCTATGCTGCAGCCCCAGCCGACGCGAAGCGAGATCGATCCAGTCGGCTAGGATCTCTACCGAGGTACTGTGGCGACTTGGTCGGACTACGGGTAACTTTCCTTGGAACTTGCCGTTACCGGCGGCTGGCTCTTCATCTTCTTGAGGAGGGGGAACATTAGGCGCGGAAGTCGAGCTGCGATGGCCCGGTGTAGGAACCGTCGACCTCCCCGAGTTGTTGTCGTCGCGGCTGATGCTGGCCGCGGATGGTGAGCTCTTATGGCCCGAAGCATCAGCAGCAGCAGCAGCGGCGGCCGCCGAGCTGACGCAGATCTCGGCCTCTCTAGCCGGAGGTGGAGACGCGTACGGGCCCGCCGACGCCGACGAGGACTGCGGCAGAGACGAGTTGGACGCCCTTGACATGCGGCGCTTAGTCTCGCGGCGCTGTACCTCGACGCCGGGACGGCGGCGGTCGGTGGTGACGCACTCGATCCCGGCGGCTATGCAGGCCCTGCAGGAGGGTTTCTGCTCGTCGCAGCGCGTCTTGCGGTTGCGGCAGTAGTTGCAGGCGAAATTGATACGTCTCCGCTTCGCCGGCTGGCCGTCCGGGCCTGAGTCGACGAAGGACTCTGCCGGAGTGGGTACGGGGTTGTCGTATGACGATGACATTGTTTCTTGTTTGAGGACCAGTTACAAGACCGGAGTCCTTGATGACTGACTGACTGGGAACTGGACTGATTGGAGCGAACGTGTCGTAATCTCGTCCCGACCCAGCGGCGGAGCTGGAGCTGGCTGTTCGGGAACGCGCGCAAGAGGCTGGGTTGGGGAGCATCGGCTGGAGCAAGCAGCAGCAGCAGCAGCAGTTGGAGATACCGAAGCGCGTTGTTAAGAGCGAAGTACACTTTTTGGCTCAGGTTCCGGAACGTTGGGCACGGCTCAGCAACAGGTTGGATATGCTGGGGAGCGATTCATGTGGACGCCAACCGACCGGCCCCTCATTCCGACGAGGGCCTTCCGATGGTGGGGGTACCCATGCAGATGCCGCCATGGCAGATCTTCACCGCATTACGCGTGTCGTGAGTGGTCAATCTTGGAAGTTCCCCAGAATATCCCCATGGGGTTTAATATGAATAAAGCCGTGGGGGAACGAACTTGTCCCATTCCCCTCCCCGCATATGCCGGCTTGTGAGTAAGGAGTATGGAGAGTCTCATAGTATCGGGATTTGATGGGTCTGAGCCGAGCCGATGAGCCAACCATGTTGGAGTGGATGCAGATTGGCAGCTTCGTGTCAATACGACAATGAGCCAAGGCTACAAGACGTCGACGAGATGAACTCGAGGGCCTTGATTTATGAGACTCTTTGCTGCGAGTTGACGAGAATAGACTTCCGGTTGAGGTGTATATAGACACAGACGTAGAACTCCATCCACCTCAGACATGTCCCTGACTCAGAAACCTCCGACCTCACCTCTAGGCCGAGGCTTTGTCGAAGCTTGCGATTATTCCTTTTGTTTATGCTATCAGTTAGGCAATTGCCAATTTGGCTGATTAAACATGCACGAGCCTACTAACACAAAAGATGACGAACCTCGTGTTGACACGGTTGAGTCGCCCATTCGGAAGGGCCATGACAAACAGGATGCACAAGCACATGGCACCGTCCAATTACTTCAAGGAGGATCTGTTGTGTTGATTCCGACTCCGAGTCCAGATCCTAAAGGTACGTGTTGTCCGTCGTTGCTAATCCTGAGTAAACTACTAACCAAAGACAATAGACCCTCTGAATCTCCCGACATGGCACAAATACCTCATCATCTTTGTCGTCGGCTCATACTCAGCCATCGCCGTCCTGGTGACTTCAGGACTAGGCGCCGTATTCCCCTCTGTCCTTAAAGAATACCCACCGGAAGAAGCAACCCGCGCAACGGACCTCCTCACCTACCCAACACTATTCATGGGCATCGGCAACCTCTTCTCGATGCCCCTCTGCGTGACCGTCGGCCGGCGCCCGGTGTTTCTCGCCTCGCTCGTCCTGATGGTCATATCCGGCCTCTGGTGCGCCTTCTCCGGCTCTCTGAGCAGCCACATCGCCGGGCGCAACTTTTACAGCATTGCTGCCGGCCAGAGCGAGGCGTTGGCGCCCTTCATCATCGAGGAGATCCACTTCCTCCACGAAAGGAGCGCGAAGTTGTCGTGGTTCATCGGCGTGCAGACCGTGGGCACCGCCGGCATGTTCGTCGCCACGGCGTACATCGTCCCGGCTTGGGGGATCAAGTGGTGGTACATCATCGTCACGCTCATCAACGTCGTCATCCTCGGCTTGGCGTTCTTCTTCGCCGTGGAGACCAAGTATGATAGACCCAAAGATGCCGATCGTAAGTTGATACATTAGTCGTCCGTCTCGAGGTTCCAGCATGCTGATGTGTGAATGTTGCAGGGGGCGCTGTTCATCTGAAGCTGGATGACGACGGCAACGTGGCCAAACAGGGCGACACCGAGATGGTCTTCCAGGTCACGACCCGCGAGAACCACGTTCTTCAGCCGGAGGTGTTTGGCGAGCGCACTTGGCGGTCGGATCTGCGGATCTTCCACTTCAAGCCGGAGTGGAGGCAGACGCTCGTTTTCTACAGAGAGACCTTTCAGTCGCTTTGCCTGCCCAACATCGTCTGGATGCTGCTTATCAACGGAACGTTTCTGGGCATCTACATCTACCAAGCGTCGACTTTCGCCACGATTCTCATGTCACCGCCGTATTCTTTCCAGTCGGAGTGGTTGGGATATGTTCAACTAGTCCAGGTGCTAGACTGTGTCATCATGGTTCCCCTCCTCGGCTACGGCTCTGATATGCTGGCTCGGACGAAGAGTACATTGAAGAACGGCGTTTTCCAGGTAAGAGTGGCTTCTTGGTTACGACCTTGACTTAGTATGAATGAGGACTGACCAAAACCTCTCACAGCCCGAATACCGACTGATCATCCTCAGCATCCCCATCGTCTCGGCCATCGTGGCATGCGTCTTCTACGGCCAGGCCGGCGCATTCCCCGAGCGATGGCACTGGATGACGATCGTAGCGCCTTACCACGTGGGCTACTTTGCCTTCCTGGGAGCCAACCTGATCGGCATCACCTACGCCATCGACAGCTTCCCGAGTAAAGCAGGTCCCCTTCTGCTGGTCATCTGTGCTGGCCGCGGCTTCATCTCGTTCGGACTGAGCTATTCCACCGTGCCATTGATCAATCTGACCGGGTACAATGGAGCGATGAACATCTTTGCGATTATATCGGGTGTGCTGGGTGCCATCACGATTCCGGTGTACTTTTTCGGAAGCCGGATCAGGATGTGGGCGACTAGAAAGTTGTGGCCTGAGATTGCTCAGTGATAGCGGTAACTTTTCAATGCGAAGGACATGAGAAATGATGTATTTCAAAGCGGTTGTAAGTCAATCTTGGTTGTAAGTCAATCTTGACACTAAATATTCCGAAAGAAGGGCGGGATTCGTGATTTCGCGTCCCATGCCATCATGTAGACATCAATTATCATGGAACCCTTCTCCTTGTGATGACTGGAGGTACGTGTAAGTCATTCGAAAAGCAATATGTTTCGCCTCTAACCCCCCGGACTCTTAAATTATTGAGCATCGAACTGCTTGGTATCACAACCACGACCAAGTGTGACACTTCCGGCTGCCGCAACGTGAGAAAAAGCGTCAATGGGGACTGTGAGGTGTAGGTACATCTCGAAATTTGCTTAATATGGTTGTAGTTGAAAGATTCTTATATAGCTAATTAGACGTTCGACTTACGAAAGGCGCGCTGAGCCATTGATAGGGAGCCCCCGGCATAAAACAATAAGATCACCATCATCATGCTTACCTGGCGAATGGCGGCTGGTGTTGAGGAGGGAGCATAGATTTATAGATGTTTACGGAGGGGTGTTGGACATAGTTGAAGAGAAGTGCAAGGTACGAGGACTTCAGCCAGTGATCAGTGAATTACAACTGTGATTCTCTACTCATCATGTGAGGCTACTGGCTGAGAATTCGGATTGGTTGACAAATGTATGGGCCACTTCACATTGAGGCGCGTGGGCGCGTTCATTAATTGAAGGGCACGCGAAATTGTCGCGCCAATCCCTGCACTCAGATCGACACTCACGAGCACTTATCCTCCATACTTCACTATGAGCAACTCACACTCACTTGAATCAAAAACAAAACTCATGCCAACCATCTGCCATCCAAAAATCAACCAGCACGCTCACTAATCTTTATATAATAAACCGAACCAAACTCCTCACGCCTGGAAAAGAGCCCATCATCGCAACCCCTCAAACCGCCGTCTTTATGTCCTTTACAACCCTCACGGATATCTGCTGCGACGCAGACCCCGACCCCTGCAGAGGCTGCCACAGAATCGTCCACACGCACGCGAACCCCTCCACGTTCCTCTGCGCCCGGCACGACTACAGGCTCCGCAGCAAGACCGCGTGGGCCGTGTCCTTCGGCGCCTCCACCAGCGCGTCCCTGATCGACTCCGTCCGAGCCGGGTGCGACGCCGACGAGGCCGAGCTCGCCAGCGCGACGCGCGCGCTGGGGGCCGCCAGGGCGCGGAAAGCCCGCGCCGAGGACGCCGTCGCGCATTCCGCGAACGTGCTGGTCGAGGCCAGGGCGCAGTGTGCGCAGGTGAAGCACGGGGTGGAGGCGGAGTACCGGAGGCTGTACGCGGCCGGCGCGGAGTATCTCGGGAAGTGGTTGCTGGAGAGGGGGGAGATCCCGAGAGAGAAGGCGGTCGAGGTGGAGGATAGGATCGGTCCTATGGTGGAGCTTTTGGAGAGACTGGATGAGGTTACGGGGGAGGTGAGGCGGACGGGTCTCATGAAGGGTTATCCCGACTTGGAGCAGAGCTACTCCTGTCGAATCAAGGACGAACACCCGCCACAGGAGACCGCGGCCGCTTCTGAGCCGCCGGCTGAGAGGAAGAGGAAGAGGACGAAGCGGACTAGCGACTCACGAGCACACCCATACCCTCCTCCGGAACAGAGACGCCGGACGACTGGAGAAATGGCCGTGAGGAGCGAGTCCGTGAAGAGCGAACCCATGGATGAGACCCTGGCTGCGATCGCACCTGCGCCTCAACATCCCACAAACACGCAACAACACATCAGCAACAGGACCGAGAGCTCGAACGCCCGTCCTCTGAGCCCCCTCTCCGCCGCGATGCTGGGAACGACGCCGCAGGAAAGGGCATGGAAGGCGCGGATACTGGCGGAGCGGAAAGCAACCCCGCTCACCGGACGAACCGTGCAGGAGATCGACAAGGCCTTGGACGATTGGAAGAAGAGGTGTGCGGGAAGAGTCTCGTTCTTGACGACCAAGACGTGGCACGATCTGCGCAATGAGCGGGCCATATTATTGGGCCAGCTTTGACGCGCTTTTGGTGTTGGGTACGGATGGGGATGGCCGGAGCGAGGTGGTTTTTAACATAATTTCAAGCATGCTCTCACACTGGATTGTATTCTACGCGATAATCTGGTATTCGGAACATAACTACATCATCCACCATCAAACAAAACCACACATTCCAGCCCTCCTACGCCTCAATCGGCGCCCCCTGAATATACGGAATCCCGGTCAACCTGTACCCCCTCTCCGTCAACCTCGGCGCGCTCCTCGGCTTGCCCGTGTTATACGGACACGGCTCCCCGCCCCTCTTCACGGGAATCCCACCGACGTGCATCGCGTTCGGCCAGTGCGTCGTGCTCTGCAGGTTATCGAAAGCCCCCTTCTTCCTGACCAGGTCCTCCTGGCTCGCCTCCGCGACCGGCATGTAACACGTGTACACGCAGAACCGCGGGCCCTCGCCCTCCGGGCTAAGGTTGTAATGCGGCGTCCGGCTGTCCCACAGCAACAGGTCCCCGGGCTCCGCGTCGATCTTGACCCACTCGCACCCCTTCTCCGCCAGCCACTTCATCCCGGCCTCGGTAAACCCGTACCACTCCTTCGTCCACGCCCAGATGCGGTCCGGCTCGTCGCGGAACGCCTCGTGGAACTCCTCGCTGAGGAGGTGGGCCCCCTTGCAGACGATGAGCCCGCCGTCGCGGGGCCCGTTGGGGAGGATGTTGACCAGCCCCTGGAGGCAGCGGAAGCCGGGCTTCTCGGGGTCCTGGTCCTGGTGGGGCCAGGGCTTGTTGGGGGCGACGTCGGGCCGGTTGGGGAAGGCCATGTTGACGGCGTCGAAGGAGACGATGAGGTCGGGGGTGTCGTAGACGGTCTCGAAGGCGGAGACGACGCCGGGCTCCTGGCGGACGGACCAGGTGAAGGACTCGTGGGCGATGCCGTAGCCGAGGCACATGCCCTTCTCGGTGATGATGGGGAGGTTGGATTCTTTGACGGTGCTGGGGTCGTTGCGGTCGAAGCCGAGGCCGCCGGCGCTGTTTTTGGCGGTGGTTAGTCGGAAACCGGATTCACGGGATTGCGGGAGGTAGGAAGGGACTTACAAGTTTTCGAGGTAGGACATCATCTCGTCGCCGTACTTGTCCGCTCTCTCGCGGGGGATGGCGCCCTTGACGACGACGTAGCCGTCGCGGAGGAGGTCATCGCGGAAGTCGCCGTACGTGACGCCCTCCTTGGAGAAGAGCTTGTTAGGGCCGGCGGGCTTCGGGACCAGAGGCGCGGCGGCCGCCGCCGTCTCTTGTTTCTTGCTGGCCGGGACCGTGATGGTCGCCGAGGCGGAGTTGTAGTCTGTGGCGATGACCATTGTGATCGAATTTCAACAGGAGACTCTTGCTCTGGTTCGTTCACTTGTGGTGAAGATGACTCGGTGGTGGCATGATTCAGGGCATTCGAAGAAGGTTTCGAGATCTGTTTATACTTGACATCAACCCATCTGAGAAGTTCGCCATCTCAGCCTCGATCCACGAGTCTGGAATGTCTTTCGTAATCCCGACGAGGCTTCTTCGTACACAGTGAGAACTATTCCGAGGAAACGTTTCGGGCCATTTAGCCCCAAAGTCGTCTTTTTGCCTCTTCGGCCCGGGACGGTATGAGTGGGGGACAGACCTGTGGTGGGAGTTGACGTTTCGCACCTATGTTTCGGTTCGGGAAATGGGCCGGCTTGGTGTTGTTCGGCTCGGGAGTTGGTGGGTCCTCCGGCTCCTCTCCCCCGGGGTCGAACTAACATCATGCATCGATATTATCGAAATCGGCAATCTCTCCCGGAACTCCATCGCGGGGAAGATTCGCGGCTTCTCGATGTTGGTGACGAAACTTGCGGATGGCATTTGGTCTCTTAAATGAAGTCAGCTGTCACGATGTTTCCTCCCAGCTTCCTTCTGCGTGCCGTGTACTTCACAACAACCATCATACCTTCGAAGCCAGTCATCTGAGGACACAGTGAAGGGAAATTCGAAAAGAACCACTTCACGATGACGTCCACATCCTTCCGCGGGGTCTCGGTCCCAATCGAGCCCCTCAGCGCCCCGGTACACAGTCACGGCTACACCGGCCTCGACCCTCGCTCCGAGACCCTCCCCAAGGGCTGGAAATACCCTCACCCGGACGCCCGCCCTCTCCCCTGCGACATCCGCGTCGACCACGACGTGGCCCTCAAGATGCGCGACGGCGCGACCCTCTACGCCGACATCCTGCGGCCCGCGACCTCCGAGAGGGTGCCGGCCCTGATCTGCTGGTCGCCCTTCGGCAAGACGTTCAACGGCATCATGTCGCTGGGCTACATGACGCCGTGGAACCTCGGGATACCCGCCGGCACGCTCTCGGGCCTCGAGAAGTTCGAGGCCCCGGACCCGGCGGACTGGGTGCCGCGCGGCTACGCCGTCGTCAACGTCGACACGCGCGGGGCGTACGACAGCGAGGGCACGATGGTGATCATGGGCACGCGGGAGGCCGAGGACGGGTACGACACGATCGAGGCGGTGGCCGGGATGGGCTGGTGCACGGGCAAGGTCGGGCTGGCGGGGAACTCGCACCTGGCGATCGCGCAGTGGTTCATCGCCGCGCTGCGGCCGCCGAGCCTCGCCGCCATCGCGCCGTGGGAGGGGTGCGGGGACCTCTACCGCGAGCAGTTCGCGCGGGGGGGCATCTACGCCGGGGACCTGTTCGATCAGCTGATCGTGAAGCACATGCTCAAGGGCCGCCACGGGCTCGAGAGCTTCAGGGAGATGTACGAGAAGCACCCGCTCGCGAACGCGTGGTGGAACGACAAGAGGCCTGATATGACGAAGATCAACGTGCCTACGTATATCACGGGGACGTGGACGAACACGATGCACGGGATGGGGGCGATCAGGGCGTGGTTGGAGGTGCAGTCGGAGGAGAAGTGGTTGAGGTGGCACCCGTGGCAGGAGTGGTTTGACCTCTGGGGCAACCCGCAGGCCAAGGAGGAGTTGTTTGACTTCTTTGACTTTTACCTGAAGGGGGTGAAGAATGGGTGGGAGAAGACGCCGAAGATTCGGATGGCGCTCTTGAGGTTTGGGAACAAGGTGCCGCAGGCGATTGAGAACATCGTCGAGGAGGAGTTCCCGCCGAAGAGGACGGAGTACAAGCAGTTCTACCTCGGGAGCGGGGAGGAGCTCGTACCCGGCGCGGCGCCGGCGGAGACCCAAGACGTCGGGTATGATTCAACGTCTTCGGAGAGCGTGGGATTCACGTACACGTTCACGGAGACGACGCGGCTCATGGGATTGCCGAAAGCGGTGCTGTACATGTCCTGCGCGGATCACGACGACATGGACGTGTACGTCATGATCCAGAAGCTGGACCGCGAGGGGAAGCAGATGAAGAACCTCAACATCCCGTGGAAGGGAATCCCCGTCAAGACGTTTGAGGAGTTCTCGCCGGAGCAGGAGACGGAGGTTGTGCTGTACAAAGGCCCCGTCGGGATCCTGCGCGCGTCGCACCGGGCGATTGACGAGGCGAAGAGCATGCATCCGCACTGGCCGTACCATCCGCATGAAAAGGAGGAGAAAATCACGCCTGGCGAGGTTGCGAGGCTGGACATCGGCATCTGGGCTACCGGTATCGAGTTTGAAGAAGGGGAGAGCGTGAGGATCGTTGTTAGTGGGAGGAGCTTTGCGGTGAATAATTTCGGGGCCGATCATGGGTTGAATCGGGGAAGGCATGTGGTGCATCTGGGAGGGAAGCACGCCAGCCATGTAATTCTTCCGTTTGTGTAGACGCCGATGTAGTTGTCGATATCCAATCCCGAATCCTTAAGGTTTGTATTCAAGTCGATCTCGTAATCTTTGTGTGCTGTTCGACCAGACGATAGAATAACGATGGTGTACTGCGTCTGCATGAATATGAGTGATGACGCTTGGGCCAGGCGTTCAATGCCGAATTCCATGATCATGGATGAGGGGAACGGCAAGGACTGACGATATCCCTGACGAAAGTTCAGTGCTTGCATGAGATGGTCTGCTATGCCGCAACGAGTCCCCCTCCTCAGCTAGTCAGCCCCGTTGATACCGACAGACATGGCTCATTCAGCAAGGACACCGAATTGCTTCTCTCGAAGTGAACTGTCTAAGCTCCTACATATGGTGAATCAAATACCCTCAGAATGGCACGACGTCGCGTCCGCGTCCACCGCGTACCCTTGCAGGAGGGCTGAGTCGCATTTGCAGGGATATGAGGTGTCTGGTCGCGTGGCGCTTCAAATTGAGTGCATTTGCACCCCGGAGGAGGGGAATCTGCCGGCGTTTCGACCGGGCAAAATTCCCCCCGCCTGATGACGTTGCTGAGAATAAGTTGGCGATGGTCCTGACGCGAGGGTGTACCTGCGTAAGCGAATGCAGTGCTATCCGAGGAACGAACTGTCCAACATCTCGAAATTGCTGAAGACGAGGCAGCCACGGAACACCGCAGGAAGCCCTCAACCGGCGGTGCATGCGATTGCGCTGGACATATCGCGGGCCGCCTCCACGGCGTCAGCCATACTAGACGATGGTGATCCGACGGGTGCGCCGGCCTCTTGTCTTAATTGTGGTCACACGACATCCGAGTCATGTTGAAACAGGACGTTGCACGTAGGCTGAACTCAATCAAACAATTTCTCGACCCGATTGATTGCGAGGAGGTTGGGGTCGGCGTATCGAGAGCCGATTCTTGCTTAAGTCGAAAGTGTTCCTTCGAAAGGCAGAGCGCTGAGAGCATGTTGGGCGGCACACGGCTCCAACGGAACGTTAACAAGATCCTAGGAATGCCATCTGGAGGCATTGACGCCGGCAATGGCGGGGAACCGGAGCTATCTTGGAATAGCGGCCGATGTGCGTTTGGCAAAAGGGGCTGGGATCGAATTCCATCATATCTCCAAGGCTTTGACCGGCCACAACTTCGTCCTCGTACCAGCTTGTGGTTCAGAGCAAGACAGTCTCGGTGGCCCCCGCACAATCAGAGACAGAACGGGTGGCTTGGGAACTTGGAAGTCGTGCCTCTTGATCGGTCAAGACGCCGGTCGGGCTGCGATGAGACGGAGTCGAGGGTTCGGCGGCGCAACATTGAGGCGGTTCGGATAAGCAGCTAAGAGCCGGCGAGGTGTGACGGCGTTGAGTAAAAAGCCAAAAGCCGGCGGGCTCGAAATTGGCAAAATCGATATGCCATCGAATTGCCCGTCAGTAGCCTCGATTGGGCGAGGACGGTGGCCGAAATCAGGTACCAATGTGACCTCCTTCGGGTTGTGGCAGCCGCATGATTTGCGCTATGGCGGTGATGGAAGGGAAAAGACGGCTGCTATCCGTAGAACTGGAGGCTTCTGGTGTCGTTTGTGACAGTAGGTTCTCGTAGTACGGACGTAGGATGCGACGTGTTCGTACAACGTTTGCTTCTTTCCTGGAACATGTCTTCAACGCCAGCCTTTTCCCGTGAGTACGAGGCCGGTCGAGCAAGACCTTCCTGGCCATTACTTCCAGGTTGACTCTGAAGGGAACAAAAGTCGACCCCTTTTTCGGGTGTGATGACGGCGCCCCTGAAAAGTGAAAGGTGCGCGGCAGAGTTGGGCTGCAGCCGAGACCGGGGCATGCCTTGTTTCCGTCACACTGGAACGGTCTCCCATTGGGCGTGCTCTGAGGGCGAGATGCAGGAGGATGCAGGAGAAAAGAAGGAAAAGCAAGGATGATAGCTCGGAGCAATTGGCCGTCACCTTTTTTGGTGTGGTGAAAAATTGGATGACTGCATAATCCCTGACTTGCATAAGTGGGATGGATTGTTTTGTGCAGAGAGAGGTACCTACCTGAAGAAGAGGAGCTTGGACGTGGTACTAGCTGTTAGCGCAAAAGGCAAGAAAATGCCCGAGCTCCTAGCGAGCCGGTAGCTTCTCTTTTAAGCTTCCACGGTCGATATTTTCGGATTTGGACTTGTCCATCCGCATTTCTGACCACAATGCAGGATTGATGGTCGTGGGTGGAATGAGAATGGGGTGCAGAAGGTCATAGCAAAGGGCCACCTGAGGGGCCGAAGGATCTGACAGCTGGACCCTGGCGCCGACGGGCCGGTATGAGAGATGGGATGAGGGGTCCAGGGAATGTTTGTGTGCAGCTCCGGGAAGCTTGACACTGACTTCATGGCATCAAGAAGACGAATGCGAGACTGAGAAGAATACCAACATAGGAATTCAGCTTCATCGCTGCATCTCTGTAATTACTAGTAGAGGACGGGACCGATCTCTTACCAAGAAGCCACCCGCTAAAGAGGGGGACTAGCGACTGACGGGTGTAAGCCGGCGGCACTAACAGCGTCGACCTCAAGCCGGCAATCTCCTCTGGTCTGTTGTTCCTGACTTTTGATGGTGTTTTGGGCTTGCCTTGATATTCGTACCTGACGAGGCGCTTTTAAGACCAACCAAGAGAGGAAAAGAAGGAAAATGGAAATGAAGGGAAACTGCAATTACCCTTTTCTTCTTCGATGCTCTTTCTCTTTCTCAGCCCTGCCTGAAGGCTCCTTCCTTCACCAGAGCAGCCTGGCTCAGACCTTCCTTGCTTGATTCTTATTCACTTTTGTCATTTTCACTCGGATTTTAATTCGTCACAATTCCAACATTCTTTCCCTTGAACAGAGAATTTTCTTCTTCTGCTTGAATCCTTCCTTCAAACCAACACCAACACCAACAACACCACCCCTGGATCACACTATCCACTCCGCGTCCAGGTCCCGACATCCCCCACCGCGATCCTTGCCTCCTGCCCACTCGCAGTGACAGTCTCCCTTCCTGGCCGGGCTGACCTCCGCGTCGCATCGCATTCGAAGCTCATCTCGACACAGTCATTGGCTGGCCGGCTTCAACATCGCCAGGCTTCAGACTCAGACTCATGGCCTGCGGCTTCTCCTCCTTGCGACGACCCCTGCAACTTCCCTGCGCCTGCGCCTACCCGCACCCTCGTCACTTTTGTCTCGCTGCATGAGACGTCCCGTCGCGTCGTGTGCCCTCTTGACTCTTGACTCTCTTTCTCTCTTTCTTTCCTTCCGACTGGCGACCGAAAGAAATGTGTTTCTTGCTCCTCCGTCATCCTCGTCGCCCGCTTGCTCCCCTCCCGCCAGTCGCGCTCGCCAATATCGCTGCCAATGCCTCTTCGAAGCTGACCGTCGCCGCGCTCTTCTAACGAACCCTCTCCTTCCGATCGCATTTCTCGACTTCAATTGGTACCACAGCCCTGTCGACCATCCACCACTCGCCGTCCGATCTCCCAGGGTCCTAGGGTCTTTTCGAAGCGAAACCCAGCCTTTGACGGAGTCAATCACGAGAACGCCCCGTCAAACTCATCGTTTCTTAGACGGCGCCGACGACGTTATTGCTTATCGCAGCAACATCTACATCAATACTGGCAGAACCGACACCGACGCTGACGACGAGACCACCACTCGAAGTCCGACATCTCAGCGTTTCACCGTTCATCTCTGCAATTTAAGATACCCAGCATTCTTTTTCTTCCAGCCTCCTCCGCCAGTTGGCTCGACTTCGCTTCGACATCCGAGACATTCCACCATCACCGCCGCCGTCAATTGAGACATTCCTGTGCTGCCACCGCCGAAAACTCGTGGCAGGATCTGAGGATACACCCAACGACGCGGCCCAACGCTACCCCCAACTGCCGATCCAACGCCCTGAAAAAGACCCGATCCTGGAACTCGAACCTACTTTTCTCGACACCCGTCCATGCCGAACCGTTCGACGTAACCCAGTTCTCGTGTTTAAACGGCTCCTGCTCCCAAGTTGCGCGCAAAACTTCAGCTTCGCACTTGCGGCACGCCCACCACATGCCGCAATTCGCAGGTAGTTGAACGCTACAGAAACCAGGTTCTGGCCTGCTCTCCCGCAATAGCAGCCACCACTATACCTTCAAAGCGCACCCACCACAACGACTATCAGGTCAAATTCAAAGGGTATATCGACAAGGATTGTGAAAAGAGCCTTAACTCTGCCGCGTTTTCGTCTTTTTTTCTCTGCACTGTAGTCAGGGATTGGTCCCCTTTCTCAACACCATCGAACGTCCTCTCGCCAAGCTACGCTAGCAACACGCAGCTGCCATCTGCGCTTCCGCACCCCAGCAGGCATCATCCCCATCGCCAGGACTGACTATTGACCAATTCGGGCTGTAACCACCACAATTCGACTGCCGGTTCGATCCTTCGTCCAAAGAGCCGTCTGTTCAGGGCGGCCGGTGCTATTGTGGCAGCATTGGCCTGGTCGGATCGCCAGCTTGGTTTCGTCGTTGCTTTTCCGCCAACAACATGGAAGGTCGGGCACAATCACGCGATCGGGAGAGACCGCATCCTTCTCCCAACTTCCTTCGCACATCCTCGAGATCGAGCACAAGTACCAGCGCGACCCGAGTGACCCCCAGAAGCGCCAACAGCTCGACTTCACACCTCGTATCCTCCCCGCGTTCATCGAGCGGCCACCCTTCCCATAGATATCACCACGCTTCATGCGCCCCGTCCACCACTTCCAGGCCTGCTTCAGTATTGTCCAGAGACATAGCCTCAGAATCCGGCAGGCAAAGCGCGGCGTCTAGCTATCTGCAGGAGAAGCTCCAAAAGAGCAGGGAAGAGGCAGAGCGATTGGCTGCCATACAGTCAACACCCAAAATGAGTCCCTCAACGGAGTTCCCTCCAAGAAGCCAGACCTCTTCCACGAAACGTGGTTCTGTCGATGGCCTTCGGCCCATGTCAAGCGGAACTAGCGACTCGGCGAAGAAGAGGGGAATGGGGCTGAAGGAGATGGAAGCCGTAAGTGTCCTTTGCGCCATGTTGTAGTATGTTGCTGACATCGATCGTCTTAGTCTGTCTCCACTTTGCACAAGCAAAACTTCGATCTCAAGCTCGAGCTGTTCCACCGACGCGAAAGACAGAGCGTTCTCGAAGAACGCATCGAGGCACTCGAAACGGAAAAGGCACAAATAGACAATGTGAACGATAAGCTTCTGGACGAGCTGGACAAAAGAGACAAGGCAGTACAGGAAGCGGTCCAGATGATCGTCGCTCTGGAGGCGCAAGTTGAGACCATGTTGAAAGAGCGAGAAATGGTGCGGCAAGTCGACGCAGCTGCATACTCCCCGGCGAGCGAGCCTGAATCGAGGCTTAATGGACCTACTCCCAAGCCCAAGATGGCGGATCTGGCCCGACTTGAGGAGGACGCGAATACGCTCACTCGCATGCCAAGTTTCATTTCGGATCGTACCGAGAACACCGAGAACTTGCGAAGGGTATATCTCAACTCTCACGGCAGTCCTCTCAGCTTGCCTAGGATCAGGACTGAGGACACGGATGACTACGAAAACCCTCGGATTGACACTTTGGTGAGCCCTAGCCTCAGTGTCCTCAGCGAGAGTTCTTTTATCAGCGTGTACGGAGAGAGGGATCAGGATCAGACCATCGTAGCGGACGATGCGTCCATGATGGATGGCGCCTCTCCGCACTCCCGACCGCGCAAGCTCTCCATGGGCAGTGACAACGTTGAGCCGCAGAAGCCCATAGTTGCGGCACCATTGAGGCCTGACAGACCTAGTCGTGCTAGCTCAATCACTCGCACGACAGGTCCCGGTCAGTTCCAGTCGATTCAGGATATCATTGATCAGACATCGCCTCTCCAGAAGCTGGCGCGGCTTGACCGTTCATACCTCGACAGGTCGCCAACACAGGAACATCTCTCATTCGCTAAAAGGGGGCAAACGCATCAATATGTCAAAGACGCGAAACAGGGGACTCTACGTAGGGTCGTGACTGATGGGCCGGTGACCAGATCTTCCGACCAGGCTTTTCCTCCGACTCCCGATACCATCTCAACATCAACTCTTCGAAGGTTCAACAACTCCGACGACAACATTGACCGCAATCGCAACGTGTCAGGACAGAAAAGTCAACCGTCTGTCTCGGAAAGAAGGTCTGATGAGGCAGAGCACACGAGAGGCGCTCCGGCTCTCCAGCAGCCTTTGGTTTCCGCCTTTGGTAACGGACCAATCAGTAGCGCCTTCGACACACGGCCACCCTTGATTCCTCGCCCTAGGTCGGCAGACGAGAGCACGATATCTCATCACAGAGAGCCTGACTGGGGATCTGAGACTGAGTCAGTACACTCGCTAGACTCCAGCCTCGATATTTGGCTGCAGCAAGGCAAGGACCCCAAGGGCTTTGAACAGAGCAGAAGCAATTCTCCAGATCTCTTCAACTTCCCTCCATCAGGTGCTGGATGGGCACCTGGCATGTTTGAGTCAGTTGCGGCCCCGTTTGGCCTCTCTCAGCCAGTGATCAATCCTGTCGATCTCATGGCAGCGCAAGAAGCCTTGTTCCCAGATGCGGTCCACCCCCCGCCAGCTCCTAACAGGAGATCCAGTCTGGGTGCCAAGACCGGGCCAACATCTCGACACTCTCCTATCCACGGGAAGCTGCGTAAGGACCCATCCCGCAGTAGTTCGAGACAGAGCAGTGTAGATGCACACATGCTTCAATTGGCAGACGCGGTAGCTCGGGCTTCACCCATGGAGTCAAAGTCCGTGTCACGTTCGAAGGACAGCCACTACCCTCCTCCCTCCGGGGCAGCTCCTCGCGGCCACCGATTGAATTTCTTTCGGAGATCTATCGGTGGCGGCCCCACGGCAGCTCTCCCAGAGCTATCACCACCCGCTGAAGAGACAGGGCACGCAACGAATCCTGCTCCGATGGGCATGCCGTCCTGGGGGCAACGAGGCAACATGATAGACGAGGATAGAGCCAGCGCAACACCGCCTCCCATCATGCGAAACCCTCGGCCTCATCGTGCTGTCAGCGTGGACCATGGCGCACCGGTAGTTGACCGCCCTCCGATGACTCCAACAACACACGTCGATCATCGTGCGTCTCTCACTCCTGTCCCTAAGGGAACATCTTCTTGTGAGACGACGCCTAGAAGCGCTAGCGCCAGCGGAGGCGCGCCTTTAAACAAACGCAAATGGCTCCCGGGATTCGCCCGGACTAGCAGTCTTAGAAATCGTGCTGGCTGAGGAGGCCGGGCGTTAGATCCAGGCGCGTTGAACAACAGCCCTCGCCAAAGTTGCCGCATCCTGAAGAGGAATGCACATGAGCCCGACGAGGCTCCGAACTGGGTGAAATGGCCCAGTATACCATATCTAACCTCTGCCATGGGCACTCCATGATGAATAAAACTACGTAGACAGGGCGCAGTTGGGTGCCGCCAGCAAAAGCTTTTGATACTCTCAGGGCAGCCAGCGATGGTTTAGGCAGGAGTTGATGAGCATGAGTAGACGGAGTAGATGGAGTAAATGGTTCGATGGTCGTTCTCATCGGGCGCGTAGAGACGTATGGCACGGCTTTCGCGATTCTGAGCGAGCGTGCTCCCGTAGCGAACGGGCTTCATACTTAACGAACCAGTCATGGGTAGATGATAATAGGACTCAAAGATATCCCTTATGAATCTTCCGCCTGTAAGATGTATGTCTTGATGTCTGCGAGTGTCCCACGTTAGTCAGAACCATCGGTGTATCGGTAGCTCACCGGACGGGTGCTGGTATCCGAGCTGCACGGGTGAATGGTCGCTCGCCGGATATCCCCCCGAGCTGAGTTCATCTTCCACAACTGATCAGTTCTTAGCTGGTTCCATCCTGTTTTCGAAATTGCTGAAACTCGAAATTTCTGACGAATTGGCGTGCCTGGAGTTGTTGGTCTCAACACGACCAACAGAACCCAATCAACAGCTTTCCCGCAGCTGACAAACGGTTTTCTTTTCGACTTCATTTATGTTAGTCCATTCATTTATGTTAGTCCAACAGCGAGGAAACGGAAGCGATGCCCCTCCTCTCAATGATCGGCCGTATGGCATAGATGGTCTTGTCGCCGACGAATTAGCACCCCAGGCAACAACACCATGACCAGAATAAACATGCCAAGCAATCCAACAATCGAAAAGAACAACACTCTCCCCGCTGGCATGGCCATGTCATCACGCAGGCAGCAGCAAACATCACCCGCGTGACCGACCTGTTTCCCATGACCTCCCAAAACCTCAATCTCGAAGCTCTAACTCCCAGACTCCCACCAAGCCCCATTCCCCTCAATCCAAGAACCAAATCATCAACCTGTCCACCTGCACCATGCACGGCGACGAAGACACCTGCCCCGCAAGACGCTTCTACAAAGCCCCCCTCCCGCCCGAGACGCACGTGGGGTATCCTTCAACGGGAGGGGTGTGGGTTGTGAGGTTCTCGCGGGACGAGGGGTGGTTCGACGGGTTTGGACGGCGGGACGGGCGGAGGCGGACGTGGGCGAGGGAGCCGGAGGGGTGGAGGCTCAGGATGGGCATGGTGCTTGATATGGATGAGAAGTGTGGGGTGATTGAGATGTTTGGCGGGGTGTTTTATGAGGACGTCGAGGGGGCGGGCGTGGGGGAGGTGCTGGCGAGGAGTTTGGTGGAGAGGAGGCGGATGTTTGAGAGGTATGGGGAGATGTTGGGGAGGATGGACGATGGGGAGTATGTGAGGACGTGGATGATGGGTTCGGGGGGGCGGGAGGAGCATCCGGAGAGTGAGGATGAGTACTTTTGGGATGATGAGGCTGAGAGGACTGGGGATGGTCGTGGTAAGGGATGTGTGGTCTCATAGTGGAGGCACCAGATGAGATGAAGAGAGACCTGAGCGATTCTAGGCTCCGTATTTCCCTACCGACAACGTCAAGAAGAGTTCCATGGTGCTCTTCTATAACTAATGGATATAAGTCATAAAAGATATGTTTTGCATATATGTGAGAGTCCTACTTGACCGGCTAAGACGGCCGTCGGCGAATCGGCACCTTACGGGACCGGGTCGCCGGTAACCGAACTTTAACCCCGGGCCGCACCGATAAATTGTGGAGCATCGTAAATCGGCTGTCCCCTGCATTAGCTGACTTCAGCGTCGCTATTCTCCCACAACCACCACTGCAAATGGTGCAATTGCTTGAATCTTTGATCATTTGAATCCGCAGCCCGAAATACTTGGTGTTGTTTTTGCCGCCTCCTTAAGGGCTTCGATGACGGCGCGCGTGACCTCACAGCGGGACGCCGCAGCGTCGCCGCCGACGACCGCGAACCTGAAGCTCTCGCCGTTCCTCCGCCCGATCAAAGTTCAGCCCGCCAGTTCCAAGGACGCATCTGACGTCGCCGCGGCATCGAAGAGGAAGGAAAATGACCCTCCGAGCCCGTTCGCGCTCATACCGCCCGCAGCGTTCAGCCTCCTCGCCCAGCTATCCCTCCTCGCCACCCTCTTCCTTCCGCGCGCCCTCTCAGACTCCGCATCTCGATACGTACCGCCCGGAGCGAGCTGGGATCCGCAGTACCATGCTCTCACCACCTTCCTCGGAGGCTCAGGGGCGTACGCGAGGGGTTTCGGGATCGTGCTGTTCGCGATCCTGACGAACCACGTCCGTCGGACGTTCTGGCCAGGGAGCGTGGTGGGCGGGTTCGGGGGGCCGATCGGGATGCTGAAGCTCGCGGCGGGGAGTCCGGAGGTGTTTCTGAGGGAGGAGTTCGAGATGGGGAGGTGGTCGACGGGGTGGTGGTGGAAGGTTGTGGGGGATTTGGGGGGGTTGGGAGCGGGGGGTGAGTTGGTGAGGAGGGTTCGGTCGAGGACGGGGACGGGGGCTGGGAGGGACATGAAGGGGACGACGGTCGCGGCTGTTGTGGTGCTTGTGTGGGCGCTGGGCGCGGCGGAGTATGTCCACGCCAGGATCGCGCATGTTGTTGCGCTTGGGATCGCGTATTGGAGGTTAGTGGGCGGCGGGGAGGATGGGAGGGAGGCGTTGTGGAGGGTTTTCGCGCCTCGTGAGGATGGGGGGAGGGAGGGCGAGTTGTGGAGGAGGTGTGTGTTGGGATTTTGGGGGAATGAGGAGGTTTTCTCCATACTTGCGTTTCATGCTGAGGTCGTGGGATACTGTGTTTTCGGTCTTGTACCGTTGTTTTGGCTGGCGGTGCGAGAGGCGTTTGGACTTGGGAAGAGGGGAGGGGGGTGGAGGCCTGGGTTGGCGGTTGTGATGGTTGGTTGGGCTTGGGGGACGGGATATGTGGCGAGGTACTCGAATAAGTACTACATCGGGTTGCAGATGTATGAGATGGTGCTTGTGGCGTGGTGGGTTGGTGCTGCGGTGGTTGTATTTGGGTTGGCTTGGGTTAGGAGAGTCATTGGGAGGTTGAGGAAGGGGGAAGTGGGAAGATGAAGTAGTAGTTGTGATGATGTATATAAGGGGACAATGATCGAGTCCAGTATGTGTGGACGACAAGATCGATCTCTCGTTCAAAATGCCAATCAGACCAGCTTGCACTCTGGCCAGACCGGACGGGCAACGCCGACCTCTGGGGTAAATGCAAAATGGTGCATGTGACTTTCATGACACCATCTGAAAGCAAGCGTGGTTCGCTGCTTGTCTCTCATCTGTGTTGTTGTTTTGGAAGTATTCGTGATTAGATATTGAGAATACTGTCTTCGCATTTGCTTTCGCAAATGCGTCAATATCGGCATTATATTGGAAGTCAATGGGGTCGGGTATGTGAATTGAGAGACATTCTGCGTCGCAATACGGTATACACCGCAATTGAATGCAAATTGTTTACCAAGCCCCCTGATTGCTGGTTCTAGGAGACTTCCATTACAAGAGCATTTTATATTCCCTTGGAGGCGTAGCTAGTTCCAGTCATCATTACATGCATGGGTAGGCTCACGTACTTTCTTAATTGAACAATTCAAGCCGAGAACCACAAATCATCTTTACTGAAGTCAACAACAGTTGAGATTGCGAGTATAATTTGTATAGCTTTAATACTTCGCATTGAGACTGATTAAAGGACTCATAAACCCTTATCGCAACCTCACACTTTGCTCCCTGTGCTCTTCCTTAGAATACCATTCGCCAGACATCATACCATCAACGTATGCTTCTCCTAGAAATCTACAAGTATGTGAGCCCATTTGCGTGTTCTCACTAGTCGCATCTCCATCAACCGCTGAGAATATAAATGGGGTCTGCCCGCCTCTGATGAGCCATACATTGCACCCGGGCTGGATATCCAACGAGCCAACTCCAATGTAGCCCTTTTCCGTGACAAAGAAAGCTCTGTGATGCAACATGTGCTGAATAGAAAAGAGCAATTGTTGATCATGAGACTCTTCGCCTTTGATGAACCTATCAGCGTTGGCCAAATCTTCCGCTCTGGCTCTTCTCGGTTCATCTTTGTCTTCAAATATCAAGTCTCCTATCGCAGTTCTTGCGAATGCTTGCGACCATGAACCGCCACCAACATACCTCGAAGAGCCTCTGGATGACAGTACATCCTCTGCAAGGGACTTCCACCCTCTTAAGATTGCCAAGCATTCGAGTTGGGAGGGCTCTCTCGCTTCAGACACCTTCGAGTTTGAAACATGCTGGACCCTATCAGCCAAGATGCCTTTGAGAAGGAGTGCTTTCTCGTCTGATGAAACCTCAATGGATAGAATTCGTCTGCCCGAAGCACTGAACTGTTCGTATCTCTGCGAGTGTCTATACCAATTTTCAGTACGGTCTCCAGAACCAACAGGCTGCAGCATATCAAATGCCCAAGAAGGAAGGTCGGGGGTGACATTCTGATATCTTCTTCCAATTACTGGCTTAAGGTCATTTCGATGCTGGATTTGATCGAGAGTCATCTTCGCGAACAGGGTGTTCAAGGGTAAATCGTAGCTACAAGATAGGATCCTTGGAAACGGATTGCCTTCCAACAGTCCGATTAGGGCGTAGATACTGTCCTGCGGCACAGTTGCATGTCTTATTCGCCATCGTCGGTAGATGTCCAGATTGTCAGGACGCAGTTTCGTTTGTCGTAGTCCCCAAAACTGGGTGTATATGCCATCCATATTGTCGTAAATCCTTCCCATCATATCGTTGAATGAATGAAACTGTCTCGACCCTAGAACTTGTAGCAGGGTTGAGCCCCACCACATATCCTGCTGTGTTGCGTACAATTGGAAAAACGTCTCGATCTCTGCCCATGCTTTGGAAACGGGACCTAATTGTACAATTGGCCGTCGTGGAAGAACGGCTTCCTGCACGGTCCATATTCGATCCCACCAACTGCTACCGCCGTGAGGCGATATCGCCCTGAGAGCTCTACCAACTCCTTCGACGGATGAAAGTTGGATAAGATCGAAGATCTCCTGCAAGCGATCCTCGGACATCCGCTTGTTCTCAGCAAAGACAGTAAAGCATCCAAAGAGAGCTCTCGCATCTGCGACAGTCAGATCCTTGTCGCTCTCGGTTATGTCGTTCATCCAGATGATGCACTGATGACAACCACGATAAATGCCTCGCATGAAACCGACCTGGATCTCCTTTTCTGCGTCATTGTTCTGATCGATGCAAAGCTGGTCTATCCACAGGACCCTGCCGTCCTGCTGATGTCGGAGTCGTTGCAATGCAGCAAAGAGGTTTGGCGTTATCTTGACTGGGACACCGTTGACGCAAATGATGTCTTCTCCGACGTGGCCCCAAACATACGACAAAGCTTCGTATTTCCCACTGCTCGCCAGACTCACAGCCTGTATCGTGCAGCGCAAGGGGTCTCCAAACTCTCCAGGAAGTAGGGTCAGGAGACGGATGCTATCGTTTGAGACTGGCGGGAGGTGTTCCATTTTGCAGGAACAAAAAAAGAAATCTGCGGAGGACAGACAAGCTTGGTGCCGTAGTGGTGCTGGATTGTGATGTGAGCAGTGTGTGCGTCGTAAGCACTCAAGATGGCTGACGGCTCACGCATGAAAGTGTGCGGGGCTTCATAGGGTACAAATAAACCGCGCTGTTACGGGCTATGCGCAGAACGAAACACTTCGATACAAATACAGCCAAACAACGGGCGGTCGACCCTGTGTAACGTCATTTCGGCCGTAGGGCTGGGCGCCTGCGCCGTCTTCCTACATGTACCTAAGGAGCAGGTGCTCTGCCCGCCGTTACATCTGAGACCGTTAGTGTTCTCCCTCGAATCAGTATGTTCTACGTAGTTGTAGGGTGTATTGGTCCTTCAGGCTATTGGCCAAGTTATAGAAGTCAGGATTATGGTTAGACATATTACTGCTTGATGATTGGCTGCCTTGGGCAACATTTGCGCTCGTCTGACTGCATCTGACGCCTTGAAGCGTGCATTGGCAAACTATGCGACCTGCAGTTGAGAAAAAGAACACTTACATGAGTTTGGTGGTGTAATATCTTACTGAAACATTTGGCCGTGCTTTTGAGACTGCAAAAAACAGATACGTGGACGAAGCTTAATGGCAGAGGGTCACAAAAGAAACGAAATGTCATTCACTGACAATACAATACCTCGATACCATATGATTCTCAGTTGGGGCTCGTGTGGAATGGGCCAATGAGCACGATAGTCACAGTGAGAGTCAGTATCAACGCCAAGATTGAAGTCGAGGTCCAAAAGCCCGCCAATATCGATGAACTCAGCTGGCCATTTTGTCATTTCTTCTGATATTAACGACTTCATGTATCATGGTGATGTTCGATTTAACGCTATAACTTCATTCATTCACAGATGCGGTGACTTTAAAAAGGTCAGGTCAAGATGCGTCAACGCTTTCCTTCATCGTTCTGCGGTGGGAAACCACCAAAAGATGGTATCAGCGTGATTCTTATATAGTATTATGGCAGCAAGAGCTACACAGCATACGGTTTTACAACAGACCAAATCAAGGATGTGTGAGAAGAAGAAGCAATACCGTGGAACAGGTCGTAATTAATTTTTCATGAGGCCGTCTATGTTCAGTAATGTGGTCGCTGGAATCGAAGATGATCAGTTTGGAATCGGGGGTGCTGAGATCTATGGCGCCACATAACTCCTTAAAGTTGCGCTACAGATTAACAAACATCATCTAAACAGAACATTTAATGAAACGGGCGTCATAATATCGAAGTGCTCGGCATACGCGCAACGTGATATTTCTTGTATTCCAGCTGCCAAATACGACATCTCGCTAAGGTAACCGTTCATCTCTCAGCAAGTCGGGCAGCCTGCTTAGCAAGGCTTAGCACCACTGAACTTGTCCTTGCAGAACTGCACGCAGTTGGTGTTCGGGCCCGAATCCGCCGAGAATCTCTGGCATGATGATCCAAGCTGACAGCTGCACTGTACCAATCATGTTAGTATATGTGTTCATAGAGTGGAATCGGACTTGAGGGCTTGAAGAAGATTGGAGACCACTTGAAGTTCTCTCAGAAAGACTTACAGGACCCTGGGCGACGGCGCTGCCGGCGAAGATAGCGAAGATGGTGAGGACGAATGAGTACTTCATGGTGAAAGATTGGGTGCTGAGATCAACTCAAATACGCTGAACAGAAGTTGGCTGGTAGTATTAAAATCTTGAATTTGAGTGCGATGAGATATTTGGATGGCATCAGCATTGGGCGAACAACTTGGTTTTTATATAGCCCTACAGCCTAGACTGGTCAGATCGACGCATGTGTTCTCGTGAGCCCGCAGTTTGTCCCAAGGAGGCGGATAACATCCGCTTGAAACCAGACCCATGGAGCCGGCGCCATCACCTGAACTCTGATGAGCGGTCGTCAGCCAGCTGCTGATCCGTGTGATGTCGCCTACGATATTCTGGTGCAGCGTTAGAAGGGCGGGATTACTGAACGAATGTAGTCACTGTGAGAACATGAAGCTGCGCGTATTTCCGGGGTGAAGTTGAACGAGTCAGGTGTGAGCGCGTGTTTTGGCCGCAGGCCCCGTCGTGCTTCAGTTATTGCCGGTGGGCTGTTCCGCTTGGCTACCTATGCATTGTGCCGGTAGTTCGAAGAGCGTTTAGTGATAATTTTAAGCTTTAAGGGTTTGTCTTGGCTGGTTCTGATTATAGAATACGAACAAAAGTGGCCGGCGCGCTGCTCCGGCGGAACTGGGAGCCGCCCGGCCGCCTGCCGCGTGCACCGAGGCGCCAGATGGTGGCCCAGACAAGTCGAAAATGTACGACGACGTTAGTCTAAATACGTGAGAGTAATTGGGCTGAAAGACAAGCAATGGCATCCGTGGGAGCTTGACTAGAGTTCTCATCCGAGCTGATACGGGTTCAGTAGTATAACGTATAAGCGTGCAGCGTGCACAAGAACGGTCCGGACCCATGTAAGACGGCAATTTTCTTCCTGTACTTGCCTTCAGTTCTGTCCGCCGTGGATGCATGGCAAGAATACTACGCGACATGTCGTAGGCCATGCTTCAATAGCTCAAATCACGGCATTCACGATGGGACTCTAGAAACCCGGAGATATCAGCTCCTTACACCCATTCATTATGTGCACCTGTTGCTTGGGAGGCCTCAGACTACAGCCATTTCGTTTGTCAGTGCAATTTCTTTCCGATATTTAATGATGCTGGCAACATATCCGAGGCGGCGGACTGGGTAGGACAGTACATGGGTGACCTACGGTAAATCGATGGGCCTTGACTTTGATTCATTCGACATAGCAGCATATGATACCAAGGGCAGAATCGAGAAACTATATATAATTGTACTATTTGGAAATCCTCCGCATGATGGAATGTATAGCTGCACGCAGGCGGAGGCCCGCAACGTCGAAGCCATATGCGAAAAGTTGCTACTGTTAACAAAGTCGAAGACATTCCCGAGTTCTAGAATGGTCCGAGATTATTATGAGTACCTTTCCAGCTTCTCAGCTGTCTTTGCGCATCAAAAAGGCTGCATCACTCGCCCAGGCGGTTATGGGGCCAATTCATGGCAAGATGCGTCCCCATGAAAACAGCGTCAGCGCCTTTTTCTCCGCCACCGTTGGGTAGATCAGTCCCGAACATTGATAATTACGAAGTTCGCGAATTCGACCAGACGACCAGAGGAATGACACAACCCGAAACATACTTCAAGCATCGGGCGCGTTGATAAACCTCAACCTGCGGTCAGCGGAACAGCTGTTGATATCGAGAAATTGAAAAACTGAATATTCATTCACGGCTGCTACTTTCGACAGCCGCAGCTATTGGTGAATGACTGTTGTTTTGGTTGAAAACGTTCGGTTCAGATGTCCACCTAACGGGTGGTAGTCCGCCGAGAGAGGGATTGCGAGGCAAGACTGAGGAACTGAATGAAGCTTCGGGCGTCAGGTCTAGTAAGAGATAAGATCTGGATTTATACGATGTTGCAATTGATTCCACATTCGGAAGATTACTTTTGAGACATATGCCAGTAAGACGCAATGAAATTGCCGTTGCGTCTGACTAGCCGGAGCCAACAATGCATTACTTTGTCTTGGGGGCAGCTCTTGTTTAAATGAATGGTAGGGAGCATGTGATGGTTGTGGGCTTAGCCTGATTCTAAGATATTCCTGCCGTCTCTGTCTACATATGCTGCCTTTTTTTTTGGCCTCTTTTACATAGAAACCTCCATCAAATTGGCATCGGCAAGCGCTGGCTGATTCACACAGCTGTAGATGACGAGAAAAAAATAAATTTGAATATCTCGACCACGAACATCATCATGCTGGGCGACGCCTCAACATCACGATGCCGCAATCCCACACCAGCGGCGTCGCGTCGGCGCGGATATCGGGTCGTGGGGTCGTGGACCCGCGCCCCGGCCCGCGGAGGTGGTGGGATGCCGACTCGGGGGCTGGGAACGCCCGGGATACGAGAGGCCCAGTGGGCGCCTCCTGTGGGTCTGCCGCGTCCGCGGTGTCCTCGGGGGCCGGGGGGGTTTGCGCGCTGATCTTTTTAATCCCATGCGACCGCGGATTCCCGACACCCATTTCGTTCAACTCCAGCCGAGTGTTTCTGGATTGGACGACTTTTTTTCAACAACGGAGAAACACCATACGAACATGTCATTTCACCATCTTTCCTATCGCCGTCTGCCTCACATCCAGATATCCTGACTAAACGCCCCCTTGGAAGTTTCGGATTTCCCTCCTGTTGGACGACCGGTTACGCGGGCTTTCTGTGACGTGCACGGGCCATCGTCTGACCACATTTCCCGTCCCTCTCTGGCTTGGATCGTCGACGGCGGAGGCCGGGTCAACCTGGTGATCTTCCAAAACCTTCATCAGACTTTCGGCGTATCTGGCAATTGGCCAACGACAGCAGACATCGCGTCCTCTTTTGGTGTTGCCGAATGAGCCGTGTATCTGGGTGCGAAGATGGCGACAACCATGGAGGAAGACACCGTCCATGACCCCCCCTCGCCTGTGTTAGGGGAGCTCATCACCTTCGACCCCAACGGCGACCTTTATTTACACGTCGGCGCGGGAGTCGAAGAAAAGACGAAAACGTACTTTGTCTGTTCAAAAGCCTTGGCAAGAGCTTCGACGGTGTTCAGGAAGATGCTCTACGGAGGATTCGCGGAGTCAGGGCTCTCGGATGCCGACCACGGCTGGACGGTCGACCTCCCCGAAGACCGCCAAGAACCGATGGAACTTATGCTCAATATCGTTCACGGGACTTTTGACATGGTACCCGAGAAGCTGGAGCTTACTCAACTATACACATTTTTGGTTGTCACGGAAAAGTACGACGCTACTAATATCACACGGCCGTGGGCGAAGGGCTGGATGGACGCGGTCAAGTCGAGTATGCAGAACCCGCTGCTTCTGGGTGTGGCTTACGAGCTGGGCGACTATCAAACATTCAACGCTATGGCGATGAGAATCGCTACAGAGTGTCATCTGGATGATGACGGAGACCTCGTGTTTGGGTTTTCGGGGGAGAACAGGGAGACGTATTCGTATAAACTTCGCAATCTGGATTGTTTAATACCAGCTGGGTTACTAGGTAAGTCTTTGGAGACACCCTGAAATCTGAACCATGGTTGACACGAAATACTAGAGGACGCGGCATCCATCAGGAAAACGTTACTGATAGCCATGCTGGATCCATATCTGAATCTCTACGCCGCCCTCAAGGGCGGAGACAGGTGTATGTCATCACCAGGAGATCCCTCAGGGGGAAGACGGTGCGACAGCATGTTGCTCGGATCGTTGATTAAATCCTTCGCGACACAAAACCTGGATCTCACAGCGGTTGACTCGGTCAAAGCATACCGGGGGAGTGCCTCGCATCTTCAGTCGGTCATGTTGAAGTTGGAGCTTTACACTATTCACTCTGGGTACGCACACCCCACAACTTCGTCGTTCAGCTTCGGACAGACGGCACATCCGAGATTTGGCTTCAGTATGAGTGCCTGCGAGCATGTCTTGCAGTCGGGGTTGCGGGAAGGCGTGGAGAGGTCGTTGATGTTGAGAGGGAATATGACATTCGTGCAGCCTAAGCATAAGGAATACTTGAACAGACAGGCGGGCAAAACTGGGTTGCCAAAGTCATTATAGAGCCTGATATTCAAGAGAGAGGTTTAATCAGAGACGGCAGAATACTGATAAACAAATGGTTTACAATACACCATAAAGAATACATTCCATATTCTGATGTCAGCTGAAGTTACTAAAAGACGATGGTGAAGGGGCCACAAACCTGAATTGCACACACAACCAGACGGTATTGTTCCTTCCTTCCGGGTGAACAAACGACCAGTAGCTTCCTTGCGGGTGAGATATTTTCGTGAGATAATCTCTGGCTACCTATTTAAACTCGACTGAGATCCACACCAGAGAGACTTTATCCAAACACAACCCTTCATCACCAACAACCGGGTCCTCTTCACAAAGCTGACACCACAACACAGCAACCATGAGCTCATCAAACGACGAAGGCTCGGGACCGCCTGCCCCGAAACGACAGAAGCTGCTCACAACCAAGTCGGACGCCCAAATCATCTTCGATGAGCATGGAGATCTGTATCTACACGTCGGCGCCGAACACGCAGAGCATCCGACGACTTTCCTCGTCTGTTCAAGGACGGTCTCTCGGCTTTCCAAGGTTATGAATCGCTTGCTCTATGGCGGTTTCGCGGAGTCGAAGAGGCCTGACGATGCGGAGAAACCCTGGGAGGTGGAGCTTCCTGGCGATGAGCCGGCGGACTTCAAAATCCTACTCGGCATCATGCACGGAAAGTTCGAAGAGATGCCCAAGAGTCCAGACATGTTCGAAATGTATCGTATTCTTGTCGCTGCCGACAAGTACGACTGCGTCCGTCTCCTTCGCCCATGGAGCCGGTCTTGGATTCAGGCTGTGGAGGAAGAAGAGGATTTTGGTTTGGTGCTCGGCATTGCGTGGCATCTCGGGGATGCTGTGTTGTTCAAGACGACTGCAAAATACTTTGCAGAAGGCGCCGAAGTTAACGGTGGCGATGAGCTGCTCTACGATGGAGAGCTTAACGATGATGGCACGTTTCCGTGCTTGTCCGATGTTCTCGGAGGTTCAATTCCCTCAAATATCTTTGGTGAGTCAGTCCTGGAAGAATGATTTGGATGGCATCAGCCTCTCGAAACTTTACAGAGCTAATGGGTAAGTATAGCTTCAATCACGGACCTTCGACAGAGACTTCTGGATGCAGCACTGAGGCCGTATGCAAAGCTCCACAGGTCTCTTCTAGATGGACCAAAGTGTCCCTTCATATACGGAGGCGGCGGACCGAAAGTCGGCAAGACCTGTGACAACCAACTGCTCGGCTCACTCACGAGGGGACTTTTTCGCGAAGGCATCAATATCATGCTCGATGTACCGCAGCAGTCGTATCGAAGAAGCTGCTCGGAATTATCGGGTGTGCTCATGGGACTAGAGCTTGAAGTGGGAGACGACTCAGAGGGTATTGTCGCCGGGCGTATCCACGCAGTGAAGTGCAAGGAGGGGTTGAGTTCGGTTCGTCGGAGAGTGGAGAAGAACATTTCCAAAGTCCTGGAACTGTTTGTCCTGATGCCTCAACATGAGGCTCATTTGCAAGAGCGGTCGCGCGAAACCGGGCTCGATGAGAAGGACAAAGAAGACAACTAGGGTAGCACTGACTATCTTAGAAGCTTGCAATCACGCGGATAAATCTATCATAGAGAACGGAACCAAATAGACAAAGTTTACAAGAAACATAACGTCAAAAGAATCACAAGCTGAGATACCAACTGATGGCACACTCGAGTCTCCATGCTTTAAGCCGCTACATTATATGCATCTGAAATAGACCATGACGACTGATAAATTATGAAGCGGGAAGACCTGATGCAGAGGTATTATGCCGTCACCACGTACGAAGGGGAAATCGTATTCGAGGCCGGACTCAGACGTAAAATTACAATTGGTGAATGTCGAAGGTGACGAGGCTAAGGAAGTTGTGGACGAGTCGGTTCTTGCCTAGACAGGCCAGCGAGAGTTGTGGAAGGCAAGAGAATAGTCCGCCCGGTGCAGGAGGAAGGAGCGCAAATTTTGCAACGACATGAAGTCGAGGAAGGAGCTTTGGGGAGAGATACAATAAAGGAAGGAGCTGGCTTGTGCCGTACTTGACAGGTGCCTACCAAGGCTGCTTTTTCCTCCATTCACCCGTCACTTCCCTCAACCGCCCATCACCACTTTTGGGTCCTTTTTACCTCCTCTGCTTTCTGCCCCTTTTTGCTTTTACCCCAACACCTTCTCGACTTAATTTGCATTTCGCGGTGAACTCCCGTCGTACGGCGGGCAACAGCCACAACACAGCCTCAACATAAGCTCCCAACGCCTTCTCGGAGCGAAGGAATACACGACCGAAGAAGGACATCACCGCCAACTACGACACCGTCGGCGACGACCCATCGACGGCACACCCGAATGCACCAGCGACGATGGAGGCAGAACCGGCAAGAGCTGATGGACGCCACGGTCCCCGAGAGATGTCAGACGAGCCTGCCGCCAAAGGCCAGCGACAGGAAGCGACGGAGATGAAGTCAGACGTTTTGGTTTTCGACGAGCTCGGAGACTTGCGCCTGCAAGTTGGCGCCGCGCTCGCCGGCGTCCCAGCTGCCACCTTTTTGGTATGCTCTAGAACAATGGCACGAGCGTCTCCAGTATTCAAGAAGATGCTTTACGGCGGCTTTGCGGAGTCTAAGCCTACAGATGGCAGCGACTGGGTTGTCGACCTTCCCGAAGATCATCCGCGTCAAATCCGCCATATTCTACACATTGCTCACGGTAATTTCCACGAACTTTTGTTGCCGGGATCTTGTACCCTTTTCCACAGAACAGTGGGCGCGAATAAATACGACTGCATTGGCATGTTTCGTCCTTGGGCCAAAAGATGGCTTGAGAGGATCGGCCTCAAAGACAAACGTCTGGATGGACACTTATTGTTTGTTGCGTGGGAGTTTGGTCAAGCCCGAGTTCTGAGACATATGATGGCAAAGGTTGCCGATGAAGCCTCTCTCTCTGAAGATGGCGACGGCAAGCTGACCTACGGATTCCGTCACTATGACGACGTGAACAAGAAGTTGTGGACGAGAGAGTGGGATGTGTCCGAAAAACTCCAAGGACTCATCCCCGTCAGCATCATCGGTAAGTCTCGACGCGGACTTCTGGACATATCCTAGCGAAGGCCAGTGCAGTTTGCTCTAACACCTTAATGGACCAAATTCGTGCGCTTCGACTCGACATTATCCGGGCCCAGATTAAGCCGTTCGTCGACCTCTATGAGTCTTTCAAAACCAACCAACGATGCGCCCAAAGCGGCCTTGTCACTGACCCTGACAAGCTGAATTGCGATGCAATGTTGCTAGGCTCGTTGGTTCGCGGATTCTTTGGAGTACCCTTCGATCTTGTCAACGGAGCCACGGCAGAGCGTTACTGTGGTAGTGCGCGTCATTTGAGAGAGATGTTGCGGAAGGTCGGGCTTTCCGTGGCGATTACACACGCCCAGTGTTGGCAGCGGCTTACAAACGACTCGTCGAACGCCGCTGGAATGGTGCAACGGTTATTGGACGGAGAATTTCTCGATCTGTTAGAGTACCAGGACCACTTGGACTGTCAAGCAAAGAAAACTGGATTAGCTTCCAAGTAACGAGTAATTGAGGACGAATAAACGAGGGATGGCGAGGGATGCAAGGGATGACGAGAAGCAAGCACAAAGACCTTGGCAGACAAGGACGACGGACGAGGAGAATGGACGACGGATAAGTACAACGGACAAGAACAACAAGCAAGGGCGAAGGGCGAGGGCAAGAGACAAGGAGAATGAACGAGAAAGAACGACAACAGTCTAGAAGATTAATGAGAAAATTTGAGAGGAAGAAGGACAATCGAGCAAGCCGAAAGATGACGCCTTCGAAGACGACTCGCCGGCATATTCGGCCGAGATGCCCCAAACCGGCCGAATGTTGTCGGGCCAACAAGCTGACTTGAGACAAGCGGATCGCGGGAAAAAGGGGTCCCATCAATCCCAGTCTTTCAGCTTAATCATCCCACTACCGCTGCACGATTACCTGAGGCACTCATTATGAGCGAACCCAGCGCGAAGCAAATGCAATACGCCGCGCAATATAATGCAGCTACCCTTATAATCTAGCTATTAATATTATCTTACTATACCTAATAAGTATATATTTAATATTTAATATTCTAAAAGAATAAAACTCTATTCTAATAAGCTTTATAATATATATAGTAATATACTTATAAATAACCTTACTTAAGGTTAAAGGGGGTAAGACCTTAATAAGAGATATTAATCTATAAGAGATTATTCCTTTTATTAAGATTATACTATAAACTTTATCTTTCTATCTACTTAGAATATTATTCTATATCCTTTATTTTATATTAGCCCCTACTATTACTATTTTTAGTATAATTTTAAGCTTTAACCCTCTTTAGTCTCTTAATACCTTTAAGAATAATATCCCCTTCTATTTAAACTATATTAATAATATTCTTTTTATATACTATATTAATAAGAATATTATAAAAATACTAACGTGGTTGATAAGCGAGTGGATTAGATAAGCGAGTGGATCAGCCGACCGCGCGAAACCGTCTTCTAACTTCTATATTATATTATACTATAACTAAATATATTATTATAGAGTAATAAAGATTAGATAAACTTAGCAATCTAAGCTATTAAGAAGATACTAACTCTTAGTATTTAAGCTATATCTTATATCTACTTAGTGCCCTTTTTAACCTTATGCTATCATTTAGAGGGAAAGGGATTATAACGTAATATTATACCTAAGTTATGAAATTTAACTGCACTTAAAGAAGAGAAGCTAGTTAAATATATTCTTAACTTAGATTCCTAATTACTTCCTCCCCATATTAGTAGTATAGAAGATATAGCTAATTAACTACTTATTAACTATAATATGCTCCCTATTGGGAAGCGTTAGGCCTTAAACTTTATTAAGTAATAACTATAGCTCTAGACGCACTTTTTTTATAAGTATAACTATAAGAGGGCCTAATATAAAGACCTAGACGTAATAAATATATAGTTTCAGCTTATAGTAAATATAATTATAAAATACAGCATTATAGACTTAGATATCTATAACTTTAATAAGATTAGGTTTATAATAGGCTAGATTATATCTAGAATAGTTATAATAAGCGCTAAGAGGCGTTTAAATATAAAAATAATATAGCCTAGCAATTATAAATAAGTTATAGTTATTTAGGCTATTAATTTATTAGGCTATAGCGTTCTACTATATATTATCGTTTTAGGGCAATATTACCTCTCTACCTAGTATATAGAAATAGGTCTCCTATATAACTAGGTTATTATAACGTCTAAAAACAGATAGATAATAAATAAAAGAGGCCTAGATTAGCTCTAGCACTTTAATTAGCATATAAAACTATATGCAAGCAGTAGATATTGCCTCCTTATTATTAATAGGCATAAAAGTCACTATACTACTAACTTTAAGATATATTATAAGGAAAACAATATTATTACACTTTATATACTAGCTTATTGTTACGGCTAGCTAACTGATAGTGGGTTTATATTAGTAGTAAGTTAGGGATTAAGAACTATAAATAGTATTAAGTCGTTCTATAGGGCTATTTAAGTAATTATAGGTCTTTAAAGGTCTTAGTAATTAGTTAAGGCCTTAATAAGAGTTATAGAGTAATTATTACTTAGGTATAACTAAAAGTATTATAAGTAATAATTATAAGTTAATTGCTAAAGAGCTATAGAAGTTTGTCCTTAAGCGGACTTAAGTCCATCCTATATATAGGTCCTGGGTAGTCCTATTGCTAGGTGCTGTATATGCCCTGTATGGCTCCCATATCCTTGATATATGGCTTCCGTCTTTCTGGAATATAGATGCTGTATCTTGATCATATAGATCTAATCTCTTATCTTATTGTTATATAACCTATACTATAGTTCTTCCGTTCCTAAGGGATCCTTATGTATTCCCGTGATCCTATATATAAATATATTATTATAACTGCCTAGTATCCTAGTAGGGCATCCTTTATTAGTTATACCTAATAGGTTATAATATTAGGTCCCCTCTTTAAAGGTCTAATCCCTTAGACTAATATAAGTAGGTAGTATCTCTTAGGTTAGGGAGGTATTAATTATACTTCTTAATCTCTATAATATTAATACTATATTAGGTTATATTTAAAAATTAAAAGATTTAAAATCTATTCTTTATTCTATTTATAATAACGTATTTAAGCGCTTTAGTTCTTCTAACGTTATACCCTATACTTACTATTTCTAGGCAAAGCGTCCTTATTATATAGTAGAGGGTTTAAAGGTCTATTATAGGTATAAGAATTTAAAGCGTCCTTATAATAGGCTAGTTATTACGTTAAGCTATAAGTCCTATTATATCTTTCTTTATAGGCTACTTCTAACTTATTATAGTAAAGCATCTTAATAACTAGCGTTAAGAGTAAGAGGAAAAGGAGGAGTAAGCTAGTAATACTCTATTAGCGCTCTATAAGAAGCTTATTTAGGTATAATTAGAGGTAGCTAATATAGCTAGTTATTTAGCTTATATTTATATAACTTAGAAGTTAATTAAGGAGTATTATATAGAGATATTTACTTAGGGGATATAGAAACTTAAGGAGGCTAATAACGTTCTTCCTATATTAGATGCTTATAAGTAATACGTTATAGAGGATCTTTAGGCTAGAGGTATTAAGAATAACCCTTCCTAGACTAAGTTTGGGATTAGGGAGGAGTTTATAGACTTAGGTCCCTTACTTAGTAATACTCCTATAGTAGCTGCTAGGAGTGCTAGAGGTTCTTAATAGGTTCCTATAAGTTATCTTTATATCTATACCCCTTCTATTTAATAAGGTATTCTATATTTCTATTATTTTTATAGTAGTTAATAATTTATTTAACTTTATATTCTAGTTCTAGTAGTTCTATAATAATATAGTCTTCTATATATAAACCTATTAGTGCTTTTTTGAGAAGTAAAATATAAAAGACTAAATAGTACTTTATAGTATCTAGTAATATAAGTTTAAAGTTAACGTTAGATACCTTCTTTATAATCTTAAAAGGTCTAAGTTTCTTAAAGTCTAACTTATTACTTAGTTATTTTATCTTAATGTTTTAATAGAGAAGGTATATACTATCTCCCTCCTATAGAGTTAGTCCCTTAACTCTTAAGGTATTAGCGTATTTATATATTTATTTATATATAAATTTAAGTTCTCTAGGTAGCTCTTACTAGATTTCCTTAAGTTTATTAATATCTACTATAGCTTTTAGAGCTACTAGGCCTTATTATGGTTCTCTATAGGCTATTAGGTTAAATCTATAGTTTAGATAGAATAGTGATTCTTTTATATATTACAGCCAGCTAACTGATAGTGGGTTTATATTAGTAGTAAGTTAGGGATTAAAAACTATAAATAGTATTAAGTTGTTCTATAGGGCTATTTGAGTAATTATAGGTCTTTAAAGGTCTTAGTGATTAGTTAAGGCCTCAATAAGAGTTATAGAGTAGTTATTACTTAGGTATAGCTAAAAGTACTAGTAAGGGTAGTTATAAAGTTAATTACTAAAGAGCTATAGAAGTCTATCCTTAAGCCGGACTTAAGTCCATCCTATATATAAGTCCTAAGCCGTTCCTCTATACCTCTACCTTAGAGTCGCTAAAGTTAACTATTAACTCTATTAACTTCATCTTAATTAGTATACTTAAGAGTTACTAGAGTTAGCCACTAACTCTATTAACTCTTATCTCATTAGCTAAGGTTATATAACTTATTCTATAGTTCTTCTATTCTAAGGTAAGTCCTTTCTATTCCCATGATCCTATATATAAATATGACGTTCTAGCCGCCTAGTTATCTTTATAGGGCTTTTTCTCTATTAAGTATGCCTAATAGGTTATAACATTAGGTCTCCCCTTAGATGGTCTTATCCCTAAGACCAATATAAGTAGGTAGTATCTCTTAGGTTGGGGAGTTATTAATTATACTTCCTAATTTCCTTATAATGCTAATACTATATTAAGTTATATTTAAAAATTAAAATTAAAAAATCCTATTGCCTATAAGGAGCTAGATTAACTAGTCTCCCTTTTTGGATATAAGATGCCTTTTC